TACCTTTCTTTATCGGTAATTAGTTTACCCTTTTAGTTATTATATTGTTTTGCAATATTAATTTCTATACGATCTCTATAGTCGCGGTTAGTTACTCTTAGCTTTGGTCTGGCTAGTTAGGCGTAAAAATAAAGTCCTCTTTTATCTGCCCGTTCTAGTTATTGCTTATACTATTAACTATTAATTTATATTACTATTTCCTTAAGTTTATAAAGTATTAGAGGCCTTTCGCCTTATATAATTTTGTTCTTAATATCTTCTTTAAAACCTCTATAGTATTATACTTACAGAGCTTTATCTTCCTATAATAGCTTAGACGCAATTTATATAAATTCTAAAGTATAGCGGCTAGTTAAGCCTTTCTGCTTTAGAACTGCTATTTTCTATTCTACTGTCCGTTTTTTATTAGTATCTCTAAAGGTTATCTAAAGTGCTAACTCGAAGTATCTATAGTTGCTAAATATAATATTGGTTTCTAGTTTCTAATTATCTGCGTTAGCGTTGCCGAGCCAGTCTATAAGCATCAGGTTAAACTAGTTAAACGCTTTTTTCTTTAAGAAAGTAGCTGCTATACAGACCTTATCTAATTTAAATTTAAGGTTGCTTTAGTTCGTGCGCAGGTATAGCCTTATCTATATTATAAACGCTTGCAAAGCTCCTCTCTTCCTAGTAAACTCTTCGGGCTTATTTATTTTATAGCCTCTGTAGCTAACTATTCTAGTAGTAGTAAGCTCCTCTTAAACAGTCTAGAGATTTCCCTATAAAGCTATAATCTCTTTATTTTTAGTATTGCTAGCTTCTTTTAGTGTTTATATTTGTGTAAGCAACGCCTATATACGTGTTGCTACTTTAGTTATAGTTAGGGTTAGTCCAGCAGTTATACTACCTAAAGAAGTTAGTAGGGCTATTTTAATTAATTATCTATATACAACTCCTTTAATATAGCGGTGTTTAAAGTATAATAGGTTGTCTCTTCTATACCTTCTAAGTATTTTATACTAAGGCAGGGTATAGGTAAGTTGTTATTAGGGTGCAATAGTTTTTAAAAGGTAAGGCAATAATTAATTAAGGTCTAAGACAGGGTTATTACTTCTAATAGGTAGTATTAAAGTCTTAAGTTAAATATAAGGTTCCTATCTATATAAAGGAGCGTCCCTTTATATAAAAGCTCTGTCCTAAAAAACCTCTTACTTATATAGCTCGCAGCCTTAAGCTTTTTAAGCTGCTTTCTTAGCTCGCAGCCTTAAGCCCCTTAAGCGCTCGCCTAGCTTGCTTCCTTAAGCCTCTCGAGCTATTATATAACCCTATTCTTATAATATCCTATTCTTAGATCGTTTCTATCTACTAGCAGTCTATAAAGGAATCTAGGATCCCTATACGTCCTATACGTAACCCTTTTAGTCCTGTAACCTAGTTCTACGTAATTAGCCTTATCTACTTACTTATCTCTATAAGTACCTCTGCGCTCGGGTTATTTATATTACGGGTTATAACACTTACCCTCTATATACCTGCGTATTTATCGCATATACTTTAGCTACTTAATATAGTATACTTCTTACTATTAAAGCTAAAGTACTCTTAACGTATATAAAACTTAGCACGCCGACGCGTTTACTATATTAATAAAGAAGGCTTTCTACCAGCCTTTAAAAATGCGTTTTTTAACGTGTTTATATATAAGAACTGTAAAAAGGCCTTTAAGGCCTCTAGATTAGTTCCTATTAATATGCAGGTAGTTCTTAATTACCTTAATATACGGTTATAGACCCTATTACTAGCACCTTTACTAGAAATACTATAGTAATTAAAGACCCTAAGCAATATATATAAATTTGGATTATAGTTAAAGCTAGTAAGCAATTCCTTTATATAGTTACTAATAACCGCCTAAAAAGGCTTCTTAAAGCTTATTAAAGGAGCCGAAGAAATGCTATATAAAAATATACTTATTAAAGCCCGGGTTAAAGAGCTTAAAAAGCAACTAGCAGAGATAACTAAGTATAAAGGTTGTAAAAGAAAGCGAATCTAGACTAGCAGTATAATAAAGTATAGTACAGCAGCGTTGTATATAGCTACTAAAGTGTCTAGAGCATCTAATCTACGGAAAAAGGTAGGTAGTAGAAATGGTGTAAATAGGGCTCTACTAGCTTAACGGCGCTATGGAAACTATAGAGAGGCTGGGCACAATACGCGTACGTGTAAAAAGAATTAAGAAGCTTCTTCTAAATCTAATCTAAGTGTGTCGTATACAAGTTCTATAGCTGGTTGCGAATAAATTAACTGCGCGCATATAGTATTAGTTGTGCCAAGGAAAAATAGCCGGCTCGGTGGTTTAGCCGGCTTAGTAGTAGAATACGTTATACTTCTTTTTTTTGCTATTATAAATAGCTTAAAGGCTATAGAATCTCTAGATTATATTTTTATTTACTAAGTCTAGTAGTTTAGTAATAGTAAAAACTAGGTTTTTAATACCTTTAGGGTTATAGTAGTTCTATATATTATTTTATACAGTAAGATCCTTAATAGAATTAATCTAATTAGTCTAATTATTGCGTATATTAAGTATTAGAAGGTTGTAATCTTTAATTAATATTATCGCAATAATTCCTGCAAAATCCGATAGCAGGAACGGAGCTTTACTGCAAGTTAAGTATAGAACTTAGGCGTAGTAAGTTGCTAAAACGTGTAATAGATTGCCGTAAATTTAAGATAAACTATTATATTTAATCTTAATTATTTAAAGGCCTTAACTTAGTTAATTTCTAAGTCCTTATCTTTAAATATTAAGGTTGTAATATTGCTTTTTCTATAACTCTGCTTTTTATAGAATTAGCCGAGGATTATTGCCGCTTTATAAGAACTGCTCTATTAAAAGGAAAATTATCTAATTTATTTATTGCTCGTAGTGCTGTATAGCAGGAGAAGAGCTACCGGGCTTATAACTATCGCACTTAGGTATGCACGGGATAAAGCAGGATTGGAAATAATATTAAGCAGCAGAGTATAATTAATTGTGTATATATAGTATTTCTTATTAGTTAGGTTACCCCGCCCGACGTTCTATATTATAGCTTTAATAGCAAGCTTATTAATGCAGTTCTTGCCTCAGGCCTCTATAGCTAATGCCTTGGTCTGCGACAGGATATAATGTCCCTAAATCTACACTACGCGACCGACGCGCCGGAAAGCCTGCACGACGCGATTGCGAGCCCAACTTAAAGAAACTTACTACGACTGAAAAGGAGGTAATTGTTAGACATATACTGGACCTGGATGCGCGTGGGTTTGCGCCCACTCTTAATGCTGTACGCGATATGGCGAATATGCTACTTGCTAAGCGCGGCGCTGGCCAGGTTGGCCAGAAGTGGCCAAGGAACTTTATTAACCGGACACCTAGCCTTAAAACGCGATTTAATCGACCGTATAACTGGCAGAGGGCCCTATGCGAGGATCCTATAATTATTGGAGGCTGGTTTAACCTAGTAGCGCGCACTAAAGCTATATACAGCATCTGCGATAAGGACACCTATAATTTTAATGAAACTGGCTTTCTATTCGGCAGGATATTATTACAGCTTGTTATTACAGGCTCTAAAAGGCGCGGCCGACTAAAAGTAATACAGCCTAGTAATCGCGAGTAGGCTACAGTTATCCAGGGAATTAATGCTGCTAGGTGGGCGATCCCGCCATTTATTATCTTTACAGCTAAGTACCACCTCTCTACCTGGTATTAGGATAATAATATACCTAGTAATTAGGCTATCTTAGTAAGCAATAATAGCTGGATAATAAATAAGCTTAGTGTTATATAGCTGCGGCACTTTAATAGGTATATAAAAGGGAGGACAGCAGGCGCACGCCGGCTATTAATTCTAGATAGCTATAAAAGCTATAAATCGCTTAAGTTCCAGGCTATCTGCAGGGAGAATAACATCTATACTCTCTGCATGCCAGCGCATTTATCGTACCTCCTACAGCTACTTAATATAGGTTGCTTCTCGCTATTAAAGCGCGCGTATAGGCATTAGGTTAATAGCCTAGTACGCAACCATATTAACTATATTACTAAGCTTAAGTTCTTGCCAGCCTTTAAAGCCGCCTTTAACGCGTTATTTACAAAGGATAACATCTATGCAAGCTTTTAAGGCGCTGGCCTAATCCTATATAATCTAGATAAGGTACTATCACAGCTCGATGTTAGGCTTCGGACGCCTACCCCCGTTGCCGTAGATGTTACCCCATGGGAATTAAAAACACCAAGCAACGCGCGCGAGCTAGGGTCTTAATTAATCCTGATTTATGATCGGATACAGAAGCATCAGGATTCTTCTCCTACATCAATTATCCAGTCACTTAATCAGCTTCGAAGGGGCGGTGAGGTAATGGGCCATGAGCTAGTGTTGCTGCGCGATCGCGTTTCTAGACTTGAGAAGGCAAATGAGGCCGCCACAAGGCGTAAACAACGCAAAAGGAAACGGATCCAGAAGCGAGGCACCTTGACAAAGGCAGAAGGAGAGGATATTATTGCTCAAAGGGACGTTGAGCAGCAGCTAGAGAGTGAAACGCGTCAAGGCAACGCGCAATCAGGTGTCAGCCGGCAGGCCTCAGCGCGCTGTAAGCTTTGTAGACAGCCTGGGCATAACTCACGAACGTGTGAGAAACGTACTCTAGATACTATCTAATCCTGCAGAGCTACTATACTACTAGTATTTCTATGCGTTGTTGAGTTATAAGGTGTCGCGTTGCAAAAAAGTTGAAGGGTGCGCGACTCGCTTGCCACCTACGTTATCCGTTGTAAACACCTCACACAAGCGCCTCGCTATACCAAGCAGCGCACGTCGCATATATGGAGATGGGGAGAGGATATATAATAGAAGGACGGGATAATCGGACAACTGGATGTTTATTACTGCTATTTTTGTAAGCGTGCAAAGCGAAGCTAGGATTTACCTGTGGTCTTAAACGGTAGAGGAACTGCTGCGGATCATCTTGTAAAGATGCACAAGATGGATAAGAAGTCGGGCGAGCTATGTACTGCTGCGCAAGGCCCTATTCTGCAGTTTAAATCCGCTAGGGGGCTTTATATAGCTACGAACTTTAAGTCCTTAAAGCGCTTACCGCCGATGAGCGATAAATATAAGAGGCTATTCAGCAGCGCATCTATATTGCTGGGTAGGAGACGCCTTGGAATAGATATAATTGAGGCAAATAAATGCCTACAGTTATCCTACGGCCCTCCGCCTACGGATGCATTTAATAATGCAGAGCATGCCGCGTTGCTTGGTGCGTCGCGAGTATCACCAGCCTCGTTGGCCGAGCAGGTGGAGGAGCGATTGAGGGCATCACAACGCGAGGAAGCAAACGCCATGGCCGCCGACGGCGACGACGAGGCGCTGGCGGAGCAGGAACTACGTGAGGCCGAAGAGGAGGCTATATTAGAGGGCCCTGCACCACCTACTGAGGTTGTAGATGTAGATGAGGATAATATGGTGTTGAGTGATGGCTCGGGATCGCAATTTAGGTAGTAGGTTTGGTCACTTCTCACCCTTAACTTAGCCCACGCTAAGCTACTTTAGGCAATATACTCGGCTTCAACACCTTACAACTCGCTAGCGTGGACCTCCTGTAGCTCCTGGAGCTCCATAGCGATTCCGCTGGGTTGGAGTGGATTTGAGGCCAAACCCAACCCGCTCCAGTCCAGTTCCTTCACTGCCCGTATCCGTTATTCCCGCCAAGTAGATGTCTTGATGGACCAAATTTGAGATAGCCATGGGGCCAGGGCACGTGTCAGCACATTCCTATTCCGGATTATTTGGCTTGACATGAGACTGCAGATCTAGAGGCAAATCGGCTTGGTGATGTTGTCTGACAGCAGTGGCTGAAGGAAAGAGAGCTGATTTGTGCACACGCATCGTTACCCTGTTCGGCTGACGAATAGGTTTTAGGCAGGGCAGCCGGAATGCAGAAGGTCTAATGTGAGTATGAAACATCGAATTGTACACACGCTGTGTGTAGCGTTGCTTGAAATATAAATCTTTGGAAGGCAGTTCGTAGAGTAAACACTGGAGAAAATCAAGTGTGTTTCCGTTTGAAAATCTGGTAGGTAATCGAATCGCGATACTTGCTTGAAGCATGTGAAAGTCCACCGGGGTGCTAGAGGACTGCATGCAGCTAAGTGGAGCTGAGTACCCGAGAGTATGGGAATGGCTCTTGTAGCGCCATCTAGCTGCGCATCTCATGCCTCCGATGACCAACCACTCCTCCACGCGCTCTTGTCGCCGCCTGTTGGCCTTTAAGCTCGACGGCAGGTTCGCAACTCGAGACTCAAGTTCGATCTCGTGTCGACTGTTCCCGACTCACGCCGCATGGCTGGCTGCCTCACGGTTTCAGTCTACCTCTAAAGCGCGTGTCTAGCGTCAGGGGGTCTAGCAGCACCGTATTGTTGCTATCCGCATTAGCATAGTATGTGCGAATGAGTCTCACAGCAACGCAAGCAGTAAGTGTTGCCAGGCAGAGAAAGACGGCTTGTAGCAGTGTGAAAGCGTGAGTTTGTAAAATGACGGTATATGGCTTCAAAACTCACCAATCCTTCGAGATGGCTGATATCATGCTCATTTCCGCGTTGAAAAGGGTCGGGAAAATGGTCCCAGTCGCAGAATGCTTGGCTGTTTGGTGGATACGGATTCCAGTTTCAGGATATTATAAAAACCTCTAGTGTCACAGTGTTACGTACTGAGCAAGACCCGAGTTCGGGGCCCATTATTCCGAAGCTGATAAGAGAGCACATGTAGATTGACTATGATGTTGTTCTAAGACATTGGGACGCACGCCCCAGCTTACAACGTTAGACGGTAGTCCCAAGAAGGTTTTGTAAGACATCTGCGTGCGCCACCTATGTCATAGCGAGGTATGGGCGTGTTAGAGAGTTCATGGAGGATTGGATCTACGGTTGTTGAGCGGCCTATGTGATGAGGGCCGTATGTTGGGCTCGTACGTGGACTCGTACGAAGGCTGATGGATTGGCAGCTGTAATTTAGCCGTTACACGGGCGCGCTACGTGGTCCCCTAAAGCTTCTTTGCTGAAGGATTGGATGCTGGTAGTGGTCGAATCCTCTTCCCGCACTGCCTCCGGCACTCAAGCTCAAGGATGCAGACTTCTATCCGCTGATACCTGGTATCGAAGACGGTACTGTTGACCGTGTCCCTTCGAGATGGCACCGTACGAGCTGCCAAATGCAGCAACTTTGTGGCTAGTGTTTGGCGCGGGCTCGCCGGAAGTGAAGTGGTATGCAGCGCCACTGCCGGCCGTTGACGGGAGGGATGGCATCCCTGAAAGCTTCGGGCCGAGTCCGAGTTCAATTCGCGTGGGATTCTGGCCAGCGTCAACACCGGGGTGCTCACGGTATGCTGTTATTGGGCGAGGCATCCAGATCGACGCTGCGAGTGCAGTTCGCAGCGGGGAAGTTCCGCCGTACTGGGAGAAATTCGCGCAGAATTAAAACAAGCACGAAAAGTGTATTTTTGAACGTCGACTCGTGTCGACAGCCCAAGAGACAGGAAAAGTTGAGTACCTACTGTCCTCGAGAGCCAATCCCACGCGCATTCGAGCTTCTCTAGCGACTCCTGCCTGCGTCTTTCGTGGAGCAAGATGGAATAGCTAGCTTCAACGACGGGCCAAGAGGTGGCGGAGCTCGCCAGGCAAACAGAGCTAAATGATGCTTTTCGAGATATCTGTACGGCCATATAAGCGAAGATTTCTTGCATTCTGGGGAAGGGTTCTTGGGGACGGAAGAGAACCGCCCCACCCCGGCACTCCGCTCGCATGCGGGCTCGTATCGTGCAGCTCGGTTGATATGCATGCGTTTGACAGGCCCACGGTGTTGCAGACGAAGAACGGCACCATGGTCGCACAGGGCAGGTCGTCGCCGGGCAGGTCGTCGCCAGTGCTGCCTCCTGCCACTATGCCACGCTCATGCGGTATGCCGAGTGTCCCATTGCCACGCTTCTGATAGACGCGAGCGGCGACACCGGCAGCCAACGTGCCAGCCCGCGCCGGAGCGCATGCAACACGGGCGATGGCGCCATGCTGGAGGCGTCTGGCGGGCGGGATGGCCCGTGTTTAACGTTCCCGCCCACGCGCCTCCCGACGCCCACACGCTTGACGCGCCGGCCACGATTAGGCTGGGCATACTCCTTTGGGCTGGCCTGGTCTCAGGGGGCAGGGGCGCGTGCTCGCGGGCGTGGCAGCGGGCGTGGCAGCGGGCGTGGCAGCGGGCGCCCTCGCCGGCCAGGCATTGGTGGCTGTGGTGGCAGCACCCCGTCGGCGGGAATCGCGATCCTCTCTCGTATCGGGCTGGGTGGTCGGCGTTGCACTTCCCACGCAGGCCTGCCTCTGGCCTCCAACGGCGCAATCTGATGCCAAGCCCTGCCTCCCGCGCGGTGCCTCGCGCCTCAATAAAGAACTTGTGGCACACCCCACAACCCCACAACACCACCGGCCACTACCTCCGTCCATCACCGCTCCCTTCCGTGCCGCTGAATCACGCAGACGTCGTCGCCGCCATGTTTGCGACCTTTACCTCGTCCATGGACGCCCGGAGCAAGAGCCAGACGAATGGTGCACCGACCTCATCGCGTCCCAAGAGGCATGTCGCCGCTCGAGCGTGTGACCGTTGCAGGGCAAACCGAATCAAGTGCGACGACGGCCAGCCCTGCAAGCACTGCCGCGTCAAAGATGTGGAGTGCTGCAAGGGCCGGCCCGGCGAGCATCCCGACAGGTGAGTGTATACGGCCCCTCTCAGGCTTTATACAGTGTGCATTTTGCGGGGTTGGACACGCAACTGACGCGTCTGCACGCTAGGGATGTGGAAACGCTGAGATCGCGAGTCAATGAACTCGAAGCCCAGCTGCAGCAGAAGAGCGCTCAGACGAGTCCAGCTGCTTCTTCCGCAACTGCTGCTCTGCCATCGCCGCCAGACTCCGAAGACACGACGAGTCCGGGCAGCCAGCAGTCCCTCGACAGACGCTCGACCAACAGCTGGGTAGGGTTTTGGAAGACGGATCCCAATACCAAGCAGGCGCAGTACTATGGGCCCACGTCGTTCAATTTCTTCCTGTACCGACTGGGCGGGTATCTGACATCAAGTTGCAACCAACCGCAGCTAGCGGAGGCCATGCAGGCGATCACAACCCCTTCTTCTCACTCAACTGCCGACAGTGGCACAGCAGCGGCCCTGTCTCGCCCCCAGGAAGAGGGGCTACTAGACATGTTTTGGCAGTCGTATCACAGCATGTTCCCAGTCCTGGATGAAGCTGAGTTTCGCAGCCACTACAACGCGCTGTGGTTTTCGCAAGCGTCGTCTCCAGTCGAGACGTCGCGGCAGCCCTCCGCGCTGGTGGACATAATACTTGCCCTGTGCATCCAGTTCAGCACTGCTGCTCTGGCGTCCAGCGTTCCAGCCACGGAGGTTGACTCTGGTAATGCAACCCAGCTGGGCAGGTGGTTGTACGACCGAAGCCAGAATCTTGTACGAAGTGAGCAGGACGGCCCGTCGATTTCAACGCTGCAGGTTCACATCTACTCCATCATCTTCCTTATAAATTGCTCGTTACTACCGCAAGCCCACGGGGTGCTATCCGCTGCTGTACACGTAGCCTGTGCCCTGGGCTTGCATCATGAGCTCCCGGAAGATCTCCCAGCATCCCAGAGGTCGCTTTTGCGGCGGCTGTGGTTGATGCTGTTCTACCTAGATTCGAAATGCAGTCTCGACCTCGGTCGGCCATTTTTGATTCCCTGGCCCGGACCAGGTGGCACCACCGAGCCGTGGGAAAACGATCAGCACGCTGTGGCCTTGGTTGACACCAGCAATACGAACTACGAGGGCATCAATTGGCTCACCTGCCACAATCAGTATGTTAAACTGATGGGCGTGATTCGCAGCATTTCAGTCTCCTTCTCCGCCAAATGCGACGAGCTATTAGCGGCGCAGCCTACCCCTTCTCTCTATTCAAATCCCAGCGTATTGGAGGCATCTGCCTCTTCGCTGCGGCAAAGCCTCGCATTACTCCGACCATGGATCAGCGGTGTTCCTACTGCACTCAAGTTCTCTCGTAAAGACGGTGGAGAGGCTTTCTCTGCAACGCGATATCAGGTCCAGTTTGATGCGTTTGCGCCCATCTGGCTGCAGCGCCAACGCCTGCTACTGGAGCTCCTATATCACAACGCCCTGCTCTGTCTCTACCGCACTTTTATCAAATATCCAACACCAAACGCAGGCCCCGAATCTCTCGGGCCTAGTATCACTACGCTCTCGGTTGGGAACGCTGTATCCGCTCTCAATCATGGAATAGCGACCATCTATATCATAGACCAAGCGATGATTGAAACGGACCTGCTTACTTCCTGGCATCGAGCATACCAGTTCTTATGGGAAGCATCCGTCATCGTCGTAGGCTTCACCTTTGCACGACCTCTATGTCCCCACACAGCATCTGCCCGCACCGCGATCTCCACTGCAATACGCGCATTTGGTGTTTTTGCTGCCCACGGGATAGCACCCGCAAATACCGCCGCAAGGATCCTGCGCGAGCTAAGTAGTACGAGCGGCGATGCCCTGGGCACCTTTCGCAGCAACTTCCCAACTCCTGCGCCAGCTCCAGTGCAGAACCCGAGGAGGTCCGGGGACAAAACACCTGTGACGCAACAGCCCGCCGCACGGCCTGGCAGCGACAGCTTCTCCGCACCACCCCAGATCGCCCATTCGCGAGGATCGAGCAATAGCACCCCCGTCATGCAGCAGTCAATCACACAGCCCAGAGGCTCAATGTCCTGGATGACGCAAGCACAGACGCCCGAGAATATGGCATTCCTCCCCACGACATCATTAATGAATTTCCCACCAGACCTATCTTCAAATCTCTCCACAAGTCTCGATTCGAATTTCGCTGCAAATACGTTTAGTACTGATTTTCCTTCGGGCGACATGAATGCGGCCTTTGCGGAGCCCCTTCCGTTTAACTCCGCGCCCATGTCGATGGATTTCTCAGCGGATATGCTCGCGTCGGTTGATATGCAGAATGCAGTTCAAAACATGGATTGGGATCAGGATTTCAGCGTTTGGCCCGGAAATGTCGGCCGTGGGACATAGTTTTCCAGCTTAGCTTTGCAACACGATGCATTTTTTGGTGTTGAAGGTGGGAAAATTTCCACGATGCTACGACACAAAATCTGTGCACTCTTTGCAATTCGTTCTAACCTTGCTCCGGGATTTCTAATGAGACGCTAGGCCACTCGAACGAAAGAGTGAGGCAGGTCGATTAGAAGCAATTGGGATCACTCCAGTTTGATTTGTCTTGACATTTGCACCTCGTGTGAGTTCGTGAGGATGATGCATCGCAGGATAGTATAGGACATTGGCACTTTCAAAGAAGAAGTTCTCTTTCGATTTAGAGTACCGTTCTAACAACTAAATGACATATACAAAATTACATCGAAAGAAAGTAAAACAAAATTCCTCATCTATCCAATTTTCCTACCATTTCTTCTCGTCGCCAGCCTTTCACTCCTACACCTTCTCCCCAAACCACCCAGTCAAATGTCCCACGGTCGGGCAACTCCACGTCAACGTCGGCGGCACCTTGACCCCCAACGTCTTCTGCAACTGGCTCCTCAAGCTCACCGTCATCACGCTATCCACCCCCAAATCGCTCAAGGGCGCCTTCGAGTCCACTTCGTCAGCACTGCTATGCAGCACCTTCGCCACACACTCCCGGATTTTCGCATCCAGATACGCCTTCTTCCCCGCCGCATCCGTCGGCACGGCCTCTGCGCTCGCCGCAGGGGCTGCAGCGCCCGCCTCGGCCTGCTTCCGCGGCGCGATATCCGCCAGCATGGCGCTGGGCAGCGGCTCGTTGGCCTCAAGCTGCAGCGCGCGGAGGACTACGGCATGGTCCATGCCGTATTTGGCGACGTGCTGCCAGGCGCGGAACGCCTCGTCGCGCGTCACATCCGTGATGCCCTTGGACGCGAGCTCGGCGTTGATGAAGTCGGTGCTGGCGGCCATGCCCAGCCCGCGCCAGCTGGTCCACTGCAGCGCGATGGCGTTGTCGCCGAGGTTGCGGCGCTGGGTGGCGAGGGCGTCGAGGAAGGCGTTGCCTGAGGCGTACGAGGCTTGGCCGGGGAAGCCGAAGAGCTGGCCGCAGGAGGAGAAGAGAGTGAGGAAGTCGAGGGAGCCGACAGGAAATAGGGAATTCAGGGCTAGGGCGCCGGTGATTTTGGGCGCGAGGACGCGTTGGAAGGAGGGTTGGGTTGTTTCGAGGACCAGCTCGTCTTCCAGCACACCGGCAGCATGCACGACGCCGGTGACTGGAGGGAAGGGGAGGGTGTCGATGGTGGAGCGAAGTTGGGATTCTGCGTCGGAGGCGGACATGTCGACGGCAAGGGTGTACACAACTGCGCCGTGAGACTCGAGAAGTTGAATCCGCTTGAGGGCTGGAGCGAGAGGAGAGTCCGACTTGAGCAGAGCAGGCCATTCGCTGCGTGCGGGCATTCCGCGGCGAGAGACGAGGATGAGACGTCGAGCGCCTTTTTCGACGAGGAATTCGGCGACTTCGAAACCCAGAGCTCCCAGGCCTCCAGTGACCATGTAAGTGCCTTCAGGTCTGATTGTGAGGTTGTTTTGCTCAGCGGCGGGCAGGAGCTTCTCCCTGGGAAGGGAACGGAGTCGTGCCACTCGTGGAATTCCATCGACGATTCGAATGTTGTCGGCGTCGCGGACGTATTTCATCGTCTCCAGGGGGAAGATGGGGGTCTCGAGATCGATCAGACCGCCCCAGGCTTCAGGGTGCTCAGAAGCGATAATGCGCGTAAGACCATGAAGGGGCGACTGCGTAAGAGCTGTGACGGTTTCACTAGTAGACACCCGGTCTGTCAAGACAAAGACCTTAGCAGAGAGCTCGGTGTTGACGATGAACTTGACGATATCGAGGAGCTCGAAGATGAAGGACTGCGAGACTGCTGCGAGCGGCTCTTGCGAAGTGACGCGTCCAGGAACGTATACGATGGCAGTGCCCTTCTCGCTCACATCTTGCGCCGAGAGCTGATCTGCAGACGTCAAGGTCGTGACGGAGCGCACTCGGTCACTAAGGTAGACGGCATATTTCTCAGAGAGCTGCAGGTCACGGGAAACCAGAACAACGTGCTCGATAGGAATTGCCTCTTCGCTGTACGCAGCCGGAGGCCATGCAAGTTGATGAACCAGGCTCTCCACACTGCCACTGACACCGGGAGTACCCTCGATTTCAGAGAATCGCATGGACTGGAACTTGGCGACTGCCTCCCCATTCTCGTTGAGGACGGTGACGTGGACAGCCAGTGTGGTATCCGTAGCCTCTTCGACATACAAATAGCCAACCTTCGGTGGTGGCTGGCTCGTGTACTTGAAAACCTTCTCGATCTGCGCTGGCATGCGAAGAGCAGGCTTGTCCATGAAGATAGTCGAACCAACAGACGTCGCAGCATCCAAGATCGGTGCCCACGAGTACTCATCCCACGGCAGCGCCTCGCCAGCAGCAGTCTCTGGAGAGACGTCCACACGCGCGATCATCTCCTTCAAGTTGCCGTAGTGCTCCGTTACGGCCCACGGGAATCCCATAGCGGAGACGCCAACTTTGTCAAGGTAGTGGATGGAGAAGTTGTCCGCGAGCTTTGCGCCGATGCGCGATTTGATGGCTTCGACGTCGAATTTCTCGGGTTCCACGGGTGTAGTATCCAAGGCCCATCGGCCGGTTGTGTGGGTAAGCCAAGAGGCATCATCTTGCTGCTCGCTCTTATCCTGGGCCAGCCTAGAGCAAATCTTGACTTGACCGGGGTGGACCACGACTTGGATATCGCGCTTCTGGCTGATTGCGACCGGGACGCGGAGGACGATGTTGGAGAGTGTGGTTGCGCCGGTGGAGTGTAAGAATGTGTTGCAAAGGGCGGCAGCAGGCACGATCTCTGAACCGTGCAGCGGATGGCTACCAGGGAACGGCTTCGTCTGGTCGTCGATGACGGTGCGGTACACCACCGTGGTCTCTCCTGCAATCGCAGTTCTCTCCCCAAGAAGAGTATGCTTATCCACATCGTGCGTCGTCGAAACGTTCAAAGGACCTGTTTCAATGGCTCGCCAGATATCCTTGTGGCTCCAGGTCGTGAGGGGTACGGCGGTCGACCATTCAGTTCCCATTTGCTTCTTCCAGTCCACAGCTACGCCATTGCAATGCAGCTGGGCGATGCTGGAGAGGATCGATTTCTCCGAGGGCTTATTCCGCGTCATAGTGTTGGCGACCTTGAAATCCTCGATTCCCTTGTCCATGATGGTCTCGCTAATGGAGTGTGCGATGATGGGATGGGTGGAGACTTCGAGGAAGACTCTGTGGCCATCCTCCAGAGCTGCCCCGACGGCAGATGTGAGACGGACAGGGTGGATCATGTTCTCCAGCCAGTAATTGACATCGCGGAGAGCGTCACCGCGAGGGTCGGAGAGCGAGGTGGAGTAGAGTGGTACTTTCGGTGCTTGCGGCTTGATAGCCCCCGTGAGAGCGGTGGTGAGGTCCTTGCGAAGGGTTTCTAGCACAGGATGGTGGAAGGCAATGTCAGTGTTGATACGGAATGCCTTGATGCCTTGTGTCTTCAGCTCTTCGGTGAACTCTTCGACTGACTTCTTTTCTCCAGATATCACGCAAGATGATGGTGAAGAATCGATAGCGGGGGCTAGGTTAGAACGGCCACTTAGTTTCTCCTGCATTTCTGCGAAGGGCTTGTTGACGAGAATCATAGCCCCCGATCCAGCAACACGGCTGTAGAGGTTTGCGCGGCGAGTGACGATGAGAGCGCCCTCTTCAGGAGATAGCGAGCCCACCGCGACGGTAGCAGCAATCTCACCAACGGAATGGCCGATCACTGCGTCAGGCTTGATGCCTTTGGATCGAAGAACAGCCATGAGCCCAACCTGCATGATGTAGGTCAGGACCTGCACCTGAGTCGAGGTCTCGAAGTCCCCAGTCTTGAGCGCTTCCAATGCGGAGAAGCCCATCTCGGTCTGCACGATCGGATCGAGAGCGCTGACGGCACGGTAGAAGACAGGGTTGCCGATGAGTTCCTTGGCCATATTCACCCACTGCGCGCCATGGCCTGAGAAGACCCAAACAACGGGCTGGTCGGCACCTAGGGCTCGACTTGATGTAGTCCACTCGTTCGCAGAACCTTCGGCGAAGGCTTTGAGGGTTGCAGCCGCATCCTCGTGGTCGTCAATGACAAAGGCGGCGCGGTAGTCGTGATGGCCTCGGCGAGTGCTCAACGTATTGGCGATGGAGGTGAGGTCGTATTGCTTGCCGTCGTCCGAAGCGATCCATTCCTGCAGCGGGTCGGCCTGGATGGCAAGTCTCTTCTCTTGGGGTGCGGAGAGGAGCAAGATCCGGGGCCCAGTTGTTGCCCCTTCTTCGACCAGGGGATGTTGAGGCTTGATGTACTGCTCGATAACGGCATGCGACACTGTGCCGCCGTATCCGTAAGAGCAAATGCCGGCACGTCGAACTTCCTCAGACTCGGGCCACGGGGCCGTGTTTTGGACGACTTGAACACCGGCTTTCTTCCAGTCGACCTTGGAGTTCAGCGTGGTGAGGTTAGCTTGCGGTGCGAGTATTCCCTTGTTGACTGCCAAGGCGGCTTTGATGAAGCCTGCAGCACCAGCACCAGCTTCGAGATGTCCGATATTGGGCTTCACAGACCCGATGAAGCAGGGGTCATCTTGTCTGCCTTGCCCGTACACAGCTGAGATAGCAGATACCTCAGTGGGGTCGCCGAGAGAGGTTGACGTGGCATGGGCTTCGACGTAGCCCACAGTCGAAGGGTCGATATCCGCAACGGACAGCGCTTTCCTGGCAACGGCTTCCTGGGCTTTGGCATTCGGAGCCATAATCCCTTTGGTCTTGCCGTCTTGGCCGACAGCAGACCCGCGCAGGACAGCGATGATGTTGTCGTCGTCTTTAACAGCATCCTCCATACGCTTCAGGATGACCACCGTAGCACCTTCGCCTCTCCCATAGCCATTCGCAGAGTCGTCGAACGACTTGCAAGAGCCTTCCTTGCACGTAGCCCCGGCTTTGTCCAGCACACTGGTCAGACCAGGCCCACACAGCGCGTTGACTCCACCAGCTATCGCGACCTTGGATTCTCCGTCCAGGATAGCTCGGGCCCCGTGATGGATCGCAACCAGTGAGCTTGCACACGCCGCATCTACGGCCGTGCTCGGGCCCATCAGATTCAAATGATAGGAGATGCGGTTCGGAACCCCACAGTACGCAGTTCCAATCCCCATCCACGGCTCCACGTTCGGGATATCCTCCAGCAGCAACTTCGAATAGTCGTCACTGTTAACGCCCATAAAGACGGCTGTGTCCGACCCGGACAAACTCTGTGGCGGAATGCCAGCGTTCTCTAGTGCTTCCCACGTCACTTCGAGGGAGAGGCGCTGTTGCGGGTCCATCTGCTCGGCTTCTTTAGGCGAGATTCCAAAGAAGCCAGCATCGAAGGCGGGCAAATTGGAGAGGAAGTAGCCGCGATTTGTGACGTTGGCGAGGGTCTTGGTGTTGCGTGCGTCGCGGCGATGATAGGGCTCCCATCTTGCGGCGGGGATCTCCGAAGACGTATCGAGCTTTTGGAGAATGGTGGACCAGAGTTCCTCCGGGGAGTTGTTGTTGCCAGAGACGCGGCAGCCGAGACCGACGATGGCGACGTTGGTGGTGGAGCCCTAAGCGCTGGTGTCAGCGGGGGATTATGGAGGGACGATCAATGATTGGGCAGAGTTGATGCGGGGAGTGGAGAGGTGATCAGGCGGAGAAGGAAGAATGTCGGATGTTGACTAACATTGTCGCTGACTTCTGTCCAAGGAGTCTCATTCCCTGCTCGCTGCCTGCTGCTGTCCCATGACGGGGTAGACGAGACAGTCGACGAAGGTGATTGGGGGGTTGCGGCGGCGGGCATGTTGGCTCTAGGATGCTGATATTGAAAAACAAGGATCTAACGGTGTCTAGGATGGTCGAATAGCAGAAATCTATGGCGTCTAGGGTGGCTGAGAAACAGGAATCTTTTTGTACATGGAAGGATTATTTAATCCTGATTTGGAAAGGTAATGCTGCAAAGCAAGTTGGCCTGGCCTGGTTGTGTTACAGTCCCTCTTATAACAACAGCAACGCTTTGAAAAATCGCCTGTCTTCGTCGACGTCAGTCCTCTTCCTCGAGCCTCAACACCACCCGTTTTCCTGAAACAACTTGAATAGCTCCGAGCCATGGTCAAAACCTCCGACTGGACGTTTTGAGCTTAGTTCGCATGATTGCAGGGGTGATACGAACTACGAAAAGCCCCGAATAGCCTCATCAGCAATCCTGTCGCGGTCCGAGGCTCTGTTAGGTGCGTATATCCCGCCTGAACACGAATGAATAGCAGAGAGAGCTTCTCTTTTGGGCGACGTTGAGCTCTCCGATGTCGCTTTACACAAATTAGCGGGGCAAACTACACTCGGGTCGGCAGTCAAATATGAGGCGTAACTCCGCTTGCGGAAATGTAGAGAGGTTCCCGTAACCGAGGGACTCGACAACATGACAACGTCATCGATCACGATCGGACGGCAGCATGCGTCTGTGGCAGTGCGGGCCGAGCCGGGGATCTGCGCCAGGCAGCCTGGAAACGTCGCTCGCGAGCCCTCCGTTCTTCAGTTTCAAGGAGGTACATCCGTCAAGGTGCACCGCATACTGTCATGCATAGCGATGGCGAACAGGGACTAGGTAATATTGAAGAATCGATTTACTCTGTACCTGCTGCTGACTCCCGTTGGAGATGATCAGTTCCCGATGGAGGTTCCGGGTACCCCCTGCGATGATCATTACCCACCCGAGTACTCGGGATCACGTATAGTAGGAGGGGTCCGATAATTAAGCGTTTGGGGACACTTCCCTATCTATTGTGGGGCAGCTCCATCCTCTGCAGTCGACCAGATGCGTAATGCACGGCCCTGGATGGATGGTAATATCAAAGCCACGGAGCGTTGGAGACTACGGTTCAAAGAATACTTTCCTTCTGAATACGCCTGTCGAAATCTGGCTTCTACGAAGCGTCTTTCCTCAACGACACGAACATGGGGCATACTCTATACTCTCCAAGTCCAATCATCCCCTTTCACAACTCGGCGGGGCAGACGGAGATCAAGAAGTGAGCTCTCCAGTTCGTCCCTTCATTGCGACTGCGTCTCTGACCACATCACAAGATTCGGGGGTCTCCTAACCTCGGAGTTCATGCCAGCTCCCGTCGGCCGCAGCTTTCAGATGCGACAAACCTACCGCCACAACGTTGAAGGCCCCATCCCCGATAATCTCCGCAAATTGATCGCGGATCCCAGAAAGCCAAAGGGCCCGCCAACGCACTTCCACCAGTTTCAAACCGAGTACTTCAAAGTCGAGGAGGGCATTTGCATCGTTGAGATCAATGGTGTGCCGCGCAACGTGAGTCCCGACGATGAAGAGATCAGCTGCAAGCCGGGAAATGTGCATGCATTTTACATTCATCCGGACAGCCCGGAGAAGATGACGGTGCTGCTGAGCGCGAGTGATACAGGAATGGATTATCAGCTTGATCGCGTGTTCTTTGAGAACTGGTATGGATATTGGCATGATGCCTTGCTGTATCGCGGGGGACTGGATCTGATCCAGACACTTCAGGTGAGCAAATCCGAATCCCTGGTTAGATAGATGCTGATCTGACCTCAATAGATCCACGACGCAGGCGATCACTACACTCCCGCGCCCGCTTGGATGCCCTTCCGCACCTTTTTTGGCTATTGGGCATGCGTAATCATCGGCCGCTGGCTCGGCGGACTGCTAGGCTACAAACCCTTCTTCAAAGAGTACACGACTGACTGGGACTTTGCAATCTCAAAGATGAAAGGAAACGTCTTTACCCGGTGGAATGTGCATGAGAGTTATTCTGACAAGCAGCCGTGGGAGAAGCAGGTGGAGATGTCTAGCCATCCCAAGCCTACGAATGCGGAGTACGAGGAGTTGGTTACTGATATGACTGAGACGTTCTGGAAGTCGCAGGGTAATAACGGTGTCAAGGGGGTCAATGGTATGTTTGGGGATGAGTCTCCTACGTCAAAGATGGCAAAGGTCCACGTCAAAGGGGAGGTTAATGGCGCTCTCAATGGTGATACGGTAGCCCCTCTTCGTAAGAGGGTATAATGTGTTGTAGATGTTTAGGTTGGGTAATATCAAGAGGATAGCTTTGAGACATAATGGCGTTGACGGGATACGATTTGCTTTTGTGGTAGAAATACACATCGTTCAAATTGCACCAGATGTTCTTCCGCGCCAAGTTTCAGACTTCAGCGTTCTAAATGTGCTATTATGAAACTTCAATATCTTGAAACCTACCATTTAGGTAGTAAGACAATCGCCAATGTGGATTTTTTATATGTCCCGTCTCTGGCTGTCGCATCAGTACTAGATGATTCTTATATCTGAGTCTCACCTAGCTTCTAGATCTCCCAGGGTATATATACGCTATTGTTGAATGGTGTTGCTTTCGAGGGTTCGAATCATGTGGCTTTCACGTGATCTGCTACAGGAATGACTTCTCCTCTGCACCACATCCAGATTCGAATGCGCAACGTGCTGGCCCCTCACATTTGATCGTCCAAGGCATATTGCTACTACAGTATAACGTTGTTCACCCCCACCGAGAATCACCCACTACCGAGAATTGGTGAGAATTTGAGGGGCCCAAGCCGCTGGTCTAAATTCTTCTAAGCGTGACCAAATCTGCTCAGAAAACACTCCACCAATTCTCGTTAGTGGGTGATTCTCGGATGGGGGTGAACAACGTTAGTGCGACTCGTTATAGCAAGGTTATCTATACTGTACTGACCCCTCGACTCGATCTTCCAGGACACATTGCCACTAGCGAACTGGTACTGTTCCCCGATCTAGTCAATGTGCGTTCTCCACCTACTTGGCAATCGGATCACTCCTTTAGGAAAGCGGCTAGGATCGTCGATCTGACTACACCTGGGAGCAAGCAAATCGCCAAAAAGAAATGAATGGTATCCGATGCCGTGTTTGGCGACGAGATCTCTTCGTTTGGAAGGGGAGATGGCACCTTCTGCGGAGCACGATTGAAGGATATTGGTATCCGCGCCACGGACGGATTTGCGTTGTGTCCGGGACTAATTCGCGTTAATGATCGAACGCTAATCTAGCCCGTGGCGCGAATAGCAATGATATAGTAGGCATTTGTTTTATAGCTAGCTACCCCACATGTTGAATGCACTGGATACCCGTTCGACTCGAATTCGGAACCGCCAAAATGCTAGATAAATTTCTCTTTACTCCTGACCTCACACCAAGCGCAGTCATTAGCGCCGTTGCGGTGTCTGGCTTACTACTCACACTTTGGAGGCTCCTTTCTGTGGGCCGACGCGAAAAGGACCTTCCACCTGGTATATATTCCGACGTCCTCAAATCGTGAGCGGCATGCGTGAGAGCGGGACTGATAATTGACAGGACCCCCAACGATACCAGTCTGGGGGAATGAGCTCCAAATACCCAAGGCCGATGGGCACTTCCTGTACATACACTATCTCAAACTTCAGGACCTGAGCTGACTTCAAGTACAGCATGTCGAAATGGGCTAAACAATACGGCGGAATCTTCTCTCTCAAGCGTTTTCGCAATACCACCATTGTCATCTCCGATTGGAAACTCGTGAAGGATCTTATGGACAAGAAATCCACGCTCTACAGCTACCGGCCGCCCTCTGCAGTTGCCCATCTTATTACTGGAGGAGACCATATCCTTATGATGCAGTATGGCGATACTTGGAGGATGATGAGGAAGTTGATCCACCAGTTCTTCATGGAGTCTAGGTGCGAGAAGGAGCATTGGGAAGTCCAAGAGGCCGAGGCTAGTCAGATGCTGTACGATTTCTTGACAGATCCAGCGGGGCATATGATGCACCCAAAGCGATTCAGTAATAGTATTACGATGTCATTGGGTGGGTGCTTTCGTTGACTATTGCGGTACTGTCTTTTTCTAACCCTACACAGTCTTTGGCATCCGTACCAAAAGCATCAAAGACGAATATTTGACCCGCTTGTACGGCCTCATGGAGAAGTGGTCGCTCGTTCTTGAAACCGGCGCCACTCCACCTGTAGACTCATGGACTATTCTCCAATTGATTCCAGAGAGATTTATGGGTTACTGGAGGAAGCGCGCGACCGAAGTAGGCGACCTAATGACTGGCTTGTATACCGAAGCGTTACATCGGGTCGAAGACCGTCGAACCAAGGGCGTCGAGATGAAGTCGTTGATGGATCTTGTTCTCGACCAACAAGAGAAAAACCAGTTCAATGAACATCAGCTTGCGTATCTGGGTGGCACGCTGATGGAAGGTGGATCTGATACGTCGTCTTCCATCATCCTAGCCATCTTGCAGGCGATGACGGAGTATCCAGAGGTTCAAAAGAAGTACGATGAGGAACTCAGCTTCCTGTATTGTATTACCATGTACTAACGCGTCCGTAGAGCACAAGCGGAGATCGATTCAGTGGTCGGCCCCGATCGTTCACCGCAATGGGCCGACTTCTCTAAACTTCCCTACATCAATATGATCATCAAAGAAGCACACCGCTGGCGACCTGTCCTGCCACTCGGCGTCGTACATGGCCTCGCTGAGGATGACCACGTAAACGGCATGCGTCTTCCGAAGGACAGCACCGTCATCCTCAACGTCTGGGGCATGCATATGGACCCCGAAAAGTTCAGCCAACCGGAAGATTTCATCCCGGAACGGTACTCAAACCACCCGCAACTTGCGCCTGTATATGCTGCCTCTAAGGACTGGGAGGTGCGTGATCATTTCGGTTACGGTGCCTCGCGGCGCATTTGCCCTGGAATTCATCTTGCAGAACGCAATCTGTTCATTGCGGTCTCCAAGTTACTCTGGGCGTTTGAGTTCACGAAGAAGCCTCTGGGTGTGAACGACGTGAGTGCGGAGACGGGGAGTTCCCAAGGCTTTATGCATTGTGTGAAAGACTATGATGCGAACGTTGTTGTGAGAGGGGAAAAGAAGAAGCAAACGATTCTGAGAGAGTTGGACGCGAGTCAGGAAGTGTTTGCGAGGTTTGAATAGGGGGTCTTTTCGAGGTAGATTTTGGGAACCTGGGTCATGTAGTCCGTCCTAGGAATAACAATAGGACCGCTAATTACGGTCTTTACCTCCTGGCTTGCTTATTCCCTCACGGTACCTCTCCGAAGTTACAGAAACGATGTAAAATGTGCGACGAAGCGATGAATTGTTTTTGCTAGTAAGATGCCTAATCTAGGCTGGTGTCTTCATTTCAGTGAATTAGTTACCTTAGAGCACATAGACTATATCGAAAGAAGTGGGCACATGGAGGTTGATATGAGACAATTATGAACAAGATTTTACCAAGCAAAGAGCTCAGATTTCTACTTCGTGCGGTACCATTGACTAAAAATAGCTACCATACCCTTCCGAGGTTGACTCATGTATACAAGTCATAGACATTTAATTCGCTTTCAACCAATGGAAAGCTGCACAGAAAGAAAATACTCATGCCACTCTGCCTCATACTGCGCCTACTGGTCAAACACGGCACCCTTCCAGCCCTCCGACTCATTTGTGTCCAGCTCGTCCCAGTCGGACGAGATGTCAGACTTGTCAGGTTGTTTGCCAAAAGAGTCGTGGGCATCAGTCAAAGGAGATTCTACCTCATGCCACTCCGATGATATAGACTTGGGCGATTCATCGCCTACATCATAGATGTGGGGGCAATCAGCTGAAGCGGCATCGGCAAGTGCTGCTTCGAGTGCAACCTCCTCGCTCAGAGCTTCATTCTCTTGCATTGGTGCCTCTTCGGTGTTGGCTGACGTAGCCTGCGCATCATAAGGTGCTGCTTCGAGTTGACTTTGTTGGGCCTCGGCCAAAGTGTCAATGGTCGATGTCTTCTCTTCGGTTTTTACCACGGCCTGCTCGATCACATCCTTGATATCTGCGAGCAAGGGATCCTCCTTCGAAGGGTAGTTATGAACGAGCGCCTGCTCAAGCAAGGCCTGCGTAGCGAACCGTAGCGCAGTCCGAACATCATTGGCATTGATGATCTCATCGTGATACTTCCTCAAATGCTCTGACTGCGCCTTCATAACCACCTCCGAGAAAGTCTTCTTGATGTGCGCCAATACGTTGTCACCGTGCTCCCGGTCGGCCTTGCACGCTTCAAATAGACGGTGTATCTTAGGGGCTTGTTCATGGATCCAGTTGCTAACATTCTCCGTGGTTGTGTTGCCTTCCAGAAATGCCCTATTCTGTGAAAGTGTGTCGACAAGATTCTCGGTAGCTGTGTGGTGTTCATCGACAACACCAGATGTCAATTCCGATCCGTCGTTCATCTCGTCTTGCGCACCCTCGAGATTCTCCGACTCGTGTAAGGAAGGAAGAGACTCTGGAGTCTTCCTGCTGCCTTCCTCTACTTCGCCCTCATCCTCGATCTCCTCTGCAATCTTAGTCATCACACTCGTGATGAAGGCTACGAGCTCATCCGTACGCACCAACCCCTGCTGTCTCTCCGCCATGGCCTCCACGATCGTTACAACTCTTTCGAGAAGGTTTCTCTCCGACTTCGCATCTTCAGCTTGGTCGATCTTGGCCTTCAGTAATTCCAGAATCTGCCCCTTCATCGTCTCTCTATCCGCCTCAAGCTGGTCAATCTTGCCTTTAGCGGAATTTTTTTCGGCGTTGAGCTCCCCGATCTGAGTGACGAGCTCGTCTTGAACCTCTTCGACCTTTGGTTCAACGGATGCAGAAAAGCGGCGCTCGAGCTCCGTGAGCTTTCGCTCGTACTCAATCTGCTTCTCCGTAAGCTTAGCCTTGTATCCAGCTTGCTCCTGGGCGAAGACCGCCCGCTCTTCCTTTTGGACCTTCTCAATGTGTGCCACGACGTACCGCACCATGGCGTATCCGAACATGGTGATGGCCAGTGCGCCTGCAGTCATGCAGGCTGTATTGGATGGTTTATGTTCCATTAAGAAGTTCAGAACACCGGTAGGCTTCTGGCAACGGCAGCAGGATTGAAGCTCGTTCTTGATTCGGTCGGGCAAAACATTGACATAGCCCGCGAGGATTGAATTCAGCTGTTGTTGAACCTCCTGAGGTAGTTCGCAAGTCGCGGCAGTGTAAAGGTCGCTGCCAGTGGGAAGGGACTTGATGGCATTGGCAAATGAAGTTGGCAGTGCGCCATTGTCCTGGCTATTGAGAAGCACCTTCAAGTATTGGAAGCAAGGAGCCATTGTGGCGAGGGGTCTGGCGGGCTGGTGGGATCAGGCTGTGATGTTGTGGTTGTATTGAAAAATGTGGTGGTGGGTCGATCGGGGATGAGTGAGGTGTTGTTTAGGAACAGCTTCTGCTAGAGCAGTCGAGGTTCTTATAGTTGTTGCCAAAAAAAAAAGGGAGCACCCATACGGTCGCTAGTAGGAGACTAGAGGTGGTGAATGAAGAGGAAGAGAGCATTTGAAATGGTGAATGGATGGAAGTCCTGTTACTCGTGGGAACTGCAATTTCGAAGCACATGGATCAAAACAAAAACTGAAAGCATTTGTGAATTAGCAAGAGGAAATATAGATAAAAGAACCGATCTTTGCACGGGAGCCTCATGTCAAAAGCTCTCGATTTGTGGTTGCTGGAATAATATGGAGTCTCAATTTTCCCGTACTAAAGTCGATACGTGTCATCTGCTAGCAAACCTACCCCATTTTTCTACAACGCAGGCCGAGAACGTCAGCATATATATATGGGGTCGGCTCGACAACCAAGTTGGCAGGATCGAAACCGTCCGATCGCACTCCTTTGATATCCCCCCTATTTCAAGCGACTTCAACATATCCGAATGCGGGTCTGAGGCGCCCAACTTGAAGCTGACGATAAGTTACTGGTCTCTCCTCAGTGACCCCAGATTACCCCTGGTGGCGAAAAAGTCCCTCTTCGCGGTGTGTCCGCCGATGCCGGCCTCTCCATCGGCCTTTGCACAGCCGTGGCAGACGTCTTGGTCGGTTCCATCTCCAATTCCTCGAACCTTTCCTTAATCTCCCCATTCTCAATCTCAAGTGCTCCAATCCTCTCACTCAGGGCCTTCGCCCCGGTCTCGAGATCCTCTTACAGCTGTTTAGTTTTCGATTCCAGAACTTCGTTGAGCCGGAAACCAAGCTCTGAATTCTTCTGCTTGTATGACATGCGCTCATCCTGTTGCATGCGTTCCTGGTGGCGGAGCGGACACTGAACAGTCACGTAGTGGAGTATGGTGAAGGCCAAGACGACGAAGGCGGTGCGTGTTATGATCGCCTTGTTTTCTGATAGAAAGGCTGGGATTGCGTTGACGGAGGTGGCAGGGAGGGGTCGTTTTAGATACTGCCGTTGATGAGGTCTTTAAGGTAGTTAATGTAGAACGCCATTGTCGTGTAGAGGCTGCAGAAGAGAAGATGCGAGTCGCTTAGTGCGCTTTGTGGGTGTTGTGGGCGCTCGGAGTCGTGTTGATAGTGATGGCGGGATGGTGCGTGCGAAGAATCTGTGTCACTGCCTGTAGATTTTTGAACAGCTTTTGGTAGGTAATGGAACGGTGTAGAAGTAGCTAAATACCGATCTCAGAAACGAGCACGTGGCCATTGAATCGATTGAGTGAATGCGCGCTAATTGATAAGGAGAAGCCACATAGACCCGTCAGAGCGCAGTCAGACTTTTGATTACAGCACCAGCCTTCAGGGCTGGTCATCAGATCAACGTTGATTGAACGGACAAGATCCGATACGGTAGCTTGTTCAATGCATGGATCCTGATATTGGACTATGCGGACGGCGTTTCTGTAGCAGGTGAAAGATTCTTTGGAGTTTTCACTCTCGCAATTTTTAGGATTTACGTGCGAAAGAGGTATGCACATAACGCTTACTAGCTAAGCGAGTACCTCAACGACCACGTACCCCTGGAATAGAAAAGATGAATTAATACCCCGACATCGGTCAAATGAATTCTATGAAACCCCACTTATCTTGTCATCTGTAAGTAGAGATAGGTCATACAAACCTAAGTGGCCTGTTGCAACTACCCTGCAGATATCAAGTCGCTAAGTAGCAAAGCGCATACAGATTACAAAGTATATGCGCAATAATCTGAATAGTCGAGCACTAGGCTGATCAGACTACTCCCTCAACCACGACTCCGCATCCTGCTCTACCATCTCCCACTCTGATGTGATTTCGGCCTCTCTTGCGGCATTCCTAGCTTTATACGCCGCATCGGAGATCATCCAACTCTCGCTCTCCAACCTGCCGCCGCCCTTCAGAAAGTTCCGGAGAGGAATCAGGTGATGCGGTACCTGTTCCTCCACAGGATCTTCTTCAACTCTACCTTCATTTGCCCCCTCGGATTCGAGTCCAGCTTGCTCAGCTTTTGCCGTCTCTTTTGACGTCTCCTTTTGCTCGAAATTGCCCTCCGCCATCTGAATCCCGTCGATTTCTATGCTCTTCCTAGCTTCGCCTGCTGGGAACTCCTGGATATGCACGTTCAGATTTCCTCGGAGGCTCTCGGCGTTGTCGGCCAGGTCAGTCAGCGTCTGAATAACGTGAGCACTGAGCTGTGTCAACTTTTGATCGTACATCATGCGTTCCTCCATTCGAACGCTCGCGACACGACGGTTGAAATGTTGTACAGCCATGTAACCAATGACCATCAGACCGAGGGCGCCTGTGGTAGCGTAGGCAAAGTGTCCCTTGTGTTTGAAAAGGAATGAGAGGATCGTAGTGAGGGTTGACTGCTGGCAGGTGCAGTACTTGGCCAATTCTTGGTGAATATGGCTAGGAAGGCTGGAAAGATACTCGGCGATGATCAACTTCAGATCTCGTTGTTTCTCCGGGGAGAGATCGCAGACTGTAGCATCGCTGGAAAGGTCGCTATCGGGAAGCGACTTGATAGCCGCGGTGACTGCGGGTGGCAGTGCGTTATCGTCAGTTCCGCTGAGGAGGGATTTGAGGTAATTTACGCAAGCAGCCATTGCGATGTGGAGACTTGGAGGCTTGTAGGCTTGGAAGCTTGGAAGGGTTGGAAGGGTTGGTAAGTGGTGTTGTTGCTGATTGTGTTGTTTTAGTGGTTGTGGTGGGTAGCCTGGTAGGGTGTGTATGTGTGTGTTGAGAAGAAGCCAATTTCAGGGAGGTCTGGGGGTTTATGTATGGATGCCAAGAGTGGCCAGCGACTTAGAGGTAGCGACTTATAGGTAGTGAATTTATCGAACAAGGTTTAACATAGCTGTTGAGACCGCTGCTAATGTGATGATGAATCGATTGGTAATAAAGGTGTGGGGTTTCCAGGCGAGTTCCAAATAACGGTAGAGTGTTTGATAAAGCAATGCCACGTATCTGACAGATGGCCGGTAAATAGTAGTATTCGATGAAGCAATATATGCACCACCTATCGAAAAAGGGGTTCGCATTTTCTTTTCTCTCTATTCTAGGGCCAGTGTATCTTCAATCTTAAAGAAGGTAGAGTAGAGGGAAAAGGACAGTAACTTGGAGATCAGAGCGAAAAAATTAGGGAACTACATTTTACTGCTCTTATATAGGTTTCACGGAGGAAGCATTTATGGGGGATAAAAATGATCATTACGTCCACCTCCCCGCCCTCGCTATGTAGAGGTACAAGTTCGTACTTATTCCTTCATCATAGGCCGTACATGTTAAGCTTGCCTTCAAATTCAATAAGCCTACAACAGAAAGCTCACCAAATCACCTCCGTACCTCCCACGGGCTCATGTGTGCGATCTTCTGACCTTCAAGATTCTGTGCCCGACTCATGTGTCTCTTAAAATAAGAAATCATCATCACCTTCCACCACTTCCCACTTTTTATCAAAGAGAAGCTCATTTCTATGTCTAGATGAAGAGCCCTCGATCCCAGCGGTTGAAGAAGTATCATTAAACAGAGCTGCCTCAGCTGCGGTTTCTGAGCTGTTGTTAACGTCTACATTGACCAGCACCTCCTCTTTGATGCCTTCCGCAGCTTTCTCTGTAGTTTAAGCCTCATCCATGGCCTCGGAGGTTGAATGTGATGCGTTCCCTCAGCTTGATCTTGGTCCTGAACTCAGGTTAAATTGATGTGAACTCTGATTTCTATAGACGTCTAGCTAGTTGTATATATACTAGGGGAAGGAAGGGGGCCACCCCCAGGGTGGCGCGCTAGTAAGTTCAGATGAGCCCTGCACAGCTGAGGCTTCAGCTCGGTTCTCTACAGCTGAGATTTCAGCTGGGTTCTCTACAGCTGATGTTCGGAGAGTAGCTTTCTGGCATATGAGTTGTTGATCCTAGGTTGTAGTGCTGCAACCTGAGTCCTGACGCTACCATCCAACCACTTCCTGACTCGATGGGAGCTTGGCAGTCCCTGCGCATTTTCTTCTTCGGCACCCCCGCTCCAGACCCCTTCAGTGCTGCTCCACTCGAACCGAGCCTGCTCCTCCCGGATCAACAATGCCGACAGATACTTCACGGTCTCCTTGAGCACTTAGGTCTGCGCCTTCATGACCCTTTGAAACTCCCTAGCCACGTCGACCAGTGACTGATTGAACCGCGCTTGAGTTTCAGCCGAGTCCAGCTTTCGCTCGTATTCCTTGCGTGCCTCTCGCCGTACGTCCTCCATGCGTCGGTTGATGTACTTCGCTCCGAAGTATCCAAAGACTGTGATAGCGAGAGCGCCCGCGGTAACATAGACGACCGTAGACTGGGTATCGAACAGGGATTCAGGAATACTGCCTCTTGTGAAGCACGCACAGGCGTGGACAATATCGTGCAGGATGCGGTCGGGAAGGCTAGAAAGGTGTTGATTTAAAGCATCTTTTAGACTATGCTGGTTGTCTAGTGAGAGATCGCAAGTAGTGGCGCCGTCGGGGAGCGACCAGAGTGCGGCAATAAGCCCGGGTGGTAGTGTGGCATCTCCATTGCGGCCGAAGATAATTTTGAGGATATTCATACACGAGGACATTGTGGTGCAGGGACTTTCAAAGTAGTACGTGGGTGTTGTGCTTGTCGTACGGACAGAGGTGGGGTGAGTGATCTCTGGGAACAGCTGCTGGGAAGAAAATTAAGTCATTTATAAATCTGTCATAAGACAGCCGTCAATGCCTTTAATATGCGTGCCGAGTGTGGCCGACAGGAAGTTAGCGTGGAGGTGAATGAAAAGGCCGTTGATCGACCGAGCATTTATTATGATGGATAGAACAAAGTGCTCCTCTTGCCATGTATTGATCACAGTGCTAGAACAAACACGCAGATCATACAGAGAAAAGCGGCAATGAGATAAGACCCCTTTCCTTCACCGATGGATTCTGTGCAACAGATATGGCTGTGTGCTAGATGGGAATCTAGTAGAGTTTATGCGACGCTTATTTATGCGTAGATCTTTATTTTGCACGAGTCTAGATTCCCTAGTGCTCTGGAGCGGGCTAAATACGAGGTTTAATAGTATCAGATGAAGAGGAGAAGAGTGTAGTTTGAAGAGATTCAGAAAAGAGATATTTCATTGCAGTGCGGGAATTTCCCTCGAATGCGCCGAAGGTGGTATTTCCATCAGGGTTTTCCGGGCTTATATGAAAAAAGAAAATAAAAACAGCAAATCGTGCTAAGATTAGTTGTCACTTCTTCGCAAACCATAGTCGCAATTCGAGGCTAACCAGCAAACAGAAACAACTTTGAGCATCAAAAACGCATTTTCGGCTTGACAGTTTAGGCGGATCAACCGGTCCTATGGCTTCAGGGGAGAATAGTCAGGCAGTTTACATTTGAGAAAGCCATGCAGTAGGATAACATTAGATAAGTTAAACAGAGGTGAGTAAGGCCGTCCCGTACGGTGCATAAAACTATATAACTCCCATTGGCCCCTGAACCTACTCACCTTCTGTGCAAACTATTGCAAGGTCGCCGAAAAGCCCACGTAGCATGGCGAACGCTACGGGACCCATGCCACGCAGCATTCCACTCCCTCTAGAACACTGTCAGCCTAGTTCGTCCCCTTCAACAATTCCTCGTCAAGCTCGATCCACTCGGAAGATATGGACTTATTGGAGTCGCAATCGAACTCAGAGGTGACATCTTCCTTCAAATCTGGAGCTTGCTCCTCTTCGACTTCGACGGCAGCGCTATTTTGGACCTGTTTGTCCTTCTGGAGACCGTCCTGTGCCTGTCCCTCTTCAATGGCGCTACCAATAGTGTCAATCCGATCCTCGAGCTTTACAAGATCTTTTTGCTTGGCCAATCCTGCACCTGCCTCCTTGAGGTCCTCCGTATGAACGAGAGTCCCTTTCAACTCTTCGACTTCTTGAATCAGGTTGTGGCCGAGTTGACGCTTCAGCTGAGCAAGCTTGGCCTCATACATCTCCCGCTCCTCTATGCGGATCTTCTCTCCGCGCCGAACCACATACTTTACGGCCAGATAAGCCAGTACCACAGCCACAGCTGTACCAGCAATCCTCATCTTGGATCCCGTCAGGAAGTACATGACACGGCCGGATGTCGTGCACGTGCAAACCCGCAGTAACTTCTTCCTGACGCGATCAGGCAGAATCCCCGTAATATCTGCCATGAGGATCTTCAGGTCGTCTTGGTTCTCTCTTGGGAGGCCGCAAGTCTCGTTGGCAATGACCTGCCAGTAGAGTTCTTCTTCATTAGGCAACCACTTGATGCCGCTGTAGACTTCAGCGGGGAGCGTGCCATTGACATCGCTGCGGGTCAAGAGAGACTTGAGGAAGATGACGCAAGCAGCCATTGTGGTGACGAGACTAAGAGTGGTTTAATGATGGGGCGGCTTTTGTGGATTGTGGAGAACTCAGATGTTGTGGTTGCTGTGCACAGAGAGGTGCGGTTTGGTGGGCGATGTGGTAGTGTTTATGTTGAAAGGGAGATGATAGGAAGGGAGACTTGAAATAGGCCTATGTGTGCCAAGAGCGCTAGGAAGCCAGCGGTCAATTCAGTGGAGGTGCTTCTACATAATGTCTATGTGAATGGTGTGAAGGCGTGTCAGGATCACTGCTGTGAATTGGCGGTGGCAAGGCGGTGATGATGATGGTCACCTCCATGTAAATCGCCGGGGACGATAGCCTGGAGGTGAATGAAAACTACGCGACCAACGGAGCATTCGGCATGGTGAATTAAGTGAAGCTTGTTAGTCTTAGAGTAGATAAAGAGGATATGTAGAGGAAAGTAGCAATGATTCAGACAGAAAGAGAGAAGATCAGCCAGGCTCAGTCACTTTCGATAAGACATCACACACAATATGCCAATCAGCATCGGCTAACTCCGTACTGTTTGTTAGAAATAAGATTTTGAATTGCACCTGACCGATACCGAGAAGCTCAAAGAGGCGATTCAACCCTACACGGAAAGTTGCTTAAGCTCATTGCTGTCCGCGCATTTCATAACAGCTTAGTTCTCGAGCTCCCTACCGAACAATTCATTTCCATTCTCTCCATTGAGGACCTCCCATTCCGAAATACCATCCGAGTCGGCCGCTTCAAGGTCGTGATGCTCGCGAAGAGCTGCAAGGGGAATTGAAAAGGGTCCAAAATCAAATTCGTTCGTAGAAGCCAGAAAAATTTATCCAGATTCCATTCTCCATCGATCCTGTCCTCGGTCTTGTCATCGTCTTCCAGGGCGTCCATCTGCGGCTCTTCTTTGATAGCGCACTCCACATACCGAGACATACCCCAAGCCACCAGATATCCCACAGCCGTGATGGCTAGAGCTCCCGCAGCTGTGTACGCGGCCTCCGCCTGGTGCTCCATAATAAAGCTGAGAATGCGGCTGGAAGTCGGGCAGGCCTGCTTGAAACTTTGCTTGAAGTGATCGGGGGCTTTCCGCAAAATGTCTGCCAGAACGGACCACACAACGTTTTCATTCTCCCACAGGCGATCGCGGGCTTCGGTTGCGGTCGCGAAGCTGCTACTGATGAGCGACTGGAGGATTTCAACGAATTCGGTGAATGGAATGCCCTTGACGTCGGGGTTGATAAGCGTCTTCAGAAAGCCAACGTATGACATAGTAGATTAGAGCTTCTGTTGAAGTGGGTATGTGTTGTTGTGTTGTTTATGGGTTTAATTGGCAACAAAGTGGTGGGTGGTTTGTTGCTTTGTTGGTGTTGCACGTAGGAGCAGCTGTTGGCGAGAACATCGACTTTTATAGCCAAAACGACTGCTAAGATCAGTAGATAGATGTTGGTGAATATTAATAGGGGCTTTTCCATATTGTGCGTTCACTGTGGCCTCGCTGATGGCTCTCGTTAGACTGACATGCTCATGACATAAGCTTAAGAGAGAAAGGGAGAGTTCTGACCACATAAATACTCGATTGAAGGACACCACGTAGCAAGATACTCCTAGAAAATAACGAATACCATCCTATGGCGAGCTCAAGGTTGTAGAACTCCCCGCCTGCCTCGAAAAGATAGAATATATGAACTCCACTGAGCCTACCGAAAATGTGACTGACTGAGAGGGCTACGATTTAGATACCCGGTTAGGATTCCGACTGCTCGAGCACAAAATCCGACTACTCGCCTCCAACCCAATCGTTCGCGTCTTGATCCATAATCACCTCCCATTCCGAATCCAGTAAAGACTTGTCCGTCGCGGAATCGCCCTTGCCACCCTCGAGGTCCTGCTCGAGCGAGACTTCATTGTCGGTAGCGCCATCGTTGGCTTTGTTGTGCGGTGGCTCGAGTCCGCACACCGTAGACTGTCCGGCTTTGGCGATTGCAAGTGGCGAGCGGTCGTCCCTCTTGTCGTCCTTCGTATCGTTGAGATTTGCCTCGTTCTTCGCATCGTACGAATCATCCATCCAGGTCTTAGAGGGAAGTGAGCATGAGCTCATAGGACGCTCTGCATCATCTTTTGCGACCGCACCGCTGTCGACGCCCTCGATGCTGTCCAGTCTAGTATCGAGCCTCGCCAGCTTGCCCTCCTTCGTAGCCGAAATAGCATCTTCGACATCCTCTGCGTGCGCCAGAGTCTTCCCAAGCTTCTTAGACCTGACTTCGAGAGCTTGAGTGATACGGTCCTCCATATCAGCCATATCGCGATCATGAAGATGGCGCCCCTCGTTGCGGGCATTTCGAACTTGTCGAACCACGTACTGGGATGCGATGTATCCCAGAACACTAATTGCGAGTGCACCAGCAGTAGTGTATGCGATTTCTGTCTTATGCTTCACCAACAAGTTCAGCATCCGGCTTAGAATTGAGCCCGTGCTAGCTTTCTGCAGTTTCTCTTTGATTTGATTAGGCAGGCCGCGGGCATTCTCCGCCAGAAGGGACTCTAGAGACTTTTGGTTCTCGCCGGGAAGATTGGAGGCCTTCGTCGCCATTGCGGGTTCGTCGTTCGAGAGAGGTTGAACGCCCTTAACAGAGTCTGTGGCGAGGGTGGCGTTAGCGTCAGTCCGGGTCAGCAAGGTTTTAAGGAAGTTGACGCCGGCTTCCATTGTATTGTTAGAGTATGGCGAGGTGGTGGATAGGATTTGTGTTTGTTGTGGATGTTGGTTGTGAGTATGTTGATTGTGAGTATGTTGGTTGTGAGTATGTTGGTTGCGAGTATGTTGGTTGTGAGTATGTTGGTTGTGGGGATGTTGTCGGTGGCTTGGTGTGGGTCTGGTTGTGGGAGAGCACCGTTTCGTATGGAGGTCGAGGTTTAAATAGCCGCAGCGGTTGCCAAGAGGGGCGGCGGACAACAGTGAATGAAACCTTTGGCATAGTGAGGTGGCCGAACGACCGCCAGCGCTGTCTATGCCCTTCTTATGCGGAACCTAGAGCGAGAGTAAAGACACGTGAATTGACTAGCGCTCACGTGCGGTAGCGCTATTTCTGGGATGTGAAATATTTCTCGAGATCTAAGATATCTAGCAGCGATGAGTAAACATTGGGTGCAAACACGCAACCTTCCCGATCGATGTGGTGCATTTGAGAATTGACACATGCTGGGATCGAGCCAAATGGAAGTCCGGGAGTCCTTGTTCAGAGCATCAACATCAAATACTGGAGTCGACCAATGGAGTGGTAACGGAAAGATTAGCGGACATTTGAGGGCCACAAGGATGATTACCACCACCACGAAAATATCTTAATTTTATGTAGCTTTAGTTATTGATGTTGTTTATCATAGCAAACTCTTAGCAAACACTTCCCTTTGGGGTGATACTGGATAATGTATGTCCTTGCTAATACTGCGAATCATTCCAAGATTTCGGTAAACAGGCTTCCTCGGTCAACAAAAGTCTAGCAGCAGGAGAAATTAAGAACTTGCGATACACAGATCATGTATGACAGAGTAATGAGAGTTACACAGAGAGGGGACAGGGCGTGCGAAAATGATACTCCGCACAGAAGGAGCCAGGGCGCAACGCTTAGTTTCCGAGCCACGTGTAGGGGCAGATTCAAGTAAGATGAAAAGAAAGCAAGTTTAACAGATGTCAAAGGCTGTAAGACATGTAAACATTCGGTTTGGCGGCGAATAGACGAACTTGATTGTGAGGGCATGCGCCAAAAGCTAGCAATCGCATATCGCCGCTCGTACATCTTTCTCAGTGCATCATTGCTGGTTCTTGTCCGAATGATTGTGGGTTCTTTCATCTAACGTTTATTCCAGCGGCTGCCTATCCCTATCTCAACCCCTTTTGCGATCAATCCTACCTAAAACGTCAGCAGAAGAGTGAGAGGAAGGGACAAGATACGCACGGAGTCTGATGCCAATGCCCTCATGGGGGGTGGGATAGCAGATGCTTCATCGTCTCGGTGCCGACAAGGTACAGGATGATGCAGAGCAGGCTTGGCGTCCTCGACGATGCTGAAAACCGACAGCAGTCATTGCCCAGGATTTCCCCTTCCCTTCTTCCATCCCCGGTTCTTGGTATGATGTGTCTTCCGGGAGCAATCTTTCCCTAGTCACTTCTTCATCCCCGCCTCAATCTCCCTAACCTCCGCACCCAGTCCCTGCACCTCCTCCGCCCTCATCAACTGCGCGGAGGTCTCCAGATCCCTTATTACACTCTCTAGCCCCCTCATGAAGGTCTCAATCTCCTTCCTCTGGCCCATAACCTCATCCGCCAACTCTTTATTCTTTGTCTGCGTCTCCGCAAGTTGTGTATTCAAAATTGCCGTATGTTCTTCGAGAAAAGGCATCAGATGCGCAAGATGCAACGTCTCAGGCGAAAGCGTGTGCGGCCTACAACACCAACACAAATTAGCTTCCCCACACCTTACAACACAAGCGGCACGCGACTCACGGCACAGGCACCACCCCCCCGCCCCCTTCCCTCTCCATCCTCTTCCGCGCCTCCCCCACCGCATCATCCAACCCATTCAAACTCTTCACGACCTCCCTTTCCTTCATAATCGCCTCAAACTCGGCCTTCCACACACTCCCCAATTGGCCCGTGAAGTTGCGCCACAGTGCGTCCAGGCTCTCGGGCACGTATTTCGCGGCGGTGGGGAAGCAGGCGGCGAAGCTGCTGTAGGAGCATTTGGCCAGGGTCGCGTCGACGGACTGCGTGAAGATGGTGATGAGGCGCGTGGCTTTGGGGCCCGGTGCGTCGGCGGTTGGGGGCGCGGGCGCGGGGGAGGGGGTGCGGGATGGTGAGGCGGGCATTGTGGGGTTTGCGATTGGGTTTCTGCTGTGAGATTATGGTGAAGGTAGATCGAGAAAAGAGATGGTCGTGGTTTGCGGTTGTGTTGTTGTTGACGTCGCGGGGCATGCAGGCGGAGGTTTCCCCACGTTCGCGTTGATTGGCTGGGCTTAGACGTCACGTGGAAGCCATTTATTCTGTGTGCATAGGTATATTCTGCCTCTCACTTTTTTGCGGATATTGTCCATAGTGCACAAGCTTGACTTTCGAAAGCGGGTTCTATCATTTCATGTTCGGGGGCGGTTGGTTGAGCTGGCAAAAAGACAATGTCTGGTTCATAGACTTGGCGAAGCTGGGGAAAGGACTGTCGCGAGTCTGCTTCAATTGATGCTGGTGAATGTCATATTATACAGACGCCCAGAGAGCCTAATTAGTACATACGCAGATCTCCGTTAGGAGGAAATGCTACACAGGAGTATGATACAAACGTCAAGTCCCAACAGTGATTGCGGGTGAACATGACAATCGCAACTCACCTACTCTTCTCCAGAAGACCGCATGCGTCTCCAAAGGCCAAGAAAGCCACCGCCAACTACCCTCTCGCCAACCTTCGGACGACAGACCATAGCGTAGTCCGACTTCTGCTTAGCCAAATTGTCCTCGACTTCCCCATCTCTCGAAGCTTGCCCCTCGACCGCCTCATCTTGACTCGTCTCATCCGAAGTCTCTCCGGAACTTTGGCTGGCCTGCGACGAAGATGCCTTCTTGAAGACGGAACGCGGTCTAACAGACCTGACATCCCACTGCCGCATTGTGGCTGTAGCACCAAGTTCAACGACCTGATCCAGCACATACGGCAGCTTCTGGGTGCGGATACTCTCAACACATTCCGCAATCTGCGTAATGCTTGGATTGAACACAGCCAGTATGCCATCAACATGAAGCGCAGGCGCTACATTCGCGAGATGGGAATCGGCTGAGGGTAGGTCGAGGAAGATGTGCGACAAGAATGGCTCTGTTATGTTCCGGGCCTCCATCTCAGACGCAACCCACGCTGAGACATTGCCGACATGGAAATCGATATTCCCGGCGTATATCCCTTTCCGGAAGTTGCGCACGATCTTGCGAGCATGCGACTGGAACTCCTTGGAGATATCCAGGGTGTGGATGACGGCCCGACGTTGTTGCTTCCATGCCTCCAGGCTAATATTGTTAAGCTCGACAACTGATTCGTCTTCCCTTGCTGAATCTTCGACCTCCCCATGGTCTGGGGAAGTTGATTGTAGCTTCGGTAGTGCCGGGTTCGCGGCGTGAATTGCGCGCGAGAGATGGAGCGTCAAGGCGCCATGTCCCGTGCCAGCTTCGAGGATCTCAAGCGGTGAGGTATCCGCATCAGATTCGGAGGGAGGGGAAACGTGTATGTCGAGGAGGGAGACGATGATATTCGCATCGCCGGGGTATATCTACTTCTCCAATTAGCCCGGCCAGAACATCACGACCACGGTATGGAATAGCTAATAGAGACGCACGGGTGTGACTACACGCGGAGTTAATCGAACATACTCTGCAAGCGTTGGCTCGTAGACGCGGAACTCGTGGCCCGTTTTTGCAAGGACAATATCCCGAAAGCGCTTGCCGATGATGTTGGAGTGGGGGACTTCGCCGCGCCCTGTATTTGTAGACATCTTCTTCGATGAATCTAGGGGCTTGGAAAGTAGGCCATCAGAGGGCCCATCGCGTTTGCCGCGCAACAGAACAATGTCGCCTTCTACAGAGCTGTTAGCTATACGCTGAGATGGGTCATGATAGGGAAATAGAAACCTTCAAACACTTTCCCACCGGTGGTGAGCTGGCGGCAGCATTGGTGGCATACTGTGATTGAGCTTCTTCCATGTGGCAGGAGGCTTCTACGGGTGGTTGTGGGTGTTCGTAATAAGCGTCTCATATTTTTGAGGATGCTGACGTCTAGATATTCGACATCCGCGGACTGCGGCCTTCCCCCGGTTATGAGTGACGGCTAGGATGATGCGCTAGCGTGACTCGGAAGACAGGACGCCAGATTTCTCGAGAAACGCCACTCCGACCGCACGCCAGTCCTCCACACCAACCTTCGCCCGCTGCCGTCACTGAACCGTGCCGTCACCGTGCTGTTTACCTCGCATAACTGGCTGGCCATCAATTAGCATGGCGAGCGGCTTCCACGAGCGCATCTGACAAGTCAATAGCTACTTCACCTCATCTCCGCATTCCCCGCAAGCACCACCGAGCGAGGCACCCTAAGCAGCCATGACGCGACGAATTGTATGTGGAGCAGCACCTCTCAGACCCTTCATAGTGCTAACCTCTTCAAGGTCCGTGCGAGCATGCAGCTGGGTGTCTTCGCCACCATCATTCTGTTCCTCGTCTTCTTCTTAGACACTCGCTACCGCGTCCTCCCCCAGTCCATCCACAGTCACCTCCCCCTTCACCACGAAGGTCTCGTCATCACCGACATAACCGTCCAAACATGCTCAAGCCTCAACCCGCTGGGGTCTTGCAAGCTTGACCCCAGCGAATGGCACCGCATCGAGAAGGATCTCTACCTCGACACCGGCTGGGTCTCTGCCGCATACGTCCACATCAAGCGCAAGCGAGAAGAGGAGCTCAAGGAGGACGACCGTGTTATTGAGGACGTTAGGATTGGGCGCCTAGACCCCGCTATGGGCGAAAAAGACCAGGCTGCTCATAGATGGGAGGCTCGCCCCGCTGGAGTTTGGCTGAAGCGGACGGCCAAGCGACACGCGGCCGACTCTACGAATGTCGTGACTGCAGTGGACGTTCTCTTCGGTGCAGATGCTGTCGAACCACGCCCGGGCTGGGAAATCAAGGACAACGCGCTGCAGCTGGATACGGCTGGAGAGGTTCACGAGGCTCGTTTGACCATCCGGCGGGGAAGCCCCAAGGGTTTTTCTAAACCAGTTCCCAGAATTGGCAAAGACGGCAAGTTCAAAATCATGCAGGTTTCGGATCTCCATCTTAGCACTGGACTGGGTGTCTGCAGAGACGCGAACCCAAAGACCAAAGAGTTTGCAAAATGCGACGCCGACCCTAGAACCCTCGAGTTCGTGGCCAAGGTGATAGTTGACGAGAAGCCTGACATGGTCGTTCTTTCTGGGGACATAGTTAATGGCGAAACGGCTCCAGATGCTCAAACTGTACGTTTCTTGCACGTCACGTTCCCCCAGGCTCTAACAGTATCTAGGCCTTGTTCAAGATCGCTGAGCTGCTCGCCAAACACCACATCCCATATGCCACTATCTGGGGAAACCATGACGATACAGGCTCTCTCCCTCGCGACGCACTCATGTCTTTGATCGAGTCTCTGCCTTTCTCTCTTGCTCAAAGTGGTTCCAACACCATTGAAGGCATCGGTAATTACTATGTCGAAGTTCTCGCCCATGGCAACAACAAGCATTCCGCTCTCACCCTTTACTTCCTTGATACCCATAGCGGTTCACCTGACGAGCGACTGTACCCCGGGTACGACTGGCTCAAACCCAAGCAGATCCAGTGGTTCAAGGATACCGCGCAGACTCTTAAAAAGTCGAACCAACACAAGGCGTACACCCATATCCATCTCGATATGGCTTTCATCCACATCCCGCTGCCCGAGTATATGGATCAAAAGAACGAGATAGTCGGTAAATGGGGCGAAACCCCTATGGCACCACGCTTCAACACCCACTTCAAGGATGCGCTAGTGGAAGAGGGCGTCAAGGCAGTCTCGGCTGGCCACGATCATGTCAATGACTACTGCGCACTTGCCAAGAACGACAAGTCCGGCGATCCGGAGCTGTGGATGTGCTATGCCGGTGGTAGTGGTTTCGGAGGATATGGCCGAGACGAGTGGTATCATCGCCGCATCCGCGTGTTCGAAGTCGACGCGAACGAGGCAAGGATTTCAACTTGGAAGAGGGTCGAGTACGGAGAGACCGAGAAGAGGCTCGATGACCAGGTAATCGTGGATTCTGGAAGGGTCATTGCGCCATAGTGTGCGATCGTGTTCGATCGTGTTCGATCTTGAGTTCTCATACGGCCTTTGTCAAAATTGGAGTTCGGGTACCACACCTCATCTCTGGGTTGGAGTCTTGTTTATTGGGTCCTCTGTTTCAGCGAGGCGTTTGCTGCGATTGGCGAATCAGAGAACTGTATTAGGTTGCACCCAACATGAGGAAAATAGTAGTGCATGGCGCCTATGCTGTCGAGGTAGTCACTGAATGTCACCACCACAGTGCTTCTGCTCCGGTTCGTGCCTATTCCCTAAATCTCATAATATGCCTTCTCAATTTGTTCTCGTCACACTCCAACTCCGTATCTCTACTCTTAACCTCGATACCTCTTTCAAAGTGTTCGAACCATACCCCACTCCCGGAAATGCCAATGCTTCTAGCCATTTTTTCATGCTATATGTCTATAGCACTCTACCTTCAACTTCGCATTCTCAGGTTTTCCAAGCCAGTTCAAGTAATGAGTGTGAGATGGAGTGAAAACACGGTAGGAGAGCCTTGACCCCTTTTCACAAATCTCCCGGTGTCTGTACAAGACCTAAACCTGCATCACTTGACCCAGAAACAAAGCTTTATTAGTGATACTTCTCCTGCAGTCTACAGCTCCCAAATATACGGTACTCAATGCATGACGCCAGTATTCACTGCTTGGGATAGGGTCATTGATAAAATAGCATCGCGTTGACCAGGGAATCTTTGTAACCTACGCATTGACGGGCTGTATTGACCCTAAGAGGGTAAATGTACTACAATGGTAACATACACATGGACGTTCATTTGGGCGACCGTTTAGGTCAAACGCCAACCCCACGCGTCGGGCAAACACGAGCAGCAACATAACAAGGGATCGATTCCTGCAACCACTATTTGAACCCGGTATTTCAGAATCTCACCACTCCACCACCACCTCGATCTTGGGAGTTGAAGGACTACATAAACACTTACGAGGTCGGACACTTTGCATCTCCTCATACATGCCAATTACGCCTTCGCGAAGCTTGATTACCCTACCTCCTACTCACGCTACCAGAACTAAAAAGCCAGCTCGTTGCATGCCTAACATATCCGCCAGCTTTCCTCCACCGAGCTCCCACCACTGCCTGTTCTCCCTTTCCACCACTCTTCCCCAAACTCCTCATCTTACCTTCTTCACCCCGATTCAAACTCTCTCTCCCCAACTCATGCTCCCCTCTCCCACGCCTCCTCAACACCTCACCCTCCCCTGCTATCTCTCTAAACCTGTCTTTCAACCGCCTATCCTCCATTTCCAGCTCCTCAATCCGCTTTCCAAACTCTACCTGCTCCCCCAGCTTCCTCTTCTCATCCCTCAACTCCCTAAACTGCCGCATCAGCTTCTCCGTCTCCGACTTCATCCGTATCGCATCATTCGCGAAATCGTTCCGCTCTTCGAGAACTTGGCTGCTGTTGTGCATTAGTAATCTCATCATGTATTCTGCGTCTTCCACCTGCGTTATCCGCGCTTGTAGTGCTGCTCCGGTGTCTATCTCCGTGCGGACGGAGTCGTGTAGCTGGGCTACAAGCTCTCTGAGTTCCGCGAGGGGGTGGTCGGCGGCGTGCTCGGTGTTGCGGGTTCCGGTAGCAGTGGCGGTGGATGCTGCTTCTACGTCCGCGGCGTCGTCTGCGCTGGTGTGGGAGCCGCTTTTGTCGGCTTCAAGGCCATCTTCTTCCGCGTCATCTAGACCAATGGTCTCGGATCCATACCGGAGAACTGTGGCGACGGAGCCCACAGGCCCAGGTGACGATCTCCTAGTCACATCGGAGCTTAATGGCACATGAGCACATATATCTTCTTCCTCGTCCTCCATCCAATTCACACATATCTCTTCTTCTTCGTCTTCCATCCAACTCGCACATATCTCTTCTTCTTCATCTTCCATTCAATTTGCGGAAGGCTATGACAGTTGGGTGGAGTGCTCTTAGACCGTTTCAGATGCTTTTACATTTATCTAGGCATTCAGTACAGCCTGAGATATGGAAAGACGATGCGAGACGAAGAAAAGACCGGCCATGTGTTTAGAAAGCTTCAGCAAAATAGGACGCATGTCAAGAGCTGGCATGCGCAAATGGGGAAGCATCGTGGCATCAGTGGTCGTTTGAGCTGGTGTTAGGGGGACACGTCCTAACTTCGGATCTGAGTTGAATGACTAAAAGCACGATAGTGAGGCAGTTTAAGATGACGTTGAGGTGTGAGAATGGCGAAGGCTTGAAGAATTGGGCGTATTGACGTTGAATCACCACGTGATACCTATCCCTATCACGTGCGACCAACTTCTGCTGGGTATAAAACCTCCCGCTTCTTCGTTCCAGGACTCACTTCTCCATGGCATGGGTGGATGGGGGTTCTTCAATAACAACCCTTATGTCCTCAAATATGGTTGCTTGCATTGTGGGATTCGGTTTGGTGTGCAAAAGGCGATATTTATCAGCCTAATGGTGCAGAGGAAGCGGAGTCTGATCAATACTCGAATTCGTTCGATCCTATGACTGGAGAGTGAAGGAGGGAGGACTCACGACCGCCAACCCTCCTGACGATACCCACCGCCACTAGACCCCCTTCCCAACCTCCACCTCCCCATCTCGACGCCATGCCGCATCTCTCCCCACTACCACTATCAATTACCCCCCCCCCCCCCCCTTTAGCAACACGCCTCACTCTTTCTTTCTCTCAGTGCCCAGCATCAGCACCTCCCCATGCGCCTCCACACCATAGGGTCTCGCCATCGTTCGTGTAGTAATGGCCTAACCCCCCCCTCCACCATTGCTTTCAGTGGCAGAAGGCTTTTTTTTACCCAACATGATAGTTGGTGGTGCTGTAGTTTACTCCACAGCAGCCAATGAAGCGGAGACCCTAATGTTTGACACGCGCCATCTTGTCGCTGTCTAGGATCTTTTCAATCCTCCAATAGTGTCCTGACCTCCAGCAAAGAAATCAGGTTGCAGACGGCGCGGTATTTTGTAGTAGTTGAAAGATGAGATATTCAGGGGCACGTGGGGTGCACGTGTGTGTAGGAATGGAGGAGAAAAGATAGGGGTGGGCATGTGGCATATGCATGTGTAGATAGGATAGGATAGCATGAAAGTGACCTCAAAGATGAAATGTGGTTTTTGCAGCTGGCTTGTTAGATGATCTGCTGGGGAGGAAGTATGCTGTAGGTTCTGCGGCTTTGTTAGATGCTCATCGATGCCCCGGCTAGACTGAGTGCTGCGAAATCTGGTTGAGGGCGTCTTCACTCGAGAGCTTCCCAGTAGAAATGTTCAAAAACTAGATGCTGTCAACCTGCCAATGCTTTTCTACCTACCCACCTACCTACGCAATTCCCTTCTCCCTCTCCCTCTCCTCCCTCGGCCCCTTCAACCCCCTCACCTCCTCCACCATCCTCACCACCGCCGGCAACACCTCCCCAGCATCCACACTCGCCCTCACCGCCTCCCTCCCCGTATTCCCCTCCGCCACCCCCCCAAAAAACACCTCCTCCCCCCTCACGCCCCCAATATTCACAACCCCAATCGGCATCCCATTCTCCCTCGCCCGCTTGACCAGCCGCCACGCCGAATACGTCGCCAAGCTACTCCCCACCACCAGCACCCTGCTCGCGCCATCCACCGCCTCCTCCGCCGCCATCTTCGTCGCCTGCGGAATACTCTCCCCAAACATCACCACCGCCGGCTTCAACACACCGCCGCTCGAGCCCTCCGCCCATCCGCCGTCGCTATCAAGCTGCACGCCCGCGGCGGCGCCCGCGGCGAGGCAAGTCGGACACGCCGGGTAGCGGAACGTGCCGTACGGCGCGCCGGGGATGTCGACGTCGCCGTCCGGGTTGGTCGTGAGCCCGCGCGCGCGGCGCTGCGCCGGGTCTTCGGTGTCGAGCGCGCCGGAAGCCAGGACTTCGGCCAAGAACGCGGCCCAGGCGGGGTTGAGCGCGGAGAGCTGCGTCTGGAAGGCGGTGCGCGGATACTCGGTGCGGCAGGTCAGGCAGACAAGGGCGCGCAGGTAGCCGTGGAGCTCAGTGGTGGGGAGGGAGGGGTGGGCGAGGGGGTGGAAGGAGTCGACATCTGGGGGTTGGGGGTTCAGTATGGGGAGGTTGAGGGGAGCGGGTTGGATGTGGAGGGTATGGCGTACTTTGTGTGATGCAGCTGCTTATCACGCCCAACTCCCCTAATCGAGCAACGGCTTTGTGGGCTATGTTTGGCCGGGCTTTGTGGAGATTCGTCCAGCCTAGGTAGCTCCGCGCCCAGTACCGCTTCCGCGCCTCATGGTTCGCCGTGAACTCGTTGTAATACACCGGTTTATACGTCCGGTTCAGCGTATACGTTCCATTCGTGCCTCTGTAATCTGCCAGGCCTGATGCTACCGAGATACCCGCGCCGGTGAGCAAAACGGTGCGGTCATTGCGGGCGGTATCGAGTTTGAGGTTTTTAGACGGGGGCGCGGTTAAGAAGTCTGTGAGACATGCAATTGCGCCGGACACTGTCGCGGCAGTCCGGGGGATTATGTGAGGGGGCGGGAGAGGGTCGGTATAGGGGACGCGCAGTAAGGGCATGTCAATGGCGCGTTAGAGGGCATGGTGGTGGTGGATGAGGCTGAGGCGCAGTTGAGGTGGTGGGAGCTAAGGGCGTTGTCATCGTCATCAAGCGGGTTGAAGTCACATGACCAATGTCAATATAAGTACTGATATAGCGCGTACAAGATACAATTTCCTATGCTATGCGATATCGGTATCGGGATATTGACGGTGTACCCAAAGAATGACAATGATCCTACCCAATCGAACCGTAGTGCAAGCTTGTTGAATGAAGCTTTCCGCCCGTTCGCCGCAATCGTACATTAACTAACGAGATAACCCGCCCAACCGTCCCTAGAGTATGCAGAAGAAGATTCGTGTCGACGTCGGTGACAAAATAATGCGGGTGAAGAAGTAAGAAATTCGTAGCGCGGATAGTCTTCCAGTGGTGTGCTGGTACATAACAAGACTACTGCGGAGGTTGAGGGTATGCCGGAGAAAGAGAAAGCATGGACTGGATGCTGGGCCCGCCACGCTGACCCGGAAGCGCGTAGCCGCCCTGCTGTACATGCCCATGGTGCTGCGAGCCGTCTGATAGCTCCGATGTATGGCTGTGGCCTTCATCTAATTCGTGCTCAGCGTCCGAACAACCGATACCGCTGTCGCCGACTGAATTACCTCGCTCCTTCCTCTGTGCGGAACGATGGGCTTGCTGGAGGTTCTTCAGGCCCTTTTCCATGCACTACTACAGTTAGTATCTGGTTCTTTGGGAGTAGCTAGAGAGTACCCGCCTTGGCCTCAACCATTGTCCACTTCTCGCCCACTCGATTGGCCAGGATCGTCCACATTTCGCGCCGCACGTTCATGTATTCCATGGCAAGAGTCTCCAGCTTCACGCCGTCCCAGTCCTCGGCGTTCTTGCGCTCCATCAATCGTTCGTGGCGTTTGCGACAGGCATTCGCGGTTTTGGAAGGGAAGTGTTTCGTAGCAATGGGCTGCCAGTTCAGCCCCGAGGCTCTGGCGCTCATCAGCGTTTCGTCGTCTTTGGTGGTCCATGTGGTGGCTGCCCGGGATGCGCCACCGGCAGCGGCTGTGGTAGAGATGGAGGAGGAGGGTCGGTGGCTGACCTCCTTCGGCATGCTGATCATGAGGGCTAGTGGGAGCGAGGTCGGAGGGGCAAAGCGACGGTAGAGAAGATAAAGCGATGGTGTACTGAGAGCGATTGAGGACGAGGTTCAAACGAAAGAGACCCCGGTGATTGATGGTGGTTGATTAGGATTAAGAACGAGGGATCTAGCACAGAGCAAGGAAAAGACGATATGAGACAGTAGGAAAGAAACGAAAGAAGACGAGTTTACTGTCGTGTATGAGGCATCTGGGCTGCACTTGGTGAGGCCGCATGCAAAGCTTTATAGCGGACGGTGCCACCTGCAGAGGGCACGGCGAACGGCCACGGGCCCAATCAGGGCGGGCGGAGAATTGGGTGAAACAGGTTCCAGTTTCTTTAATCGCCCGATCAAGAGCAAACACACTCAATCTGGCGGGCTGAAACTGGACAATGGAGCCGCGCCCGAGGGCGTTTTCTGGCGCTTCGTCGAAAGACGGCAGGGGAAGCGGATCGGGGCCCCGTGAGTGGCCTCAGCACAGCAGCGGCAGGCTGCCCGTTCCTCCCGGGCAGCGGGCTGGGCCAGCGAGGGCGAAGCGCCTGTTTGAGGATATTTCGGGCGAGGGTGCGGCTCTGCGTCGCCATATAGGCTGCGTCGGCGCATACACAGATGCTGGGCGGCTAACCCCCAGCCATGTCTCTGAATGGCCGACAAAATAAGACCACGGCCGCCCCAACGCAGGGGAGCGGCGAGAGGCTCTCGAGGCGGCCGCCTGCTGCCCCATCGCGCCGGCTGGTAGGGCTGAGACCGTCCTGGCCTGACGACGGAGCCTCTCCGTTTCACGATGCTGAGCCAAGCCGATGCGGCCCCACGGTGCTGGGAGATGCTGGCAACGGCCACACGGTAAGCGCGGGATACGCATGCACGTATGGCGCTCGAAACATGATCGCCGGTGTGGGTGGGCGAGATCTGCAATGTTTGGCGACGGGGGTGAATTGCTGGAGACGCAGATGGCAGACGACGTTGTTGTTGTTGTTGCGACGGGGGTTAGCGGCAAAACCATACCACGTGCATACCTTTGTACTCCCCGTTGCATAAATACATAAATACCTTCCACAAGACGCGCCTTGCCGCTTTGGGATCCTGCTCTGCCTAGGCATTGTCCCCACCAAAACACACGTGAAGCCTCGACCCTCAGGCCAAGAGGCCTCCACCAACACCATCCCCTGCACCCATCAGGAAAAATAGGATTCAGACCGGCTCTTCTGCCATATAAGCGCCCTCTCCCCGTTGCGGCACAGCAGTCTGCCTCAATCTGGTCCTCAGAGCCGTTTGGAAACCTGCACCTCCGTCTGAGCCTGGGGTCCCGCCTTGGGGTCTATTCAGGCAAACGGGGAGGCCAGCCTCGTTGGGCGGCGCGCTGCAGTCCACGTAGTCAACGGCTTGTGGGATATTTATGACGCTGACCTTTCGTTTCAGGTCCATGGCTGATGGCTCAGCACTCGTGGTTCAAGCGCCCGGGTCTTCGACGTTGCCGTGGACGACGTTGTCGAGTGCTTCAATGCATTTCCTGTCTGGGAACTAGCCTGTACTACTAACTCGAATCAGGTGCTCAGAGCTGATGCCACACGCCAGAGGCCCGAACTCAGACCCTCGGAAATGCTTCATTTGCAGCCGTTGAAGTTCATTCGTGTCTTCCTTGTTCGCTGAAAAGCCGCTGTCAAATTTCAGGTCAATGAGATATATATTCTCGAAAAAGCTTTACTCACAGACAACGATTGCCCTTTGATCCTCTGTCGTTTCTTTGAAGCAATTTTAATATCCAATCGATGACTATGAAATGCTCACGAAAGCCTTTACCCATGGCTCTCTTAAGGGCTCCAACGACTTACCCTACCATCAAATTGCTTAAAGTAACCTCCTGATTTCGAACTCAATGACTAGTATCAATTTTCATAAACTCGAAACACACTCTCAGGACATTTTCTTCGCTCAGAGCTCTTGCTCCTAGCTCTTTGGTATCTTCAATGTGCTGTCATACGCTGTCCAAGGACGCCCGTTGACTCGAGCTGCTGGTAGTCACACCTCATATGTTACCTTCCATTGTTTCCATGTCGCGTCTCCGCGTTTCCTTTTCCAAATCCCATGATACCTTCAATCTTCCCGAGAGGTGGCATATACCCTCTGGTGGCCAATTACTGCAAATGCGCGTTTTATAGAGGGTCACTAGGAAGACTCAACCCTCACGATGGACCATCGCTAGGCTCTGCCGTAGACACGAGCCACTGATAGAGTCATATATATTTCTCTATATAAACTATAGAATTCGAGCGTACCATTCCTCACCTATCAACAGCAGAACTCGACTTCAAACTTCTACTACTTGTATCAACTACCACCTTCAATACACCGAAAGATGAGCACTCTTTACGTCGATATCAACCGGGACCTTGAACACAGAACATGGCCCAGCCAAGTGATCAAACAGTGAATGAAACCCAGACGCTGTTTGTAACCGGCTTGCCCGTGGAGCTGTTGGACCAAGTTCGCTCGAACATGAGTTTTGAGGATGCTTGTTCAGCTCAACTCGCCCAAAAGGCGTTTTGCCCGTCTGCTAGCAGGAGATTGGTACATACCTTGCGTGTCACGCCCACCGACGCCAGTGTAGAAAAGCTCTCCGTGACAGCGAGCTCTGAATGGGCGGAGTCCGTACGAGATATCCATTTCGACAACCCCGACAGAACGAACACACTACCCGACCAGCTAGATGCCGCTCTCTAGGAAATGGGGCAAAAATTGACCGGCCTCAAAGCAATCTCTATTAGCTTTTGCCCCGATATTTTGGCTCAGCGGCCAGGATTTTCGTTCCGGCAGACCCTCATGACGAAAATCGCCAACGGAGTTGTTAGCACTAACACGAGCACTTACAAAGACACGCTGAAGACACTTTCAATCCAGCACCTTCACCCATTCAGTGATCCAGACTTTGGGATACCTGACTGGCCATCCCCCGAAACATCTCCTAAGTTCGACACCCTCCTTCGAGGTTTGACAACCTTGTGACTGGGTATGCCGACCGACGCCATACCCACACGCTACGGCCCTTTAAACGTTCTACAGTACAATCCCAGCACCCTTACCTTCCTACAAGATCTACCGAGAAGATGGCTGGAGCCTGCCCAGAACCTAAAATCTTTGACATTACACTTTCCATCGAAATGAACTGGCCAGTCCTGTACTGGATCTCACGAAGTGCTGCTTCACCAATCTCGAGTCTCTTTCGCTCGCAAATTACGGCATCTGGAGCGAAGTTCAAGTAGAGTGGATCTTCCAGCACCAGAAAACTTCGGAGAGTTTAAGCCTCATCGTCTGTCCCATCATCTACCTCTTTGTTTGCAAGACTACGCGGGAGGAGCTGGCATATCCTCAGTGGGGCAATGAAGATCCACAGCTAAATTCGCATGAAGAGGAAGTCCTCGACCTCCTCTACAAGCCTTTATATGAGAAGGTCGCGCCTGGGGTGTTCCTGACTAAGTTCACGTGGGCGCAGTGTTTCAAACTGATCAATGACAAGCTTCCTAACTTGACGCATTTCAGGTTCGACAGCCGCGGTGGAACATTGTTTCATCTGGGTCTTGATGACAGTGAGCTCGTCAAAAGAGAGAATCGGTATGGCTGGGTTGAGGAGAGATATCACTACTACAACTTTCGTGGAGATGCGCGGCGCGTCATGAATCACGACATCGCGGGTATGCCCGGCCGTACTCTCCACCCTTATTCCGACATGGACCAAGGTGCAAGCGGTGTTGACAAACAACATCAAGAAGATGCGGCAGCTCTTCGAGATCTTTTAAAGAAAACCGGACAATTTAAGTCAGAAGAATCGAAGGAACAATTTCGGAAGGATTTCGAAGAGTTCGACTGGTCGCCAAAGCGAGATTATGGTCCTGGATACCGTATGATTAATTGGAGGCCGCCCCCGATTGAGTCGGCCTAACATCTCGGTCCAGGCCACTCTTCTACGCCTCATATCTCATCTGCCTCCTTATCTCTTTCTTCCACTCTGTCTTCAATTATAGATCTCATTTCTCCTGACTTACACCTGTAATATTTCATTATGTGACCCACAGATACCCAGCCATATATTTGGCGTTCACCCTGAGTAGTAGATATCTTGGATCACACTTTCACAACTTTCCTTTATGTTTCCGACCTGCAAGCTTCTTCGGCAGACTCCAGGCTGTATCTCATTATTTCCTTTTATGTAGAACTACCCAATAAATCAATCCCTCATATTTAGACCCTTTGTCTCTCACAACGTAATATACACTATCCCCCTACGCCCACACCGCCCTTCCTGCCCTCCGCCAACCCTCAGACATCAAGTTTCTCCTACCTTCAACCCCCAGCAATCCCCTCCTCACTCATTCCCCAAACCGCCACACCCACCTGATTGCCCCTAGTAATCCAGCTTTCCCACAGAGTCATAAACCTCACCCATCTCCCAATCCACAAACCAGCCCGCCCATACTGCTCCCAATTCACAAACAAACAGCGCTCTAACCCCCCTGCCCCCTCCCTCGGGAACCGCCAATCAAGACGCTAGGGATACATCCAAGTTTCCAGGACACGGAGGGCGAGCGCGGTGGTGTGTAGAACCGCGTCCCGGAAGCCAACGTTTAGAGAAGAAGGGGGTGATGGAAAGGAGTTCGGGGCGATGCCCCACCCCAGCCGCTCCACCGTCGTGCTGTTGGTACTACGTACACCGCGGGAGGGGTCCAGGATTTCCCACGATCCGGATCCACTCGTACGGTTGGAGTTGGAGCTAGCAGCGCGGTTGAGGAGAGTGGAGTCTGTGATACAGTGCCGGTTAAGCACGCTGATGGTTTAATCGTGTCCACTATTATCCATGAAGACAGGGGGCATGTTCTCGCCCTCTCTGAATTCGTACACAGTTGCGGTTGCGAAGGACAAGGTCCAATTACCACTTTTTCGAGAAGCAGAGCTGGGGAATGAGTCGATGGAATCGCTGGCGAGCAAGTAATTCCAAGCAAATGCGGCCATGCCTTGCATGTCTGGGAACATGCGTTCTGCGGAGCCGATGTGGAGGTTGTGGGGAGAGGATAGTGCCGACGTGGAATACGTAGTCAGTCCTATATCAAGGACGAGACTACTTATAACCCCCCTGTTTTGCTGCTGCGTATAAACCCCCATTTTGCTTGCATATAACCCCCCGCTAGATTTAGCCTAGCTCCGGCTTGTAACAACTTTGTTCCACTAATTAGGCTGTCGCTTAGGCGATAATAATGTTTAATAACGGGTTTTAATTCACCAATACAGCACCGGATCTCTCCACCGGATCTCTCCGCTAGACAAGCCGGCACCCTAACAGTAACCTAGGGCTTTATTTCCTTAGTCGCTAACAGTCAACCAGCCCTAGAGGACGCCCCTTTGTCTACTCCTAAGGAGGAGGCTATTTGTAATGAAGGAGCCGATGCAGCAGGAGGATATTCGGGTGTAAGACCTTGGTACAATGGTGTATACGGGCGTTCCTTTCAATTAGCAATTGAGAGGCGGCCATCTAGACGCTTTCCGCTTCTAGGCTAGCTAGAGTAGATGGAGTAAATAGACTGTTGTTGTTGTATATATATATACATCCTATGCGATTCGTGTATACATCCTTTCCGATTTGTATAGCCTTGCCGTTTTGTATAGCCTTGCTGTTTTACGCATCTAACAAGCGAGTGAATATAATTGGTGGAACAATATTAATACGGGCTGGAGCTAGGCTAAATTTAGGGGGGGTTATATGCAAGCAAAAAGGGGGGTTATAAGTAATCTCGTCCTATATCAAGGGTAAGGTGACATGGGATTAGGGGGCGAGGTTGTCAGGTGATCAGCGTTGATTCATTAGAAGTCCGGCGGCGTTGTAAGAGGGTAGAGGTTCGGAGAGGGAGTCTGTGGCTTTCCGGTGCTCTTTCACAGGTTTGAGAGGGTAATGCTCACAGTGATGAGTCCAGGGATAAAGGCGAGGAGGGTGCCGTAGAGGGATATGGTGGTGTGAATGGGCCGTTGTTCCAGACGATAGAGTAGGCAAAGGAGCGGGCGCGGTTTATCGATCGAGGATAACGACTCGGAAATCGTCGGGTTGTAGGACAGTTATGCCTTCTTTCTAGAGAAATGAGACGAAGAGACGTTTCTTCACGCTCTAGAATTCGACGTTCGGGCAGCGGTTGCGCGCGGATCCAAACCGTAGCTTTACTAATCCGTGGCGGTCGATTTCGTGAGCGAGTTCGAAAAAGGATGAGGTTTAGTGCTCCGCCGCTGAAGTCGGGCGTGCTAGGGACAGGCGCGTAATTTGCCTAGTGATCGTAGATTATGAAGGCATTTCAGCCTATCGCCTGCATCTTCATATCTAATACGAACAATTAGAGTATAGCGATCAAAAGTCGTGTTCATTTTATCTTCCCACAGCTCAGGTACAGGCGTGCGCTAATAATGCATTTTCCTGGCAAACATAAACGTCGTCTTCCCGTTAATGGTGAAGCTGACGCGGTTCCCTCAGACCACCTAATTGAAGCCATTGTCATGTATCGGCCATCTTGGAGAGGCTGACTCTTGAGCTGAGATAGCAGGATCCCGAGGCATTCTGACAAGATAGAGAAAAAAAACAACACTATTCCGATTCGCTACACAACAACTTTCAGTGACGTAACACCGTCCTACTGAGCCTGTGGGTCCCCCATACATCTTGAACTCTGCACCTACCAACAGGCCGGCGAGAGACACATCGAAAAAAGGCAAAGACGTGATTAAAATAAGGTTTAACGATGTAGCGAGTGCCCAACCAAACTTCGCGGAGCGACGCCGGCACTACCCCACATAAATGCTGGTCGGGGTCTTAGAAAGCGACAGCGTATGCGCACCTGCGTGCGGCCCCTGTAACTTTAAAAGGCGGCACGGAAATTGAGTCAACTAAGGGGAAGAGGACTATAATTGAAAGAAGGTGAAGTAAATAAATATGACAGTTGCAATACCACTTTCAAAGATGTCGCCGACATGCTTTAGAGATGTTGTTATGAGAGACTTACGGCTTCAATATCGCGAGGTTGGAAAAATAGACCTACTAAAGCGAATGCGAGGAGATCGGCGTGTTCGGATTTTAGTTTCATGGAGGTGAAGGGGGAGAAAACATGCACTTTCGTAAGCCTGCATATACCGTCTTGGTATTGCATATAGAACTTCAGGTTATTTTGAAGAGCGTGAGCAAGATGAAAAAGTGATCATTTTGTACAGTCTGTAAGCTCACCGGGCCAGCTCAGACGGCATTGGCCTAGTGTGAAGTATAGGCAGAAAAGGTGAATTCAGCAAAATGAAAAGCAAACATACCGCCAACTCCGCGCTAAATGCAACGCCCATCGTAATATGCCGTTCGTAATCAAAGGGAAAGCTCTCCCGTGGGTATCACTGTCCGACCGACGCCTGCCCTACCTAGAGCCCTCGAGCTGCCCCCTCAGCCTCTGCAATTCCGCATTCCGAGCCTCGTCAATCTACCTCAACTCCTCGTTCTCCTGTCTCAAGCTCTCATATTCGGAAGCATCGACCTGCCGCAGTGCGTCGTTGCATTGGGCGACTAGCAGCGGGTCGATCTGTATCTTCTTTGGAATCGCTCCTCCAGTTGCACCACGCCCGCTCAAACGCGGATTCGCTGCAGCAGGAGCAGGAGCAACATGCTCGGCCCTGCTCGCTGTTGAATCCGGGTCCATATCATCTTCATCAAGGCCCTGGTCGTTGGGTGAATTCGACGAAGAAGTGGTGGTGATCCCAGCTTCCTTGCGTGCCCGTTTGATTTGCGCTCGGATGTTATACACATCGCGCTTGAAGATCTGGATACCCGGGAGCCGCTCCTGGAGCACTTTCACCGTACGTCCGACACCACGGTCCCGTCCTTCGTTGACGCCCTTGCGCTCCATTTCCTGCTCGACAATCTTCCAGACGAGGCTGCCGCGGGCGTGAGAGTGCGGATCCTGGATTGATAGAGACGGCGTCGTCGAAGCTCGACCCGTGATAGCGCCAGTCCCACCCTGAGCCTGCAATGCCGCCACCTCTTGCGCATACGATAGCGATGGAGCCTTCACCTCCCCCCGCCTCGCCACCTCCAACTCCTCCCTCGCCGTAACGCCGCCCACCCCCATCACGCCCCCCTGCGCGCCCCACGTCCTCTTGCGCTGCACCGCCCAGCCCTCCGCTGGCCTGCCCTCGTGATTATGCGCGGGTTCCCCCACCCGCAGCGCCCAGCTGCCGTCGTCCTGCCGCTTGCCCTCGATCCACATCTTGCAGCCCGTCTTGGCGCTCTGCCGGTTCTTGCGCACCCGCGTCTCGGGCGTCAGCTTGTGCGTGTTCTTGGCCACGCCGTAGCACACGCAGGCGAGCTTGATGCGGCTGCGGTTGCGCGCCGTCGTGTTGATGGAGAGGGCGTAGCCGTGGTGCGCGGCGTGGTCCTGGGCGAAGTCGTGCAGGGCGGTGAAGGTGGGGTGCGTGCTGGCGGGGGGCGGGAGCATGTCGAATTCGCCCTGGGCGAGGGCGAGGTGGGAGGTGCCATTGGGGACAGTTTGGTCGTGAAGGTGGTGGTTGTGGGTATGCGGGAGCGCGGGGACATCTAAGGAGGGGTCGAGGTTGGGGTTTCTGGGGGCTTGCGACGAGGCTCCATAGTGCGGCTGGTATGGCGGTTCGCCTGAGGTGTCGTCGGCGGGGAAGGGCGGGTAGTTGACTTTGGCGTCTGTTGTGCAGGAGGGTGCATTGCTCATGGCGACGAACGGCGATGGGATTGCTGATGCCCGTGACTGAGGTGAGATGATAGGGAACGTGGGGAAGCTCAGGCCAGGGAGCGTGACGTGCTCAAAGTAATGCACATTCTCCAGCATCGTCAGGAAGGAATAATCGGGGTCATGATTGAGATCCATGGTGTGGTGTAATAGTATTGTTCGGTTTGGAATCGACTGAGCCGTTTGTGTTGTGGTGTGTTGGTGGTGGATTTATCGTAGACCTTCACGAATTTTATCACCCAATCAGGAAAGAGTGAAGTGATATGGGTCGTTAACACACCCAGAGTAGTTCTCTGACCTTGCATGCCACTGTCTGAGCGGCCCCAAATCTCCTCCACAAATCTGAAGAGGATGTAAGGTTAGTACTTTGGATGATTGGGAAACTCGCTGAGCCACCTCAGGCAGCGCCGGATTGGTATATACAGATCGGCAATGTGACCGATGGCGGTAAGCCTGGGAAAACGCCTTGAGGCACTACAAGCAGTGGGGTGGTGGTGTACATAAATATAAAACACGGCAAAGTAGCCAGAAAGAGTACACATATATGTGGGAGTGCATGTGTTTTAGTTATAATTAACATATACTGTCATTAATATATTACAATCTCTCAGCATCTGATTTTCTCCTTCCTATACCGTTCTCCACTCGGAAAAGCCTTCCATGACACACCCGCTCAACCAGCCTGGTAAAGTCCCAAAGCCCTGACATGCGGATTGATCATCGACAGGTTGAAGGGCGTAAGGAACAAATCTGAGTCCGTAAGTGCAACGAACATCGTCCCGTTGACAACTCCATCATGTCCATAAACGTGGCCAGCAGGCTGGTAAGTGTAACCAGTGTTGTTGCCCGTGATGGTGAGAGGCGTGTACGTCAGGTTCAACTGAGCAACCCAAGCAACGAAGGTAGGGCTACCAGCAGCGGTGGAGGTGACATAGCTGTTGTTGGGGCCAACAGCGCTTCCAGGCTCATCCCAGGTAAAATTGACCATCTTTCCAGGGAATGACAGAGGCTCCGAGCGGTTGCGGGCGATGGCAGGACCGCAGCCAACACCGGTGATGTTGAGGTTGACACAGCTCTCCTCGGATGGAATCAGTGAGTCGGAGGGGTCGCCAGTACGGTTACCCACGACCTCATTAGCCTTAGTATCGTTGGGCGAGAAGCGGTTCGGGTTGGGCTGGTTGATGATGTGCAGCGCTGGGAAATTCTGCCACGCAAGCCTCGTCTGGTTCGCAGGGCAAGAGCTGATGTACGGCGCGAGGTAAGTCCAAGACCACGACTGCGGTATGCCAGTCTCAAACCAAACAGGCATTGGATGTAGGCCGAGCATTTGGCGGAAAGAAATCTGCTGGCGGGCTTCAGTAGCAATGGACTGCGCAAGCAATTGCCCCACTTCTCGGGAGTCAAGGTGATTGATGAAGCCCCAAACACCGGATTCGCCCCAACGAGTTAGCTTCTGGTTGAAATCGATGAACTCGCGAACGGTCTCGAAGGGGTAGTTGTAGGTACATTGGACCGGAGCGGTCTCGCCAAGCATGTTGGTAAGGAGAGTGGCATGACCTTCTTCTTGCTGGGCCATGAATGCGATGTAGGAGCGGTCTTCAGCGGTCAGGCCAGCCGAGAGGAAGTCCGCTTCGGAGAAAACGGCGAGGCCATTGTTGAAGAGGTCGAGCTCGATCCATTCCTGGTAAAGACCAAGTGCGATAGATTCGTAGTCGAAGTCGCTGTTCACCATGTAGCGGGGCAGAGAACCGTTTGTGCCCAAGCCACCTTCCCAAAGGTTAGCATAATGTCAGATTATTGATGTCGCTGAGACATACCATTTGGGGTGTATGGCGCTGGTTCTGGGTTCTGTGGTAGCCCATTGGTGTTGTAGTATGTTGCCGTTGGGTTCAGTGGCATGGGAGCAATCTCGGAAGCAAGTGTAGTGGGAGCATTTGCAGCTCCAGTGATAGTTGGCGTTCCGCTATACGGGCCATGACTTGTGGCTCCTGTGAAGATACTATTTCGAATAAGTACAGGCTATGAGTAGCGTGGGCAAGAGTACATACCTGCTCACGAGAGGAGGAGGCGATGAATCCGATGTCACTGTGGCCGGAACCTGAGAATCAGGACCAAAAGAGGTTGCCAAACTGCTCACAGGGTAAGGAGTCTGCACAAATGGCGAGTCCCCGTCACTGTATCCTGGGACCTGGGGGTTAGGAAGCGCGACTGCGAGCCCTGTCAGGCAGGCCGACGTGAGAACGGTTCTGCCAATCATGCTGAAATTTGATATATATTCAAAAAATTAGTGATAGCCAGAAAAAAGACTTGGAATGACGAGGCTTATCGGTTTTCGAGGGAGGCGACCTTGTTTGACGTGAACGCCATTGCGGAACCCCGGATAGCCATGGAAGCAGGACTGTAGACTAAAGGACGCGAGTACAGCAGAGAATTGACGGTTTGAATGACTTCATGACAAGACTAGAATGGAACAGCTTGACGAATGATGCGTCAAACCTCGCATGGAGTGGCTTTCCGCGGCACGACGCGAGCGGCACGACGCGAGCTCTGCGGAAGGAGATCCCGCAAGCAGTCGACCTCGGAGGAGCATTGCACCAATGAGACGCGTGAGAATTGCCCGGGTATGAATAATAGCATGTGGTGTAGCCGGTAAATCCATCTGTGAGTCTAGACATGGGATTTTGAAATGGATTTGGCAGAAAGGCCGTGGTGACGGAGCGATGACGCGTCGATTACCATCGGCAGCTAGTACCTGCGTCTGGCAAATGAAAGATCTAAGCAAGGAAAACTGTCCTACTACAATTGAGCCGCAAAGATAGCCCGGGGTACGGATAATACTACATTGAAGCTTTCAATATTGCGCGTTGTGAAGGACTCTTTGTGACATGAAGTGGACGAGAGGGCAGAGACTTTGGGAGTTGTCGTCATCAACCACTCTTGACATTCGCAGCTACGAACACAAGACGACAATCGTTGAAATGTCTTAGACTACCCTGCTAGACTCCGAGGACAACGACAACATCACCAACGGGTAAGTCGGAGACCACAGGTGGGAGCAGTCGTAGTACAACGTGGCTGAAAGCGAATGAGACTGCTACCTAGGGTCAAGTAGCACCAATTCTGGCCCTCCGGAGACGTTGCATTTGATATCACGGCTCTGCACGATAGACGTTGAGAGCCAAGGTGGCTGGACGATGTGCTAGATGCTACCTGCCAACGTGAAGCTGTCGTGGAGATATGCGGGGAAGCTGGGCCGCAGTCTCCGCGGGCGATCATCGCTCATCACGTGCTTTAGCTTCCCGATTGAGAAAGTGTGGAGCACCGGCAGTGAAGAAAACGATATGGAATATCTCAGCGCGGTGAAAGTTCCTGGTCAAAGTTTTAGAGTCACATGCGAATATTTCATCCTCGTGGAAAGCTTTCATGTAGCCGATTTTTGCATGCCCTGTCACGCAAGTATTTCGTATCGAAACAATCGACCTGAGTTATGCAAATCCACTCTTTAATTTAGTCACCAAACAGCGATGACATCAGGATTTTAAAGGCCCGAGATCACCATCTCTATGCCGACGAGGGAAGGGGTAACCTCCGCTCCATCCGAAATATCGGCTGATGGGAAGCCGAAGGAGGAAGAGAACCGGTCGATGGAAGCTGGAGAATCGGGTGGTGGAAGTTGGAGGAAGGGAAGATATAGTGGCACTGCTTCGCGGCCCGAATTCTAAGGGACAATGCGGTATGGTAGCACTCGGGTTGCTCCAATGCATTCTTAGAAACTTGAGCGTGTTGGAGGCTCTTCACCTTGGGCGATTTCAAAAGTGAAGCACTCTAAGTAATGGCAGACAGAACGCATACCTAGGTCAGAGGACGTTTTAAGAGTGCCACTATGTTCCTACCTAGCGCGCCCGTAACAGATCCATCATCTTGAAGTCAGTGTGATGAACAGACACCCATTTTGTCTGCATAAAAGCCACTCAGCCTCATCCGCAGAATGTCCCAAAACTGCCCCCTACTTCGCCCGATTCATAGGCCCCCAGTTCGCCCTCGGATTGATTTGATACCGCATCAACTTTGGCCCTTCATCCCTCCCTAGCTGCTCATCGAAAACGACCTTATAGTTCTGCCCCCCTTTGCCCTTGCCAACATCCTCCTGCTCTCCCTCCCCCTCTCCATCTCCTTCTTCCTCAGCCTCATTCTCCCCCAACCTCAAGATCTTCCACCCTGCACTCCCCTCACTCAACGCCCCCTCCCTCACCGGCGCTCGCCGCCTCACCCACTCCCGCATGATATGCCACAGATCCTTCCAACTCGCATCTGTGCGAATAGTCCCCGGTTTGCAATGCGAACGTGTAGCTCTGAAACCGGCTTTCCGCAGCGCACCGCGAATAGCGGCATCCGGGGGCGCTTGGCAGTGGATAACTTTGGAAAGGTTGGAAGGGGTGAAGTAGAAGGGGTGGTGGTCAATCTGCGCGGGGTCAGTTTGGGGGATGGACGGGGAAGGTGCGTCTGTGTTCGTGGTCCCATTTTCGGTAGTTTCGGCGTCCTCGGCAGGTTTCTTCTTTCGTTTCGAGATTACCGGTGCTTCGACCAGGGTCTCTTCGTATGCGGTCTGGAGCATCCCTTCTATACGCGCGGAAGTGGCGTAGATTTCCTTGTCGATGGTGGTGAGGTAACTGAGGATCCGTTCGATGAAGGCGGGATTGTGAAGTGGGCCGCCATACATAGGGCCGGAGAGGTGAGTTTTCGTTCCACAGTGTTCACAGAAAGGCGAGGCCGATGGGGCTTGCGCAAAGGAGTGCTTGTAGTATAAGCTGCCGTCTTTGTTCTCGCGTGGTATATTACGGGCGAGGAATTGGGTTTGCCATGCGCCACATCCTGCATCACAATTATAGACGAGCATTTGTTTGCCAGCTAGGAACTTGACTTCTGCGGGGGAGCGACGGACTCGCACAAAGACGCGCGCGTAGTAGTCAATTGAGAGGGAGAGTAGAGGCTCGATTGCCATGCCGTATCTTGCGGCCGATGTAGCGATGGCGTGGATGATCAAACGTAGACCCCCTTCGTGGGAGTGGAAGCCTTTGATCGGGAGACCGCCGTATTGGGAGTAGGTCTTCTCAAGGTACCCCGTAGATGCAAAGACGCCAGAGTCAGTGCAGGTTACGCAGAGAAGCCCGCCGTTGGTTAGAGCTTGCAGCGCTGAGTCCAGGAATGGTGCTGCGGTACCGTATGGATCTAGGTCAATGACATCGTAGCCTTTCGTCCCAACGAAGCTGTACATATGTGATATAGCATTGCCTGCATTCGGGGTAATCCTGTCCTCGAGCTTATTATGCTGCACGTTGAGAGCAATGGATGCCGTAGCTTTTTGGGACATGTCATTGGCGGTGACTGCGGCTGCGAAGGGGAGTTCCTGCGCATAGCGGAGCGCTCGCAGACCTGTGGCTGAAAGGGCGTCGAGAATTCGGAGGTCAGGTTTGAAGGGTGGTGTCTTGCCATTCAGTCCAGGCACTGCGTCGTTCGGCTGAGTTTGCGGGTATGTCACGTTCGTATTTTCTGCAGTGATATCGCCTTCCGAACCTTCTGCAAACATTTGCGGCATCCCATCAGACCCCCGAGGGGCAGATTCGGTAAATTCCTGTACCGCCGTTTTTTGAGCGCTGGATGAGAGCACTTCTTTCCCATGAGAAGGAGCTTCAGGCTTATCTACAATGATCTCGATTTCCATCTCATCTGAGTCTTGGACTGAAGCTGTACGCTCTTCGACCGTGTCATCCATGACCTCCGCCTGTTCTCCGTTTCCCTCAATCTTCCTCTTCTTAGCCGGACTTTGTGGGCCAATCTCCTCATTTTCGATATTCTTGCCCACTTTCTTCAACTCCTTCTTCTTCTGCCTTTTCTTATCCCACTTCCTCTTGTTCGCCGGCTTATTTTTCTCCGCCTCCTTCTTCAGCTTCTGAGCTACCACGAAATCTTCCCCAAACGCCCTTATTGCCAGTACGCTCAGATCACGATTGAATTGTTGAATGGGATTGTAAAAGACGGACTGCTTGTCGGCGTCTTCCTTCAAGGCTTTGGGATCGGTCGAGGTCGGAGTACCCTGGGGTACGAGGATATATGCCAGCCCCTCCTTAATGGTGGTAAAATGCGCGCCTTCGTGGGTGACGAGTTGGTCGACGCGCGGTTCGGCGTCGATGGTTGCGGGGCGGGTCGTGGGAGTAGGCTCGCGGCTGGTATGGCGCGATTCGGCGTCGATGGCTACGGGGTCCGTGATGGGAGTGAGTTCTCGGCCAGTTTGGCGCAACTCAGCGCCAACAGTGTCGGAGCTCATGGTAGAGAAAAGGTTGCGTCTGATTCCAAACGGAGTTTGAGGTCTAGATGTGTATTGGCGTGTCGCACTACCAAAATTCCATATCCTGTAGAACGTGACTCGACGGGCTGGCTGCGCACATAAAGAGCGAACGAGGGGACGGTAGGTTGCCAGCGTCGTCTACTGACTCAGTGAGTGTGCCGGAAAAGAATTGGGTGTGGTCAGACGTGTGGTTGAGGTTTGATACGATGAACGGCAAAAAAGTGAGGTCGCCGAAGAAACTGCGGGAGTATTTTTAGATCACATTAAGCTTAAATTAGCGTCCTCTGGCTGCAGAGGATGAACGATCAACAGACCCTCGTTTTCCACACAACACTATGCTAACCTTTGCTTCCTATCACGGACGACTGTCGAAGCATTGAAAGGCCAACTTATGCTCCTCCATTGACCAATCGATAAATCTCTTCACACCAAATACGGACTGCCTTCTCCCGCGACTGGGATAGGTAAGCAGCTGCCTAGCATTCGTCCCAAACGGACCGCGTCAGACACGCCCCTGATCCTGCCCCTCCGACGACGAGAGTACAAAAGGCGCGTCGCGTCCATCATCCTCTTTTTCTCTAAATACACCATTTCAGAAATCTCTGGACGAGCTTCATTCATCCCGCTACAAATATTCACCATGGGCCGACCAACTCGTGACTCTGGAGCCTTTCGGGATGACCCCGATGCATTATCTATGCACACCACCGCCGATGACTTCAACTACGATGATGCTCCGGAGATATCTGGCCTTCCTCCCGCATATACCGACGATGTCGGCGGTTCTAGCAGTACCAGACCTGCGCCTCGACACATCCCGCCGCCGCCCTCCAATCGCATGGATCACGATGCCGGATACTCGCTGAGCGGGGGCAAGCCCATGGTCTGCGAGGTCTCCAACGTAATGGACCCGCGATACGACACCGACCCAGTCCATCTCGAGAACGCTATCCGAGAAATGGCCATGGCCGCTCCAGCACCATTGGTGTATATCATGGGTATATACTACCTCTCCACAGCCGTCCAATCCCTTTGAAAGCTAACTCCATACCCCCAGGCCACCACAGCGAAACCCGCAAAGTCGCCAACAACAAAAAAGAAACGAAACAAGTTGTCGACTTCCGCCTCGTGCTCTCCCTCGAGCAATACCTCCGCCCGGCCTCCTCCCAAACCATGACCGTGCGCACCGTCGAAAACGGCGAGAAAGTCCTCCGCGGGTCCTTCATCGCGCAACGCGCCCCGGGCTACACCAAAGCGCTCGAGGTCGGGCTCCCAAAACCCTCGCTCAAGGAATGGTGCCACCGCTACTGCGCATCGCCCTCCACCCTGCGCGTCTTCCGCCTAACCCGCACCGTCTCAGGCATCGACACGACCCAGCTGAAGAACCGGCTGGAGGGCTTGATCCGCAGCACGAACTACCGCGGGCGTACCTCCATCACGTTCCCGATCGAAGACCACCACGTCGACCTCTACACCGCGTCGCGTATCAACGCGTGGCGCCTCACGACCTGGATCCGCTGGCTCTTCTACCTCTCCTTCCTGTGGCTGTTCGCGTGGCCGTACCTGTTCTTCGCCACGAAGCGCTACGCCGTCGTCGAGGCCGTGTGGCCCTTTTCCACCGTCAACGCCGCCGGCGAGCGCCACTACACGACGCTCAGTGAGGCGCAGTGGTTCGAGCGCTGGCACGTGGGGATTCGCAGGTTGGTGCTGGACCGGTTCCAGGGCAGCGTGAGTGATGAGCAGCTGGCGGGCGTGATTGCGCGGCCTGAGGACCCGCCGATGCCCGGGATGATCAGGACGGGGCATGAGGGCGTGGATACGGCGGTGGGGTTTTTGACGCAGGGGATTCAGGTCGCGAGGGCGTTGCAGGGGAGAGGCGTGGTGTCGGGCGGTGGGTGGGGCGGGGATTATAACGGGTGTTGAGGGTAGATGTGGTTAATTGCCTGTGGGAGATCGCGTTGGTGTGTGGTTTCTCTCCTTTTCATGACATCCAAAAGTGCGCGTAAAGAGGTTGAGGCTTGATGGGCTGTGATAGTTTCTGAGTTCATGATGAGCGGGACGCTTTTCTTACTTTTGTCTTCATAGCGGCTAGTCTCAAAAGGTTATCTGCTAGTCTACCTCTCCTAATCGGCTACGTGCTAATCGTCTACGAGCACATAGTGAAGCTACGCTACGGCCTTTAGCTCGTTCCAAACTGTAGGTGGATCTGATCGGAATACCGTATGGCAACGTTAAAAGTACACGCCGTGACCACCCAAAATCAAGACCGTGGCGGCCTAGTAGTGTTGTATGAGAGAGATCCAGTGGGAACCAAACAGGGGGTCTGCTCATTGACATCTATTTCTGAACGCGAATTGGTAATGGATGGCCAAATGTAGCTTTATTGAAGTGTAAGTCTACGTTCTATTTTAGCGAAAAGTGGAATTCTATGTGCCTGGACATGGAAGAGCGGGTAAAGGCGGTATGGTATGGAAACATGCCAATATTCGTGTCCCTGGATGGTGCTGTGATGTGTGCGGAGACGTTCATGTGAAGGCATCGGCGTAAGTGATCTAGCGAATCGCAATATCGGATGAGAGAGAGGTGGGGCCGGGTATGTGTGGTAAGAATGAGGCGTATATGAAGGGAAGAGCGGGTGTATGGGCATTCATACCGGTATGGTGAAAGAGATAAGCGACGACACAGTGTTGCTGTACGTCGGCATTGCAAGTAATTAGTTTCGGCTAGACTTGATGCTACCGTGGTCCGTCAGCGGACGAACCATGGACCCCTCTCCCGACGGAGTGCAGGGCGGATTTCTGGGCAAATCATGGCGTAACTGGTTGAAAGTAAGGAAATCTGTCCGATGGAGGGGCCCGCAAAGAAAGAACGTGCGATTGGATCATTGGGCACAGCATACTAAAAAGCCGGCCTGGCCTACTCCAATATATCCCCGCTGAGCGTTCGTTGACGGCCTGGTCTTATCTGCTGCAAGGCCAGGTGTCAATCTTAGTAAGGATGGTCTCTTTCCTTGCTATCTTATATTTTCCAGACTCTCCATGATTGCAAGAGACTGTCTATAATACACAGTAAATAAGTCCTCATTTTATGGTAGGTGTTAGAGTCCAGACTTTCAAGAGCAGGTAAAGAGTTCAAAATACCGAAGGCCCCTCTCTTTTCTTTCTGTCTTCAGTCTCAAGTCAAACATCCATCATCAGATTTTGTAAGTTCGGGCACTCCTTGCCAGTATCTTCAAGTTGGCCATCTCATTCTCACTTGCATGCAGTCAAGATGAGGCTCGCGTGGTGGTTGCTAGTGCTATTCGCTACAGGATTCGCTCTAGAACACCGGGGGAGGTTGCACGAGCGGGCATTAGAGGATGAGGTAATCTCAACCGCAGCTACTGTGACCGTAACAGAAAAAGTTTCCTATAATGCCCCAGCTACTGTAACCGTAACAGACAAGGCTTCCCACGATGCCCGAACTACTGTAACCGTGTTAGGTAAGGTTTTCTATAATGCCCCAGCAATCCTAGGTCTATAGATCGGTAGACGAACAGAAGTCTACACGAACCTGTGACTTGGTATCATGTCAGCATTCCCAGTCTTTAATTACTGAACTGATTCATAGTTCCCTCCGCGGCCAGCTACTCTATCTCGCACGCCAAACAAAACAAAGACGAGTTACTCAAGGTCCCGGATCGGCCCTGCGGTTGGCCGAAACCGAGCAAGGCCCAATGGGAGAAAGACAATGTCACGGGATGGATAGAAAAACAACGCGCCATCTGGGCCAACGACAAACGTGACACTTCGAACCCCCACTTCATAAATTATTTGGTTAATCATTATGTGCCGTACTCGTCGGCAGCAGTTTTGACGGACTGCAACCTACGCGGGGTTTGCGTGGTAAGTCGTCTACCGATCTGCTGTGGGGGCACGTGTGGGTGTTGACCTCAAGATAGGCCGTCGATTGCAAGCTCGTCGCGCAAGACAATTACACTTCTGCTGACGACCAACGCAAGGCTTGGTACTTCTTCGACTCGACCAGCAAACTGCACGCCCGACTCAGTGACATGATCGACATGGTCAGAAATGCGAGTCATGGATATGATGAACATAGGGAGAAGCTTATAAGCACCTTTGCTACAAATTACATCGTACAGAATTATGTCAATATGTCGGAGCCGGAACGCCAACGATACCAGGAAAGATTTACTTTATACACTTTGCTCGCATTCACTACCGCCTCGGCATTGGCGAAAACGACGCAGAGTGTAGAGGCAGGATGGAAGGCGGCCTCGTCCATGGTGGGCGCCCAGGGCGCCCAGGATGGGATCGTTGCTGCGTATACTATTCTACGCAATACTCTACACAGAGAGATGCACACAGAGAAGCCCAACCCACGGGTTGATTCCACACAACCTGAGGTGTTCGTGACGAGGGTAGCGGATCACATATCAAAACTACTCACTGAAAACGCAAGAGACCTCTTCAAGAGAGGGAAAACGGACATGTACCTGTTCTGGACAGGGGAAGTAGACTTTGCCTCAAATACAACGCTGGCCAAGGCGTTAGGTTCTGGGTAGGCCAGCAAGTGATCTTGTCTTTAAAAGCTACTAACAAGTTATAGACTCTATGTCAATACGACGGACGAGGTCATCGGAGGGGCCCAGGTCTCGCAAGTGTTTGAAAAATTCTTCTCTGCACTAGCAATCAATTATTTTTGGAGAAAGTCGGCCGTCTGGATCACCTGGGCACCCACGGCACCTCATGGAGACTGCGAATCAGACAAGCGAGGCATCCTCATCACCAAAGTCTGTCTGGAAGAATACCCGCGTTCGGTCTTGTTTCTGAACTTGTAAGATGGTTTATCGCTTCAAAAAACTACCGTCCGTTTCTAACAGTCATTAAAAGTCTCAAGGGTTCAAATTTTCAGCCTAACGACCAACCAAAACATATATCACCCAAGCGTAGACTCATCCCAACGAGCCCTACGCTAGCATACAATGGCGCGTGGGTACATATACCGCCCGGGCTTAAAGCCCTCCGAACGTATCCCAAGCGCTATGGGAACGTCACGGTCGAGGTACGTCCTTCTGTCGAGCTTGAGGCGCATCTTCGCTAACGGTGGCGATGGCACAGGATATCGTCCGGCATTCCATTGTCCACTACAACCAATCGAGCTTTGAAGAGATCAAAGACCTAAGCGCGTGGGCTGGAAGAGCGACGGATGCCCTGGCAGCCCCGCCTAAGCACAATACTGCGGACCATCTCATGGCTGCTCTTTCGGCGGGTCTGTTATTCAACATACCAGTTGCAAGATCTCCCTACGGCCAGGCAATTCCGCCCGGACACGATATTCTTGACTACCAAATGCCAGTTGGATCAGACTACAAACATTTATCAACACTGCCAGAGTTATCAAGAAACTTCCCTTGCAGAGTCGGAAACATCAACGTCACGTCCGACTTCGACGGATCGGTCGCACCGCCGCGGGACGAGAGCACCGCCTTCATCAATGCGACAGGTCTTTACCGCGTCGGCGAGTTCTGGGAGGGGTGCATAAACTTTGCGAATTGCCAGACGAAGCACACGACGCCCCGCCATTTTTTCCAAGATGGGGATGATCAAGCGGTACGGGATAAAGAATACAGTGGAGATTTCTACAATTGCTTTGTCCAGAAACATGCGGTAGCTCCACTGCAACCTTGGCAGTATACGCCTGGGCCCTGGAACGACTGGAACGGCACTGACGAGGCTAGCGAATGGGAAGATAGGGTGGGACTACAAAGGGTACATTGTATGATTGACTGCTAGTTGTCACCTCCCATAATAGCCCCTTCAACTATCCAATCCAGTACAAGGGCAGAAGGATGGTCCAACCTCGCGTCCATAGGGTTGTATGTCACTTCATTCTACACCACGTTAATACCATAAGGCGTTTATTGCGGCGTGTTATAGGCTATAGTCGCCTAGAGCGGAGTTATATCTTATTGCTGCCATAATTGTACCAGCGCTGGGCAGTATTATAGACCGCTTAGCGGCTGACGCCGTATATTACCATAATCTTGCCCCAGAGTTTCTTCTCTTCAATATTCCGGCATATAGCTACCCGTGTCTATTTAGATAGCTAATATAAATACCTTTCAATTTGCACTAATTTCTACGCCGAAAGCTTGCTTCATGGTTGTGTAGTTAAGTGTTTAGGGTGACTTTTGGTGGGAAAACTCCGACGTACGCAAAGTTTTGGTCTTTCACTGATGAAATGGAATTATTTCCCACTTAGAGGTCATGACTGAAGATCAGATATAGGTGTGAGATTAGTGGTCCTTTAACGGCTTACATGCGGCTATGCCGTGACGCCTCGAGGAAATATTAAAATCAAAATCAAAGTACTCCCTCTTATTAACTATTCTACGGCTTCCGCAGCAACCGAGACCTCACCCCTTCGTCCAGGAGACCTCATAGTATCTCTACCCAGGAAGGATGTACCTCTAATTACGTTATAGGATCCTACCCTCCACCACAAGCCATGGCAGGTCGTGAAGCAGCCTACCGTTCGATCGTACCTTGGGCCCCCCCGAGCCCCTCCACACGACATCAGCCAGCCCTCTCTCTCCGGTTCTGCATCAACGAGATCTGCTTCGCCAGCATCGTCACCTGATTTTTCAACACATTCAGCTCGTCGTCCTCCTGGCTCCTGCCACCGGCCCTTCCAGGCACACTCACCACGCCGGTCCCCGAGCACGTCTCACACGGCCTCGAGCTCCCACTCGCCAGCATCGGCACCACAGCCCTCGCGCCACCCGGAATCGAATGCGAATGGAACGCCGGCGCCGGCTCCGTTTCCGTCGTGCCCGCCCTCGCCTCATCCACCAGATACTGCTGCACGGGGCCCAAGATCCGCTCGCCAGACTCAAACACAAAGTCCTCGCCGCCCGTGACGACGGCCGGGTTCTGCTGCGCCTGCATCGCCAGGGCCATGGCGCCCTGCGCCTGCGACTGGCCATGCCCCTCGCCCTCCACAAACAGCATGAGCTCGTGGTCGTTCAGCGGCGGCAAGCCCTCGCGCTCGCGCCGCTCCCGCTCCATCGCGCGCCGCCGCTGCATGTGAGCCTCGGCCTCGGCGACGCGCTTCCGCTCCTCCAGCATGGCCTTGCTCGGCCGCCCGCCGCGGTTGACCCCCGGCGCGCGCTGCGTCTTCCCGCGCGCCGGCGGCTGGATGTCGCCGCGCATGACCAGCAGGCTCGTCTTGGCCTTCTTCGCCAGCTTCTCCTCAATGTCCTCGCCGAAGCGCTCTTTGATCACCTGCACGATCTCGGCCGGCGCCGTGTCGACCGAGACCTGGAAGCCGCAGCGCGCGAGCGAGTCGCGCACCCAGCGCTGTGTGAACTGCACGCCGCGGCGCCAGTACTTGTCGTCCTCGACGTGCTCGTCGGGGTTGCAGGTGTGGAAGGGCTGCACGACGGTGACGACGACCGAGGGGGGGTGTTGCGAGGGGGTGGAGGAGGAGGGGCGCGAGACGTTGGCGCGGATGCGCCAGGTGCAGGGCGGCTTGGTTCTTTTTTCGTATTTGCAGTGGTAGACGGCGCGGGTGGAGTCCTGGGGGGTCTGTATTAGTGATGGCTGTGGTAGTTGCAGTGATGAAGATTGGAGATGAAGCACGATAGATGCAGCTTGATAGATGGAGAAGATGGAAAAGCTAGTGAGATGCGACCGTACCTTCTTATGGATCCGCGTCTTGAACTTATCCCTCAGCGCCCACGCATTGATGGCATATCGAAGGGCCTCCCAGTCCTAAGCACCGATCCGTTAGATACGTGCCTCTTCACAAGAACCCCTACGCGTCACGTACCGTATACGAGGAGCCCTCGACGGGGATAGGCACGTCGAGGTCGGGCGGCGGAGCGTCGCCATGGGCGGTGTTGTTGGGCGACGGCTCGCTGTCGTCGTCCTGGCTGTCGTCGTTGTTCTCGAGCGCGGGGTCGAAGTTCATCGAGTCGTGAGATGCCATTTTGTTGATGTCCTTGAGCTGCCCCTGCGAGGTTTGCGAGGTTCGTTGTGCCCGACGGACGTGGGTGTTAGGTTAGGGGCGGCGTGGGCGGTGGAGGAGCTCGTAAACTGGCCGCACTGGGCATTCACATTTCCAGCCCACGAATAGTCCAGGAGTACTCTGCAGTATCCACAAAGTGTGGAGACACGCAGTTGAAGGTCAGCCTGAATGGCTGTATATCACACACAGATTCCACTCTAGTCGTCCACAGACAGCACGATGGACAAATCAACCACAGCAGCGACTAGCCTGTAGCGTCTAGACTAACGTTACTTTAATAGGCTCCAAAGTCACATCACGTGGCGTTTCCCTGTCGTCCCTATGAAAATTCACAGTCATATCCCGTACAACAAGCCCTAATAAAGCCCTCCGTGCCCTTTTAGCATCGACCATGAACCGGACGGCATCATATTCGACATCGTTACAAGCGACAGGCAGGCCTGATGCAGCAAGTCTTGGCCATGCTTCAAGTGCAAGTGTGACAGACGGAAGGAATATCAAACGCAAGGGATGGCGAAAAGGCCTTGGCAGAGATAGAGAGGGAGATGTTGCAAGGGGGTCTGGAATGACTCTTAGGTGAAAATGGATAATGGATCTCCTAGATTCAAGTTTTTCGCTATGCTGATTCGAATATCAAGTCAAGGCTCTGGGAGGCCTCTTATAACGCAAGCAGTTGTGCATTTCTACTGAAAGTGCACTAGTGTCGTTCGTGTGGGAGTTGGTATCGACCTACACGCAAGACACTGTAGTCTAACGCCTCCTATACGCCCCTTATGCAATCCCACACTCCCCCAAACATCCCATTAAAGCGCAGGAAATGCATAACAAAACCAACAAGAAGCATGCTTCTCCACTTCAACACTATGCAGAACAAAGTATGCCACATCACCCTCACACCTCTGTCTCCTCCACATCAGCACTCTTCCCACCACTCCAATCCCCCACTGTCTTTCCCTTGGCAGCTAGATTCGGGAAGACGCCCTTGGCCTTCTCATCCTCTTCTCCCTCCTCCTCCGCCAATTCGCTCAACTCGCTTTCATCATCCGCGCTATCATGCACAGACCCCGGCACACTCACCGGCGCACTCCCACCCGCTCCTAACCCCTCTCCTTTCAAGCTCGCAGCCGCAGAAAGCGGGACCTGCAGCCGGTTCTCAGGGGGCGCATTGCTCGGAAGGACTGGCACAGTCAAATTGGGTGTCGTGTTGTCAGAGGACTGGCCGGAGCCGGAGCCAGGAACAAGACCCATGGTAACGAGGTCAGCGAGGGATGTTCGCGCACTGGTCGGCGGACTGCGAATCGGCATCGGCACCGCAGGCGCGGGCGGCCTCAGCACCGCCGCCTCCGCCTTCTTCTGCAACTCTCTACGACCAACGCCTTTAGCGCGTGGGCGGGGCGCTTGCTGTTCCTGCTGCGGTGGCATGCCGTGAGTATGGAATGTCGGTTTCGAGTCTGAGGAGCCATCTGTCTGCATATTCATCAGGCTCGAGAGGTTCATCATATTCGCCGGGGCCTGGTGTTGCGGTACAGGCGGCTGAGGCGGTTCCAGATTCGGCCCAACCTGCGCGTATAGCAGAGCATACGCGTCGCCGATGAGGTCGTCAATGAGGAGGGCTTTCATGAGACCGTTGTTGAGTTTCTTAAGCTCGATGACCTCGCGGAGGACCTCAACGATGGGGTGGGTTGGATTTGCGTGGCACCATTGATCCAGACGCGTGCTGCGGGCTGTGAAATCATCGTGATTGAGAGACTTGAAGACAGCGTCTTCGTGGCCCTCTGGGACTTTGCCCATGCGGCGGAGAAGTTTCAGGTACGCGAGGCAAAGCTCGCCCCAGAGCTTTGCGTGCTCGAAGAACTCGTGGGGTTTTTTGCGGATGCGTCGGGCGAGGGTTTCGAGGTTGGCGCGGTCGCCGGTCTGAACGAGGAGGCGCACGAAGAAGCGCGTGTAGCGAGTTGTGTAGACGAAATGGCGGCCTGGGCGTTCGTTCTCTGGTTTCCAAACCTGCACGGCCATTGTCTTTGTAAACATCTGCGCCGTGAATTCGGATTTAGCACCTAGAGCGACGGGATAGTCTTCCGCAGAGTCGTCGTAGATGACATGTGCGGCGCGGGCAGTCATGCGATGATGCCAGCCCGCTTTGTCTGCGCTACGCAGAGCCTTGAGAACTTGGAGAATGTAGTGTTCCCATTCGTCTAGGTCGGTACATGCTGGGATGTTCTTCGCGTACGAAGTGTTCTCCAGAATCTCACTCCCAAGCTCAGGCTCAATCTCCTTTTGATGAACCAACTTGTAGACTATTGACACCAGCTTGTAGTGAGGCTCCAGTATTGGTTCGCGGCGATTGTCCTTCTTTGGCAGCACGTCGATTGCTCGTACGATGGCGTTCACCACCTCTCCATAATTGGGAACCTTGCTGTTGCCTCGAGTAATCACGTCGGCACAGTGCATCTTCCAGAGGCATTTTCCTAGCATATAGTGGTTCAGCCACTTGTTCGGATTGCCCGCAATGGCCCTCTTGAACAGCACGCTGGCTAATTTCCAAGCCGAAAATGGCCGCATAGGAGAGAATGGTTCTCCTTGGAAGATAGTTTGTACACTGAAGTACTTCTGCTCCGTTTCGCGAAGGTTGAACGCATGCATACTGAATGGCTCCCTCGAAGAGGAATAGATTCTGTTGCCAAAGTCCTCATACATCTGTGAAACCTTCGCGATAGTCTGCGGGGAAGAGTCGGCATCCCGTACTGCGCATGCGACTGCCATCGTGTAGGCGTGTATAGCATGCCGTTGAAAGTTCAAAATCTCGAGACTGTTGCTGTTTAACTTCTCCGCAGTCCACGACACGGCTTCCTCCAGCTGTAAATCGTACGCCTGTGCCAGACGATACCACGTTTCCCATCGGTCCGTCGAGTATTCAAGATCTTGCATGAAAAAGGCTGCAGCAATATTGATATCCTCGGTTGGCCCTGCGGCTATGCGTTTCTGAGTCCGGAATTTATCGAGAGAGATGGAACCCATAACGTAGTACCAGCCTTTCGAGGCTGCAATGGCACGGCCCGGAGTGATGAGTTTGACGGATAGCGTGCCAACGCCTTCGAGACATCTGAATAGATCGATTGGGTTGATGGGGGACTTGATGAACGAATTGAGAATCTTACGATTCATCGCCATGTCATCATTCGCTTTTGGCCGGCCAAGTGCTCCATGCACCTTATCAATGGCGACCTTGAGCTCGCTCTTCGGCAAGTCCTTTGTGTTCATCTTCCGCGACTGCGACATGAGGAATGCCAGAAGCTGAGTTGCCGTCTTCCTCTCTAGTACTTCCGGTTTTGAATCAAAATCAATGAGTTGGGAAGGATCCGTGAAAGTGTTCAAACCATACAAATCGTACAAAACTTGTGACAGCTCAATGTCGATATCGGGGAATACCCCATCGGTGGAATCACTAAATCGCACAATTTCGTCTTTTACAAGCCTAAGGAACGTGCGACCTGCGGCATGGCAGAAACCTCGCAGCCCGGTAGTGTAATGTACACCACGAAGGAACATGTACTTGTCTTCATCGGGTGTAGGGAAGACCCCGGCGTTTTGGACGATTCCCTCTTTGAAGAGGGAGTACTGAAGAATCCATGCACGCATTTGCATGTCATGCACCTTCCTTAACACTGCATTGTACTTCAAAGCATTCTGCGATCCATCGTACTTTGGTGTCGGTATATGTTGGACGCGCACTAGGTCTTCGTAGACGTTGGCTGCCGTCATGATCTCGAGAAATTGAGTGATCGCTTTCATCGATGTTTGCAAGTGTTCATAGTCTATGCAGTCGAATGCCGTATCGTCGCCTTTGACCAATTGCAAGATTTTGATCAACAATTCATCGATGATGCGCAGACTGCTAAGGAGCAGGAAATAGCGATCTGAGGTTTGCGCGTCCTGGTAGGTTGGCGAGCAGAACTCCTTGGTTATGACTTCGACGCTTCGCAAGTAGCAAGAGACAACCTTTGGTGGATATTCAATAGCTTCGTAAGCTTCTCGAAGCCGTTGCCAAAGTGAAAGACGAAGAGAAACGTTGGCAGTGTCGAGGAACTTCCTCATTTCTCGCAGTGGGTTCGTCACCTGGACATCATGCGAAGCGGAGTCTTCGTCGAATGTTGCATTGCTACTACCATCGTCTTGGCTACGGTCGTTGCCATTAGCGATAGGCTCAACGTCCAGCTGCATATTGTCCAGAGGTTCCAGGATCGGTTCTAAGCTCTCTATGACGGCCACAGGATCCTTCTCGTCGTGGTTGAAAACCTTCAAGAAGAAGCCCTTCATGCTGATCTTAGCCAGTTCTCGGTCCACAGCGGCGACGGACAGTTCAGGCATGACGGCATTGTTCTGAATCTGAATTGTCGGCTCGCCGATTGACTTGAAAATCCTCTTCAGATCATCCATACAATTGAGGATATGTTCTGGTGGCACATCTTCGCAAACACTGATATGGAATGCAGAAGCCCAGATATGCCTCAGTTCAAGCTGGTCGAGGTCGCCCGCTTGACGGACAGTTGATCGCATCGTTACAACGTCTCGAGCCATTAATGCCCATCGCTCCAGGCGGTCTTTCTGAATTGTTTGTGTTCCCTCATCAACGCCGCTATTGGGATGCCGAATCAAAGAGTAGATGTCTAGATGGAGTTCGAAGAGTGTTTGCGCCATCTCTAATGTAGCGGTATCTTTGTCCTCAAAATCCTGTGAGAACCCTGCTGTCCGATGTTCAAGTTGCTCGGAGTTCAGCTCGAAGATCTGATGTTGTAGACGTTGGTATATGTACTCGTCTAGGATAACAATGACTTGAACAACATGTCGCTTTAAGTCGTCAGTCCACCGAAAATGCATATAAGTGGATTCCTTGACGTCTCCGGAGACCCCTGCTACGGCCGCAGATCCAGGTAGCAGTAAGGTCTCAAGCCACGCGAACGCAACCTCTTTCATACTCAACCAGTGGGAGTTCACTGTGTCTGCAAATTGCGATAGTCCCTCATCTCCCAGGAATGGCTTCGTACAGCTGAGAGACCCTCCAGATTTGGCATATCCTAGAAACGCGTTCAGACCCGCTTCTCGTGACATTCCACCCAAGTCTACCGTTTCACCGCTAAGTAGAACAGCAGCTGTTTTCGAAGGACTGTATTTCATGACGAAAAACATATCGCACACTGCTTTGCTAGTACTATCGACGGAGTCGATGGGTGTGTCGGGCTGCGAATCAATGTATAAGGCCCTCAGTTGCTTTGGCGGTATAAGACCTGCGATGCCGAGCTTCTCAAGATGCTTGATCCAAGTACCAAAGGTCACATCGTCTGACCTGTGAAAGGCAGCAAGCATGTCCTCTGCTTGCTTGGCCATTTCTGCATCGTCTCCTCCTGGGCCCTCTACGATGGACTCTCGGGCGCGAATTCTCTTACTACGCACTCTACCGCCATCGGCCGTTTCGGGAAGGTCGGCGGAATCAGTAGAGCGTTTACGAGATGGTGCAGAGGAAATCTCGGGAGCAGCGGTTGCCTCAGTTTCCTTCTCTTTCTCCGTTGTGTCCGCGTCAACTTCAGCCATGGTGACATCCTCAGTTGCTCCGACGTCACGTTGCTTTAACCCTTCTCGGTCTGGAACCAAAAAGTCGTCTGCGGGATTTGCACCCTCGATTTGCACCATGTCGTCTGTTGGTTTGTCGTCTCCAGATGTGGACGGATTTGATTGTGCAGTATGGTCTATATTTAGAGGAGCATGGGCGCTCCCTGGCTGTGAAGTGTGATGTTCGCGAGCTGGATCTGGTGGAAGACTGATCTGAATGCCTGATCCAGGTCCAAGGTCTTCATACCCGCTTTGCTCTGCCATGTGTTGATGTAGTATGACCTCTCCTACTGCGGTCCAATCCCTTTTGGCGGGGCTCAAGGCATATTGTTTCGGAGTACGGCCAGATATTTCAGAGGAGTTAAGCTTAGAGACCTCAGACGGCAGAGGGGCAAAGGAGTATGGGTTGAGTCGGCTTTTGAGCAGTTTAGATAACTTCTTCCTCTTCATAGACGATAGAGGAGCCTGCATTAGCGAGAGATCGTCTTCCAATTTCTCCGCTAGCTAGACGACGTTAATGAATGCTGGTATAGCAAGAGACAACAGGCCTTACTTCTTTCAACTCATGGCCTGCAAAGCCTTCCTCCAGTCCTGGCAGCCGGAGGATGCTCTCAAGGCCCTCGTCATCCCCATCTAACACAGCTTCCAAGCAAAAGCGGGTAATGCGACTGCTTCCTACGAGGGCCGCTACAGAGGATATTCGTGACCACAAGTCCAAATCGGCATCGTCCTTGTCCAGAGCTTCGGCGAAGTACCGCAACGGGCCCTCGGTACTCCGGCGTATTGCAACGGCATCCGTTTCTGAGTGTCCCGGTTCCGTGTGGGCCTGCTGCAGGCGATGCTGCATCGATTCGAGCAGAAACTGGCCATAGTTCTTATAAGAGAGATGTAGGATTTGGGGCAGGGTATTGGGGGCGCCGTCTGATGCGCCAGGTAGCTGTACAGGCCCCGCCTCAAAGTCATCTTGAAGAATGTTGTCAAACTCCAACTTGTCGCCGTAGAGTTCATGGCGCCGGAACTCGGACAGGGACTCTGCATATTTGAATATTTCGGAGGCAAAGAGGACTTGGTAGGCCTCGGAAGCCTTGTCGTAAGACGGCGGGCCTTCGGAGTGATACTTCAGAGCTGTCTGGTAGAGCTTCAAGGCATCTTCGATCTGGATTTCTTTGGTATCGTCGACCTCGTCCTCAGACTCGTTGTCTGACTCGACGTTCAAGGCTTTGAACGCGGACTGTGCACAGCATATATTAGCCTACCTGGCAAGATGTGGAGGTGGGCCGGCGCATGAATCCAAGCTTCCACGTACCATGTTGGGAGGGGCTGTAGAGGAGCGTGTAGAGCTCCACGCTGATCAGAGCGGTGACAAAGGAGAGGACGGCATCCAAGGGAGAGACGCCAGGAGAGGTTTATGTGGGTGGAGAGCAGAAGCAGCCGAAGCAGCAGAAGCAGCAGAAGCAGCCAGGCGTGAATGAAGTCTCAGAGCCCAGCAGTCGCGTCGCAGCTGGGCAACGCGGAGGAGAGGCCGACAAGCAGCCGTTGCACTAGCGCCGCTGTCGTCTCGAATTGCATTATGGCAAGCATGTCTGCTGCACCTCCGCCGACGACCACTCCTCCATGAACCCAGCGTGCTGTACTTCCACGCCTGTCCTGATCTTCCGTGCATCACGTCTCTGCACTGCGCCAGTCTAGCGCGTCTTGCGCTCCACGGCAAGCATGGTCATCGCTCCATCTGTTCCTGAGTATGTCCGCATTGCTTAAAAGAGGCCATATTGGGCCTCTCCTGCCTCAGATCTTCCTACAAAGTCTTCTTCGTTACATCAATGCGCGTTGGACCCCAAAACACTCTTGCAATGCTCCATTGTCCATGTCCTGGCTCGATGGGCAGACAGCCTTCAGCTTGCGTCTCGAGGCCAGATTGCTGACGGCACACCCGCCCTAGAATTTTCGAGGAAGAGCTTCATACTGCCGTAGAGGCCCGCGCCGAAACATTGCAGACGCTGCGGGAACTAGGCCCTCCAGATCTCGTCCATCTCGTCAAGCAATCGAAACAGTCGACCAAGCAGGTACATTCACCACCTTACCATCCCACCCCACCTCCACCGAGAGTCCTCGACTTCGCCCCGGCACAGCAAATAACCCTCTGCAGATTGGCGTATACCACCATGTTACGGGCATCGATGCGTCCTCATCAGCCAGCTTGGCCGCCTACATAAATACGCTCACATACTCCCCTCACGACAAGACGAATAAGGTGATATCTGGGCTATACTGGTAGGATTACTCCACTCGTTGAATCGCAGACCGCTGACTTGTCAGCTGCTACAATGCCTTTTCGCGTCTGGACATGCGGGTACAGGTGGCAATACCCGGAACAGTGGAAAGCTATTGCATTGATGAGCGGGGAGACAAGCGCGTAGCCACGGATGATTTGTGGCTGGAAACCTACCTCTGCAGTGTTCTTCGCGCATATTCTTATGCGGACGATGGATCCGGCGATACGATAAAGAAGATCGTGGGCGTGCGGAGATTCAACCCGATTACCAGCACCGAAAGCGAGCACAAGTTCTTGGACGCGGCCGAGAGATTATTTTTCCAAGGTACTTGCAATTGCGTCCGAGCATTGGACCTTTTCTCACAAATATCTAGGTTGGCAACTGGGTTCAGATCCTGAGATACAAGTCCCCAATCTTGTTTCTAACCACCTGACCACCGGACTGCTCGAATATATCAATACTACCGGAAGATACGCCTCTGGAATCAATCTATTCGAGAAATTGCGAACTCGAGACCCCGAAATCTCCTCATTGCTCGCCCGAGTCTACATTGCCGCAGATGAAGAAGTCAAAGCTGTCCAGCTTCTGCACGAGACGATTCAGGACCTACCCATGGATTATTCGCTACTAGACTGTCAAGCCGAGTTTTGCAACAAGAAGGGGCGTGGCGACCTCGCTCTTGAAATCGCGAAACGGAGCGTGGTTTCTGCTCCGAGCGAGTTTGGCACCTGGGCACGTCTTGCTGAGATCTATGTGACCATGGAGCAGTGGGACCTCGCACTACTGACCCTCAACTCCTGCCCGATGTTCACTTACCAGGACAAAGACGCGCCACGGATGCCTGAGCCACTAAAAGTTTTCCTACCTGCGATGCCCGAGACGATATGCGATGAGATTGACGACAGCAACGCGGACAGCATTGAGCTTGTGCACCCCACACTACGAAAGCTCCATGCTGCTGGTTTCAAGGGCACCTTCTTAAAAGCCTACATTCTACTAACCGAGATCACGAAGAAGATTGGATGGGACCAACTGTTACGAATTCGCAGCCAGGTGTTCGTCATGGAGGAGGAATACCGACACGAAAAGCAAACCATCACACACCAACCAGGCTCCCGTAATGCCAGCACCACTGCATTACGCTCTCCTAGTCCCAAGACGAATGGTCACGGCGAAACCGAGATAGGTTCACCTACCTCAAACACGCCCAACGGCGAGTCATCCCTAGAAGGTGACGCAATCGAAAAACCCGGCCACACCATTACCTCCGAAGAGGTAAAAGCTGGCAGCGACGAAGTAGGTCCCGACTTTTTCTTGCCAGCAACTCCCCCGCCGTTTATCGTAAAAGAACGCAAGAACACGACCCCCAAATCTTTTTACGTTGACTTCCACTCCTTTTCTCGTACCGCCTCCCATACATTATTATCCACTAACACCACCCCTAAGCCCGACCAAGCCCAATCCTCAAACTACACCCAATTCCAAAACAAGCGCCTCTGCGAGCGTTGGCTGGACAACCTCTTCATGGTGCTCTATGAGGACCTTCGCGTCTACACCATCTGGCGCACCGAGATGGCGCAGTACAGACAACAGCAGCTCCTCTACAAGAAATCCGCCGAAGAGTGGGAGATTCTAGGCGAGCTGGCAGAGCGGCTCCACCACACCGACGAGGCGGTGGAGGCGTACCAGAGCTGCCTGCAGATCAAGTTCAGCCCGAAAGCCATGAAGGGCGTCCTCAACCTCAGCGAGATCAGGATAAACGTGCGGGAGACGTGCTCTGCCCTCCTACGACTCGTAACCTGGCAGTATCGGTGGTACTCAGAAGTACGCTCTTAACCCGCCTTCTCCATGTATAGGAAATGCTAATGTGCGGGTTTTAACAGTTTTCGCCATCTTTACTCTACACCATCCGCCGCCTCATCGAGGAAGAAGGCGGCGTCAAAATCCGCAGCATCATCCAGGGCACCAGCCTGCCGCAGCATGTGCTGGACCTCACGCATCACTATGCTGACCTTTGCGCCGCGTTCCGCAGCAATGGTACTGATGGCTGAGCTTGACTGCGTCTGCCCGCTTTGGTCGTTTCGCAGCTTTGCTTACGTGCGCGTAGGGTTTGCGAGTTGACGGCGGTTTTGTTAGCTTTTGGCGGCATGGGGTTGTCGGGCGAGGGGGTTTAGACGTTCGAGGAGGGGAAGGGGGTGCAGGAACTCTTTGTGATGGTTAGGATGGTTGGAGAGGCGGAATGATTGGAGGGTTGCTGGGTGGGTTTGTGGACTTCTTGAGTTTCAGCGTGGTCTGGTGTATATTTCCGCATGGACCGGTGCTGCAGGGACGACCGATTTTACCTAATACCGATACCTTGAGCTTCCATCAGGGCCATCAAATCCAGTATCATGAGCTCAGTGTGTCTGTCTATGCCACCAGCTGTTTCTCTGTCATCGCTATCTTTGCCAGCCATCTCGGATTACGCACTTCGTGCCGGAATCAGCCCATCATCGAGCGTCACGACCTCACTTTCGTCTCCGCTGTAATTGTGTGTGTTCACAACTAGAATTGTTATTTCCCATTTTTATGAATCACACAAAGCCGCAGTCCATATCGCCGTGATCATGCCGGAGAAACGCTGAGCCATAACCGCAGCCACGATCCGACCCAACCAATCTAGAGCCCCGGACAATCCATCCCCAACGCAACAACGAATCCTCTACCGGTACGATTTCTGGTATCTGGCACGCGCACCGGGGCCGCCGAACTTCTTGGGCTCGCAGCGCCTGTTGTCGGCGACGAGGAGGGTGCGGTCGTATTGGACGAGGGCTTGCTTGAGCTGGTTCTTGGAGTGCTCGTCGATGTATTTTTGGTAGTAGGCGATCTAAATCAAACGTCAAGACATTAGTCGTCAGATCCCGGAGTTGCTCGGGTGCGGTTGCCTCGAAGGTAGTGGGACGTACGATTGACTTGGCAATGGCCTGTCGGATGGCGTAGATCTGCGAAGTGTGTCCACCGCCGGAGACGCGAACGCGGATGTCAACGTCCGCTGTATTTTCTATCAGTATTGTCCTTTTGCTCGATAGTTGGGGATTCCCAGAACGCACCGAACTTGTCAACGCCGAGGATGAGGACGGGCTCGTAGACCTTGAAGCGCAGGATTTCGGGCTGGACGAGCGAGAGCGGCTTGCCGTTGACCTTGATCAGGCCTTTGCCGGACTGTTTGCAGAGGTATCAGTATCGCTATCTCGCAGGATCGGATTCGAGGGTCGTGAAAAGAGGATTCGAATGTACCTTGCAGTGTGCCACGGCTGGTGAAGTGCGTTAGCGATTTTGCGCGATCGATAAATGGAATTTGGAGTCGCGATAGCTCACCAGTTGCGGTCTTTTTCTTGCCGAAGCATTGGACACTCTGCTCTCCGTTAGATTCTCTTCTTTGATTCGGGGTTGCTTTCAGGTTGATGGTCCAGGGCTTCGCTGTTCGTGATGTTCTCAGGAACTTGGTGACGCCCTGGATCCAGCCAAATTGAAAAGCGTCGGGGTACGTGCCTGGGTAGTCGACATCTTGGCGGGCTGCAAGATGCGTGCTGTGAGAATGCGAGGGTGTCGTGGAGGAGTTCGCGATGTCGTTGGAAATTCTCGTGGTTGGAGGTGCGAAATCGTGGTGGGCGCTTGGCGTTGGCTAGCTCGATTTGTCGGCTAGCGTCGTCACGTGGTGAGTCTCGCTTTTCAGCCATCGCCAGTCTTCAGACTTTCATCATTTTTCATGCAGACTTTTTGAATTCCATCAAATGCCTCAGAGTGTGAGAGAAGCATACACATGTACCTCGTGTAGCATGGCTTCTAGAATACTACGTCAGTTCAAGCAATAGAAATACAGATCATGACGCTCTATTCCTTCGGGTCAAATGGATCCTATCAGCTCGGCTTGAGCCACAACGATGATATATCAAACCCCACGTCTTGTGCGTTTCAAAAATCGGCCGAAGGCTTGGATTCGATCAGTGTTACCCAGATTGTTGGAGGTGGCAATCACACATTAATTCAACTGTCCAATGGGCTGGTGAAAGCAGTGGGAGAGAACACCGGCTCTCGCTGTGGACCAATACCGCATCAAACCTCGGAGAAAGGCAGGAACTTCGTTGTTGGTTTTCAACATTGTCTTGATGATGTTGTCATGTGCGCCGCTTCTTGGGAGGCGTCAGCGGCAATCGTCCGCAGAGACACTGGCTATGCGATTCTAACAACCGGAACTGGTAGTCGAGGAGAACTTGGACAGGGACTTGATATCGTCAGCTCAGATCAATGGAAGGAAGTGCTCAAACCTACCGATTCCTGGGGTGACTCAAACTCACGCCCAGTCGATATCCACGGAAGTATGAACCATTTTGTCACGGTCCTTTCTAATGGCGAGGTCTACGGCTGGGGTAAAGGTCGCAATGGCCAGCTTGGCGAACCAAGAGAAGATAGCTGGAAGCCCCGAAAGATCCCAGTCCCCTTTAGAGCCGTTCACGCCGTCTGCGGAAGAGAATTCACTTATATTCTGGGTGCGCCTGAGTCCGGAGAGCACCTAGTCCTCGGCCCTGACAAAAGTAACCTCGTTTCAGCCGCACCAGCAATCGCTCCTCGCTGGAAACAGGTAGGAGCGACATGGAGCTCGATTCTCGTCTTGGACCAAAGTGGAAACCTTCACACTTGGGGCAAACGTACCCGAATCACCCCGCCAGAAAGCCTTCCTAGACTTGAACAGGTCGCTATTGGGAGCGAACATGTCCTTGCGACAACGACCAGTGGCAAAGTCATCGCCTGGGGTTGGGGCAAGCATGGCAATTGCGGACTACCTATTGATGGAGAGTTCGGAGATGTCCAAGGACGGTACAACGAGATTGAAGCGCATGGGGCCATCAAGTTACTCGGAGCCGGCTGTGCAACAAGCTGGATTGGTCTAGAATGACGCTGTCTGGGATCTCATGAAAGTTTCCCATCTCTGAGGTGCCCGCTCTTTCTGTGCCTGTGTACACTTGGCTGGCACCGCTTGAGCTCCACTGGTATGTAATCGAATATCGTAAATGCCAGTTTTGGCAAGCCTTATAGCTCTCTGAGCCACTTCAAGCGGTATTTGGCTGCCACGAGCTGCCAGGCTTAATCAAAGAAAAAGTGGCACTCCACGAATCTGTCATTCTATTCTAAAGCTTCATATACGTCAGACACACACTTAATCTCAGCTGTGTACACTTGCCTGGCACCGCCTGAGGTTCTCTGCTACGTTATTAAGAAATATACAACGTCAGTTTTGACGAGGCTAATAGCTCTCTGGGTTACCGCAAACGGTGTTGAACTTCCACTATATGTTCACCAGAGCCTGCATGGTCTTGGGGAGAAGGCGCACTTTGTGGTCTGAGGCAGTGTTCGTCATTGCAAACCAACACAGCGACTTCCCCATTCGCTCAGACGAGATTACCACCTATCTAGCTGCTGGTCTCTGAACTTCTTCCCACTCCCAATCCCATCACTCCATCACATTCAATTGGTAATACCATTCCATCGACAATACTGCTCTTCTTAACCCACATTCATCTCTCATATCATTCGTTGCAACATGGACGGTGGCATGGACGGTGGACGAATGGACGACGATGACGACGGGATCGACCGTGGCCATCCCGTGGGCGAACCCGCAGAGGGTGACGACGGAGCAGACACCGTCGGGGTTATGTACAGCAATAACAACTCGGATGACTCGGTCTCGCTCCTCGGGAATCCAGAAGAGTACGACGCTCGCGACAGTACTTACTCTGCGTCATCCGAAAGCACAAAATCGCACAGCGCTCTAAGCATGACTTCTTCAAATGTCTTCGAACTCGTAGAGAGGTTCAATGGCCTTGAATACAGCAAATACAATTCTCCAACCCACTGGTACTTCGATGTCCGCCATCTCGACTTGCAATCCGGATCTGGTCATGTCGAAGATGTTGATCTCTTGTTTCTGTGGAATACCAATACCGATTACGTCCATATCGAGGGACCGTTCAAAATCGTCGACATACCCACCACTGCCGAAGAAGCCGAAACAATCGTTCGAATGTTGCTGGTCGCCTTTTCGTCGCCAACTAGAAATATGAACCAATGTTCCTACGTCACCTCGCGCACTCCTCTCGTGCTACCTACGACATGGGATACCAAGGATCCCGGGCTGGCTTCCGCTATCGAAAGTGAATTGACCAGGCTCGGAGTGCGCCGGGAGCTTTGCGAGGTGTCTACAGGGACTCTGAGGAAGCTCGGGCTCTGGCGAATCGACTCGTCCTCTATTTCCCAACGGAAATCGAAGCTCTGAGTTATGCTCCTGATGTAGCGTATCCGATCCGGCGACTGATCAAAACCGGCGAAGATAGCGACGAGAATATGGTGCTGTTGCTAGGAGAACACTGGAAAAGCTCCGCGTGGGAGGTGTACAAATCTCAACGAATGGCGCTTTTTCTTGAAGATCACGACGCCCCCCCTAGATTTTGTCCCCTGCTCGAATACGGCCATATTTACGATGAAAGCACTCTTAACAGCAACCCTCTACCTACTTTCACAGAAGATCTAGAAGGGATAACCGGTATTCTTACTGGGAGTGTGCCAAAGTTTTATCATGCTCTCGGTATTATCAGTTGTTTTGCTGGCTTTGGTCCATAGATGATGACATAACGATAGGGGTTTCTGGCATTAACCATTCTCTCCTCAGGGTATACATTCTTTTCATGCGTCTTTAGGCTTGTTTGGCGGTGCACTGCATGCAGTAATTGCGCCACTCTAATTCATTGCGGCTCAGCTCAGCTCACCAATTCATCATATCACTCCTCCTCATAGCGCAAATCGCAAATCCCCAACAAGCCTCACCAACCCACCAAGGCTGTGCAGCATCCAGCACCCTTCCGCAGCTCCAATTTTTATTCAAAAATCGTGAGCTTTGGTGGTCGCATTGTACTGTGCCGCAGCCCTGCATTGCGCTGCCCAGCCTTCGAAGCGCCCGACCCCCAACGCAACATGTTTAATGGTTCGAATGCACATGGGGACTCAAGGTTAATGGAAAGGCTAGGCTGCTAAGCCTCTGTGGCGAATCGTTTATGCCGGGCTGAGCTTCTTGAAACTGCGGTCGGTATGGACTTCCTTTAGTCTTGGTCCCTCGCGATCTGGAGAAAAGGCTTGGTAGGCTGCATATATGTCACGGGCTAGGGGGGACTCGGAAGTCTCGAAAGATGGGAATCCCTGCTCAGGTTTGCCGCGTTGTGCTGGCCTCTCGTTGTGACGTTGTTCGGTGGTACTATCCTTTGTATTTCAGCAACGACCACCTCATCCCGTATGTTGCCGATGTCTCCTTGCTGGTATGCCATTTATGAATTAACGATTGAACAGCTGTAGATTGCCATATCAGACCTTCCGCCGCGTCCGAAACCTATGGCACTAAGATCATTTCGAACCAGAAAGACGCCGACGCCCTGGCCAGCTTGCACAACTTTTTCTAGTGGCATTGCGATTGCCACTGAAACTACAGATAATATAACAATAAAAGGAGTGGAATCAGTTCTTGGAGATGTTGTTGCAATTGACGTGCCTCAAATGAACAAGTCGAACTGTTCGGGTCTTTGGGCGATTACTGGTGCTTTAAGGATAGAGAGAAACGGCGATCTGAAGGAAATAGCGATGCCCCGAAATTCAGGGAACGTCTCTTTGTGTTCACTGCCTGTACTGGAAGACCCGCTTTTCGATATGGACGACGGGTTGTCTTCCACTTACAACACCGTTTACACGATCGATAACCTGGAGATTTACGACACTTCCATTGAAAATGTATCCTTGGCTACTGACGATATGGTAACCCTGAACATCACGAATAATAGTATGTTGTCCAAGAGACCATCAAGTTCCTTTCAAAGCTATTACTTATCGAAAATCAGATGCTTTGTTAGACATATATATCCACTCAGAGCATCAAAATGGACCTCACCGTTGCGGCAAATAACGTCAACAGTCCTCCTAACGTTAGAATATATTCCTGTAAGAAGATTGGTAATGTGCTTCTACAAAACGTGTCTACATTTTCGGCATCCGATCTCAACTTGATCCAAGAATCTTTGATTATAGAAGGGAACTCACAACTCCCTCTAATCTACTTGAACTCCTTGAAGTTGTACGCCGTGCAAGGTAGCGTAGTAGTTGCTAACAATGCCGATCTTTCTAATATCTCATTTCCCACTCTCACCTCCGCTGGAAATCTGTCCATCACCAGCAACCCCAAAGTCATGGCAATTGATCAATTCGACATGCTCGCGACAGTTGAAGGGCAAATAACCGTCTCTGGGAATTTTGGAAAGTAAGTCTACCTTCCAACTCCATTTGGAGACTCGAAAATTCACCAAGAAAAAAGCGTCTCCTTCCCCGATCTGAAGAATGCAAGATCTTTGAGCGTATCTTCTGCCAACTCGACTTTTAATTGCTCCGATTTTGCCATGCTCTGGACATATGGTTTTGTCAAGGACGCTTACGAATGTCAAGGAGCTTACTTTGACCGGTCTTCATCACCCGTAAAGGCTTCAACCCCCAATCAAGATGACTCTACTGGCGGTCTTGCGACTGACGAGAAAGCGGGAATCGGGCTGTCGGCGTTGGAACGCTCTTTATTTGGGTTGGAATTGTTTTGATTTGCTATCGACGCCGACGACAAAAACGACAGAAAGTTACGACTTCGGAAGAAGAGTCAGCCAACATCTCGGGCTCTACTGTAACCCCACTTGCGGAGCCTGGTGGGGTTGTATATAGAGAGGAGATGCCTACAGGGAAAGAAGCTGCGGAATTACCAGACCACCACGGGATGAGCGAAGCAGAAGTAGTCAGAGAGCCGCTTATGCGTGTCGAAGGCACACACGAGCCAGAAGCAGACACAGAGTTTGAGCGGCCCCCCCCCGTCATATTGATATCTATGAAGGAACATGATCAGATAGAAAGATGCATTCTAAAGCACCAAAACGGCTACAACAGTGGGATTTCATGGCAAATCCACACTCCCCAACGCCCTCCGGCTCGCTCACCCCAACCATGGCACTATGGGCGCGTTCAGGTGTCCGACATCTCCCGTGGGACGGGCGGGGCAGAAGACGCTCTGTAGGGAGAGGTACGAGATGGCCTATAGATTACAATCACTCAACTCCTCCCGTTGTGAGAGAAAAGCGAGCACACAATGCCCACACAACCCCATGGTCTCCATGTCGGATTATCACACTATATATACACTGTCTAACCCGCCTTCACATCACCCACTATAAACCACATTCTCCCCACAATACCCATTACTCGCAAATACCCCCTGATCCCCGCTCCCCTCCAACACCAACTCATACGCCTCCTGCCCCTGCGAACCACCCGATGCCTCCATCAACAAAAAACATGCTCCCGGCCCCCCGTAAGTCCCTCCACACTCGGCCGTCGTAATGCACTGGACACAGCAATCATACCGGGACCCCGCGTTGGTTGTGGAGTAGTAGTTCGGCGAGTTGTAGTAGGCGCCTGCGATGCCGTTGCCGTTGACGGCGGAGATGACGTTGTTGGGGGCGCATGCGGCGTAGTAGGTCGAGGTGGGGGGCCACGGCACCCACGGTAGAGGTCACGGTTGCGACGGTGACGGTGGCGGTGTCGGATTCTGTGAAAGTGAGGGTGTCGGTTTCCGTGAAGGACAGCGCTTGGGTACGTTAGTGACTGCTTCGGGAGATAAGATGAGGGGAAGGGCGTACTTGTGCTTGCGCTGATGGGCGTGATTGTGCTAGTCGAGGTTACGGTGATAGTAGTTGAGGTCGCTGTAGGAGGTTAGCGTGTCTCTGAAAATTCTGAGTGGATGAGTACGTACTGCTCGTGGGAGTGGGCGCCGTATTCGTATCTTTGAGGATGTCAGCAAATTGTGCGGTGGTATCGACAGGGCAGAGAGCGTACGGGTCTTCTTAGCTGTAACGGTGAGGGTTTGGGTAGAATAGACTTGCACGAGACCTGTGCAGGTGACGGCTTGGGGATATACGGCGGGTGAGCATGCAATTTTGCCGTTCTTGACCGAGAGCTTGTATTTTGTCTTTGTTGCTGCATGCGAGGGAGCGAAAAGATCTGGATCGACCTATCTTCAGCCAGCCACATGATCTAGTTTAGTATAAGTAAGTCTGCTTAGGCCTGAATGTGTGCGTAAGGCTATCAAGGCTACAGTCAGCCCTCTAGAACGGACTGGACACGACCGTGCGTAAACCAAGGGGTTTTACACTGTATAAACCCCGTACAGGGGGACGAGTTTACAGTAGTCATGGCCTAACCGTCCACACCGATCTACGGCGTCTCCGAGGATTTGGGTTCATATTGGTGCAGTAAAAGCTCGGTATATCGTTCATCTCATATACCGTTCTCGTACGCTATACCGTTCAACCTTCCGATTACCATTCTAATACTTGGTGGGTGTTTCCAGCAACTTGGCCAGCAACTCCGGCCTTGACGCATAAAGTTAGATTACGCAGGGCACACTATTGGGTGAAAACTGCCTTTTTTCAAAAAACATCGAGCCTGGGACGGAAGCTGAGTACACCCAACCCGGTTCCGAGCTTTTACTGTAACTTTATTGACTTGAGCTCTGCGTCGACCATCCCATGCAGGGCAGGCAGGCCTAGTGAGTTTTCCAGGGAACAGGCAACCGAACAAGGAGTATGTTCTACTTTTAGAAGATTTCCCGCAGGCGGAGCCCAGCGGTTGTTCGAATGCGGGTTGGTGTTGACGTTGAGCTGCACATGCGCTCTGAGTCGGCACTAGTATCAATACTTTTGATAACGCAATGCAGGGCTGCACCCCAGCGCCGAGACTAACCACCTAGAACTTAGCAATAGCTCCCGTATACCTAGTTAGGCAACCGGATGTCGCATTTCAACTCCAGGTGCGATGGGGTAGAAGAGACCGCAGACACAGCATCTTGTCTTTCCGGGTGGTACGCCGAATACGAACGCCACGATCTATCCCGACAGAGACTTGTTCGTGGCTTTATTTTAGCCCTGTTTAACCACAAATCCGTCTTTAAATACTCGAGTTCTGAAACAGTTGGAAAGGTGCTTTACAGCTCGGCATCCCTAAAACCAATAGACCACCATAATGCTGTATAATGAATAGAGAGGAAACTATTATCTTAAAGCAACCATGCCTCGGCCTCGGCAAAGATAAAAAGTGCTCTGTTCTGCAAGTTAGTGAGCCACGTCTCTTCCAAGGTTTCGAAGGAATTCATGACATTCAAGACCGTGATCGCATGGAAACCTTGTCATTACATGTTAACTTTGCGTTGAACTGCAGTCTCCAGTCAATGTCATATTTCAACCGCGTTTGTCGTGCATTATGCAATACCGGGAAGACCTAATTGTGGCATCATAGGGCTGCAATGCAGGTTTCTTTCTACTCATGTTCCTTCATAGACATCAATCTGGTCGGAGGGCGGCCGCTCAAATTCTGTGACTGCTTCCAGCTTGTGCGTCCCTTCAATACTCATGAGCGGCTCCATGACTGCCGTCCCGAGTGTGTACTAAGTACAGTGTCTGATTGTCTGGGCAGCTTTTCGTGAGTTTGCCCCATTTTCAGTCCAGGTTCATGTGGTTTACGTCCGATTTATCGATTTCGACAGCGCTTGGGCATTTCATTCAAATTCATTCTCTCGTACCTATATAACTTCGCCAACTCGTAATTTCAATGTTCTCGAGATCGTGAATCGGGCCTCTTAGGTATCATCGCCATCGTCCACTCCTCCCAAACCTCCCCCATGCTGAAATCTACGCCTCTCATACTCAGATATTCCGACCACCCCGATTGGCTACTTCCAAAGCAACCCCGTGACTCCGTGACTCCGCGGGTGTCTACTATATAAACTCCCACACGAGCGCGTCAACCTCCTCGTCCTCACTACCATCACTTGACTGCCAACAACCACCTCAAATGTTCAAAATGGCCCGCGAAACCAAAGTCACCGCCTTCCAAACCCGCGTCTACACCCTCCTGCAACAGATCCCCGAGGGCAAAGTCACATCCTACGCCGCATTGTCGAAGGCGCTGAACAGCTCCCCGCGCGCGGTGGGCGGGGCTCTGAGGAATAACCCGTTTGCGCCGGAGGTGCCGTGCCATCGGTGTATTGCGAGTACTGGGGTGAGTTGCGCAAGGCGAGGAGTCGTTGGGTGTATGTACATAGGCTAATGTGGGTGAGCAGTTCATCGGCGGCTTTCAGGGTGATTGGCAGAAAGCGCCTAGTGGGGTTAATGTTGAGAAGAAGATGGGGTTGTTGAAGGAGGAGGGGGTGGAGTTTGATGGGAAGGGGATGCTGGTGGATAGGGGAGCATGGTGGGATGAGTTTAGACTTTGAGGTTGTGAGGGATGTGGGAGGGATGTTTAGAGTTTCAAATGGATAACTTAGTGCACGGAGACTTCTTTGAAGGGTCGATGTTGTTGATTGAAAGATGGACGATGGCTTTAGCGCGGCTAAGTCGGGCCTAGCCGGCCGGTTCCCTCAAACTTCAACTTCAGCTGATTTCTTCAACCTCTCCTCTATCCAGCCTCGGCCTTCATTAACCCAGGCAACGAGAGTGACCCCACAAATTTTGCAGCTCCTTGTCTTACCCTGTGTTTCTCGATTGCTCCTTATGAGAGATTTCACGCGCCGTCCTCGCCATTTTCTTCTCTTCACGACGGCAACAAAGGCTGCCACAACTGAGGTTCTTCTATCTAAGCTTTTAGCGATATTTTAGGCTCTTTAGATCAGCCAATGCGTCTGCCCCGCGCTTTCTACCCCCACGTAGAGTAACAAGACGATTAGCAATTCCTACAACCGAAGCCTGCTATGAACCTTTTATTCATAAGTCTAGCTAGCGGATGTTCTCGGGTCGTAGCAGCCTCTTGAAGAGATATCTCCCTGGTACCTATTGGGTCGCGAAAACTTGCTACGTTAGAAACGATCGAAGACGAAGCTTTTCGACGCGAACATCCGCCATGAATTACATAATGTTACAGAGGAGATCAGACTCCCCTTGATTATCTAGCTACGTACTAGTCGTTGAGCGAGCAAGAGTGATCTGGAGCAGCAGTGTATTCGGACAGTGCTATGCTATAAATATCCGTACACTTTCCTGCCACTATTCGTGGGGCTGCAACGTACTAATAGAAAACTGCGGAAGCGGATACACCTTTTATCTCCGTACCCAGTGCTAGCGCTGTCTAGGGTGGCCCCTCGAGTTTACCAGTTATTCAAAAGGCCGAATCTTTCCCTTATTCAAGAGGCTGAAAATACTATGAGGCTGCTCATGCAGTGGCAAACGATTGCACCGATTCATATGACGAGGAGTTGTATGATTTAACCTAGTATGTTCCCGGGCCTATCTGTCTTTTTCACTATTATCCCACCAATTTTTTCACAACCACTAACATTTCACGGCCACCAACATTTTACATCCTCCTCAAGGCCTACTAACTTGGATATTGTGCCAGACACAGACCCCGATGGCGCTACAATCTAAAGCTTTGGAGGACGCTCCTTCACCTAACGCTTCACCTGACACTTTACTTGACGGTTCACCCGACTACTTCGGCCCCTCCGGCTTCCTCGCGTATCCCACGGAAATTGTCGAAATTATCGCGGAAGCTCTACCGCGCAACTCCTTCCTAGCCCTGCGCCAGACTTGCAAGGAGATCCAAGAGAAAGCCGACTATCACTTCAAAAATCGCCATCTTCTCGCGAAGAGGGTTGCGTTGGTGGATGGGGCATGTTTGAATACGCTTGTCGAACTAGCAAGCCAACCAAAGTTTGCGAGCCGAGTGCGCCATGTCCACATTGAAATCGAGGACAGCCTGATCCTGTTGGCAAGCGACACAGCATCAAGGCAGACGCGTAAGGTGACAGACTGGACGAATCCGAATTAGAGCCCGATGAGCCATGGATGGTCAACAGGGACCGTGCTGTGAACCTGGCCCTCCTCTCCGCTTCCCTTACACAGCTACCAGCACTCGAGTCTGGAGAGATCATCGAGCGACCTCAACGTACTCTCACACGACGTGAGGGCACACCTTTTCTGGACGGAAAGTGGTGATCAAGTTGTGATGGCTCACTAAAATTAAACAATTGTTCTCACTTCCTCACTTTCTGCAAGGCGCTCAGAGCCCTGGCCTAGAACAGAGTAGATCACGTCGAAATTTGCAATCGATTCATCATGCCCGGCGCAACAAACAGACTTGTGACGCCATGGGCTTTCACCAGCACCTCCCACGAGTCCTTCAACCAGCTGGCCGCGGACGAGTTTCCGCGCCGTGTTTCCCTTGCGTCCCTCCGGAGGCTCACATACCGCGGGAACGGCCTCGCACTATACACCCGCCGCTATGGCCAAGGCGGTTGTTACCGTTACAGCCTTCTCGATTCCCTTTCGCGCGGCACAGAGCTCCTAGAGAGCGCCATCTTAGACTCTACCAATACCATGGAGCACACGACTTTAGGACAACTCGACGACTACGCGTCGCCGTTGCGGCTTCTGAACGTGGGCATCTTGTATGAATCTCTAGTATCGCTAGCTCTAAAGGCCGTCTTCGTCGCCTCAAACTATCTTGCACTGGTCATACGAGGGCACAAACCGCTGCGACAGGTTACCCTGAATGGTGTGCTACTAGCTGTCAGCCTTCAGAATCATAGAAGAGAACCAGGAACACGTCTGATAATGAAGGAGTTGCGAGAATGTAGTACGCTACAGTACCTCTTCGTCCGTGCGCCCATTCAACTCAATCGCCCTATCCTATTTGGAGGCCTTGGCTCTTGCAGAGAGGCAACAATGTACCTGAGCATGGAAACCAAGCAGCTGTCGGCGGCCCCCCGGCTCTGGGACGTTGGCAAGATTTTCGAGTGATACCAGAGAGGACGCGATGAGGCAGAGGCGGCCGAACACGTTAATGGCGATCTTGCAGGAGACTACAACAGCGCAGCCCGTATCCTTACTAGCACCACCCCTCTAGCTTAGCGGTTAACGAACCCCCTAAGACCGCGATCCTTCTCTCGATGATCATCATTCATGTGCTCTTACTAGCCCTAAACGTCGCACTCCAGCGGGATGCCGTTTATCCACTACACAGTACATACGCGTGAGACATGGTAGTAAACATCTCCCCTCTTTCTCACTTTTCTTTTACCCTATACGTGTCCTCTTGATAAGACAGCCAAACAATGCCAACCAAGAACCATCGTAACATCGTAACCAAAAACGAGCAAAGATGAACATCCCACACCAAAAAGGACCGAGGAGGATTATATCCACCAAGAACTTCTGTTGCCCATCTCGCAAACTCAACACTACTCTACCCAGCACCTCCCCACTCCCTCCTCCACAATCTGCACTCCAGTGCTCCGCATCATACGAATCACTCAGATCATCCACACAAATCTGCCCCTCGCGTGGACACCTCCTCCCCACAAACCCACCACCCACCTCATCCGCACCGCAAATCCCGTTCCAGCCGCACCCCAGCCCTTACCCCATCTCGCGCGGGTCATCAACACCCGCCCCTTCCCCCTCCTCACAAACCCCACAGCCCGTGCAGCCCCCTCCACATCTACCATCCACTCCGCCACTCCAGCTCTTCAATTCCACCCCCCGGCTGCACCAAACATCTCTCGCGCGATGGTTCTCGCGGGGTCGATCGCACAGTCCAGTCCCTCAAGCAGTCTAAGCGGCGTCGCACGCCCTGAGTTCCGGGACCGTGCCGCCGCAGCTGTCGTAGCAAGCCATCTCGTTGGCGTTTTCGCAGAGGCAGGACTGCAAGGACGCGGGGTGGGTTAGGTTTGGGCGATCGGACCGGGTCGGAGCAAAACAGGGAGAGTGTGGGAGGGGGGGGGAGGGGGGGAAGAAGGGAAACGCACCTCTGGCCAGGACTGCGCGCAGACCATGGGCTCGCACTTGCACGGCTGCGGCGCGGGAAGCGACTCCACCGTCGGAGGAGGCGGGTCGATGGGACAGGGCTGGACCGCCGCCGTGATGCAGAGGATTAGCTGGAGCAGGTGCGCGAAGGGGGAGTGGCATAGCGGAATCTGGCACAGATCACGGGGAAGGGGGGCGAGGGCTGACGGTGGGATAAACTCACGACGATGGTGGGCGGGGTGCCGCATTTTGAGGCACACGCTATCTGCGCGGAGTTGTGGCATTGGCAGATCTGGTGGGATGATAGTTGGAGAGGGATTCGCGATTGGATTTCTGGGGGGGTTGCAGGAATGCTTACCTGTGCGGCGGTGCCGCCGCATTTGAGTTTTGCGCAGGCGCAGTCTGTGGTTGGGACAGCGAGTGTGAGGGGGAGGCGAGACGATAGGAAGACGAGGATTGGCTTCATGGCGAGGGCAAGATGAACGGGGATTCTGTTTTTCTGCGTTGGAGTTGGAAGTAGAGACGGGGATGGATGATTTGTAGTAGGTCTATGTATACGATCCTGGTAGGACAGCCAAGCAAAGTAAATAACGGTGCCGAGTACGAATAAGGAGAAAAGTTGATGGTTGGCCTCCTGTTAGGATCAATGTTCCACGAGAAGCGATCCACTCAGCGTTGTTCAGCATTCTTGAGTGGATCAGGCCCTATCTCGTGAGCTATGGATGTTACTCAGTCTTGAAGAATGGACCACTCTACCCTCGCATCTAAGAATAGCACAATCAAGCTTTCTCTCTTCCTCTAAATCTGGAGAAACCGCGTACAATTGCGGGGGCAAGGGACCGGGTATCTGCATGTGTCGACGAAGAGATTGAAAGACGTCGGGATGGCGAATGCAGCCGAGAACCCGTCGGCTGCCGGCTCTGCAAAGCGTAAATCATCAATTAATCGAAAAGGAAAATAGGTCCATCGGTCCGAGAAGTTGGCAATACGAGCTTCCCGCTGCGTTAGATTTCACGGTGTTGCACAGCCATGAGACATTACATCTTGCCGGCCTGCTAATGCGTGCTAGAGAAAGGGATAGATTTAGGGGGCTACTAACTATACACCCCCTTTTCTCTCCACGTACACACCCCCCTCTTGGCGCTTCACCACCTTCTAATTGGCTCGGAGAGCCCGGAGCTTCCTCCGGGCATTCACCCTTACGTCTCTCCACACGTGATGCTATACGCGAGGCCGTACGTGATGCTATACGCGAGGCCGTACATGATGCTATACGCGAAGCTATACATGAGCTCTTACGTGAGGCTATACGTGAGCTCGTACGTGAGCTTGCACGTAAGCTTGTACGTGAACTTGTACGTGAGCTCGTACGTGAGGCTATACAAATCGGCATGGCTATACAGCCTCTCCGTTCTACGGCGCATGCTTTCCAATTCATGCAGCCGTATATATAGCTGTACGTGAGCTCGTACGTAAGCTTGTATATGAGGCTATACGTGAGGCTATACAAATCGGTATGATGTAATTGCTTGTGTTGTACATGGCCGCATTTGGAGAGGGCATTCGGAATTAGTGAGTTAAGCGAGCGAATCGGAGGCTACGGAGTAGCCCTCCGAGCTAATTAGAAGGTGGTGAAGCGACAGGGGGGAGGGGTTGTACGTGGAGTGAAAAGGGGGTGTATAGTTAGTGGCCCCCAATTTAAATGGGTGTGCAAAAGTTTAATTCTAATTTACTGTAACTGGGATATGGAGAGTACGCGACTAGTGTTATAAACGAGTCTGCAAAAGTGTAAATATGCGTTGTCAAAAGTTTGAAAATGCGTCAGGAAAAGTTTGAAAGTAGGGAAATGCGTCGTCAAAAGTTTGAATTCCAATTCACCGCAGGCTACGAAGTGGAGAGCACGTGACTAACGACGACTGGGGCCCCTGAGACAATATAACCAAGACACATTTCTTGGAACCTCAGCGTCTTCGACGTCGCCATATCTTCTAAAGGAAATTTGCTTTAAACAAGTCTATCTCAGGGCGTGCCCTGAAGTTGATTATTCGTAGCTACAACGCCGGCGCTATGAGAACCTTACCTAGGTAGCTCCTCAGGTCCACAGCCCATACCAGCAAAGCCACAAACCAAAACCTCCTCCCCAGCTCCACCAGACACCGCTCCCAGAAACGCCCAACGCCCACCCCTATTTCCCATCCCAATCCCAGTCCCCATTCACCCCCTACTCCTCCATCCTCTCCCCATCACCCCCAACCACCCCCACATTCCCCTCCCCCAAATGCTTCAACATCCACCCCCTCTTAAAATACGTATTCGGATGCAGAATCGTATCCAGCTCCGCCGCGCCCCAGCTCCCCTCCTCCTTCACCTTCCTAATCTCACGCCTATGCGCCCACTCAAACACGCGATTACACGCAATATGGTACCTCTGCTTCTTCACATCCTCGCGCACGAGCCCCAGCACCTCGCGCTCATTCACGCCCGTCCTCTGCAGCAACGCCACCAAGTTGTCGACGCCGAACGTGCGGTACGGACACCCGTGCGACTGCCCGGGCCCCGGCAGCGCTTCCGTCAGGATCTTCTGGCACGAGTAGGGCGTGTACCCCCGACCGCGGCGGTTGGCGTCCCCCCCAACGTCGCCGTACACATGGCGGATGTTGTACTTGTACTCTTTCGCGAACTTCTCGTCGGTGAGGAGCTTGAAGCTGCGGCGCCAGAACAGGATGCACTCGTCGAGGCTCAGCCCGATGCCCTTGAGGAAGAGGGTGTACTGCAGGCGGCCGTAGTGCTTGAGGTGCGAGTTTGCGCGCAAGGTTTGGTGGAGGTTCTGCATGCAGAGGGGGAAGTGCTGGGCGAGGGTGTCGATGGAGGCGGCCGTCGGGGTGGAGAGGCCGTCGACGGCGTCGGAGGAGCTGTAGGCGGCGTCGGGGGCCGTGAAGGATTGGGAGAGGTGGGCGAGGATGGGCGCGAGGCGGTCGTCCTCGTCAAGGCGGGGGAGGGCGCGCGCGGTGAGCTATATCCACACCATTAGCCATTTTCCTTCCATCTTGAAAGTGGAACGAGGAGGGTTCTAGGGCATACCTCAAGCGCCTCATCCAACCGCCTCGTAAACTCAGCCACCACAAGACTCAACTGCTCCCGCGCGGGCACATACGCCTTCCCCCTCCTCAAAAACACCCTCCGCTGCTCCACCAACTCTGGCACGCGCTCCCAATCCACCTTGAACCACCCCTGCTCCTCCACCCTCTTCAGCCCGCTCGCCGCCGCCAACTCCGCCCCCAGCTCCCTCCGCTCGCCCTCCTCCACCCGCTCCCACTCCAGCCCCAAGCTATCCACAAACCCCTGCCTCTCCTTTAGATCATCATCCTTAAACCTTAACCGAAACAGCATCGTCTCCAACCTCGCAAACCGGCGCCTCAACTCCTCCGTCGCCGCAAACGCCAACCTGAGTATAAAATGCGAGTAATGGTCCTTCCGCCGCTCCTCCTGCAGCGTCCCCCCGCGGCTCGAGTTCGCGTGCAGCGGCATGTGCTTCTCGAGTATCGCGCCCATGTACGCCGCCGTTTCGTCGGCGCTGCGGTTGCGGAACGCGCACGCTTCGAGCTCCGACAGCACCTTCAGCCGCGCAATCGCCCACACCTCGAACTCCTCGAGCGTGATCTCGGCCGTGGGCGGCACCGTGTAGAAGTTCAGGCGGTGCGCGTAGTCCTGCGCCGCGAAGCCCGGGGCGGCGAACTGCCGCTTTTTCCAGTCGAGGGCGGGCCGGCGCTTGGGGTCGACGCGGGAGAAGTCTTGGCGGATCATGGCGGCGGGCGCGGCGAGATGCTGGAGTTCTGGTAGTAGTGGTTATTGGGGGTGGTTGTTGCTGGTGGTGCTGTAAGGGTTTGGGGAGTTGAGGGCGTGAGGTTGGCGTTTTGGGGAGACGCGTTTTGGCGTGAAGTTCGTGTTGGGGTGCACGGGCCACGAAGTTAAGGCAGGGGGTTGGGCGGGGGTGAGACGGAGCGTGTGGGTTTCGTGTATAACACCACTCTACTTACTAAATTCAAGCTGAGCAGCGGGACTTTTGATGAGAAAGTTCAAATACTTCTGGTCCTTCTCTGAAGTGCCAACTCAGATGAGTCCTTACACTCATGACACGTCTTTCGTCAACGTCTAATCTAGTCTATTTCTTCCCTTACACTGGAATCTATAAACACTTACACTGCTGTGATGAACGGCGTCTGCTCAAACGATCCTGCCTCATAGTGCCTCAATGCACTGCATGAAGGGACGGCTCACACGTCCAGTCGGCAACCCCCTCCTGATCTCAGCACGCCCCATCCATCTCACCCTCACGCAACCAAATCCCCCAACACATCCACATATGCCATCGGCACAACCTCGCTGCCCTCCCGCAAGAAATCCTCCTTCTTATTCACCCCCGTCAACACCGCCAGCGTTCCCCCAAGCTTCCCCTCAATCCCAAACTTAATATCCGTATTCAGCCTATCCCCCACCATGCACGTCCTCGCCTTGTCAAAGTGGAACTTCCCCTCAATCGCCTCCATCATCGCCTGGCTGGGCTTCCCCAATGCCACCGGGTCCGCCCCCGCCGCATACCTAATCCCCGCCCCCGTGCTGCCCGCGCCGGGGAACAGCGCATGCGACATCGGCAGGCTGCTATCGATGTTCGTGGCGAGGAACTTGGCGCCGCGCTGCAGGTACTGGTGCGCGGTGGCCATCTTGAGGTAGTTGATGTGGAAGTCGAGGCCGGTGAGGACGATGCCGACGTCGGGGTCGAGCGCGGAGCCGTTGGCGAGGCCGGCGAAGTCGTCAGGCGTCATGTCGCGGCGGAAGGCTGGGTCGGTGCCGCCGATGTAGGGGACGGACTCGGCATCGAGTTCTTGCTCGATGCCGGTCTCGCCGACGACGAAGACTTTGTTCTTGGGTGGGGGCAGGGCGAGGATGCGCGCGATGTAGACGGCGGCGCTATAGGAGGAGCCGAAGACTTCTTCCTGGGGTGGGGGTTAGAGATGAATTGGTAGATTGGAGGGCATGAGAGGCTGGGGACGTACCACTTTGGCTTCGATGCCCATTTTATCGAATTTCTTCTTGTAGTCGGCGCGGGATTTGGTGCTGTTGTTCGTTACGAAGACGAGTTGCTTGCCTGGTTTCAGGTTAGCACGATTGGTGCATGTCTGGGTAGATTTGTATACCAGCTTTCCTGAGCATATCAAGTGTCTCCGGGACCTTTGGGAAGAGGTGGTCTCCAGACCAGAGGACGCCTATCCTTCTTCATAATCAGCCTCGAGCGACTTCAGGTGTCCAATTCGCCTATTCGTCTTCGGTGTGGTCGATAGTATTCGAAAGTTGGGTTGCAGTATCATGGGAAGCCATACCATCGCAGTCGAAGAGAAACACCTTTGACTGAGTGTTAGCAATGTGATGAAGTAGATTGGGATTTCAGCTTACGTCAAACCTATCCAAGAACTCCTGGATCGCAGCTTTGTCGCCGGTGAGATATTTGGGTTGCGACATGTTTGAAACCTAGGAAGAGATCCCGCCTGGGTGGGAGAAGAAGACGTTGTTGATGTTGTGCGAGGACGTTGGTGGGATGAAAGTGTTTATGGTGGGGCAAACCGGAGGCTATGACGATCAGAGGCTGAAAATCGGTACGAAGGCCGAGCCCAGTTCACCAACATGCGGACTGTGCTCATGATACAAAGGTTTAGTTGTCAGATAAACAGCATTTTCTGCACACATCTATATGCTTCGCATGAGAAATGGGACTACGGCCAGCCAATGCCCTATAATGTAGACACCTCTAGTCAATCCACCAGAATCTGTGCCTCAAGCTCTTGGAAATTCTCGAAGAAACTCTCGAATAGATTGATCGCGTGGTCTACATCGTGCGCGCCCCCTGTCTCGCGAATGCTGTGCATGCTCAGCTGCGGGTTGCCGAGATCCAACGTTCTGGCTCCCAGAGCTGCGGACAGCATCGGCCCAATTGTGCTTCCACAAGATGAGTCGTTGCGGACAACGAACAGCTGCAACGGCACGCCGTGTGAAGCCGACGACTTGCTAATGGACGTCTTCTTGGCCCGGCGTGCTGCTTCCTGGAGGAGCACAATGCCAGGAGAGTTTGTCGCATAGCGGGCATTGGCGTTGATCTTGATAACGGTACCTTTGTTCATCTCTGGGCGATGAGCCGACTCATATTTAGCAGGATAGTTAGGGTGAACAGAATGCGCCATATCAGCGGAGATTAAGAAAGACGTCGATAGCGACTGCTCATACGCGGTTGCAGATTCAGCCTCGACTTTGTCATATGACTTGTCCGAGTTGGAGTCAGAAGCAGGGAGGACCGACAGCCGGCGGATGACAGCCGGGAGGAGATTGGAGTCGGCGCCTTGGGCTGTCTGGCTTCCAATCTCTTCGTGGTCGAATAGCGCAATGAGGCGGATTGTGGAATCGTTGTCTAGAGCGGATGGTGACGCTACGGAGGCAATCAGGCCTTGGACACTGCAAAAGGACATGACGAGGTTGTCCAACCGGGCTGAGAAGATCAGCTCGTTGTTCAGCCCACCGATGACGGACTTCTGGGTATCGTAGAGCACCATTTCGAAGTCCAAGATGTCGGCAGGCTTCACGCCGGCTTCTTCAGCAATAATGTCGACAATGTAAGGGTGGTGTCGCTCGGCGGGCGTTTGAAGGGGCTCAAATGGACCATGTTCCGGTTTGGGTTCCTCCTTCTCGTCGCCGGTCTTGCCCTGCCTATTCATCTCGGCAGCTACAAGACCGGCAATGGGATACAGCTGAGTCTCTTTGTTGAACTGGAAGTTCTCCTGGCGATCGAGATGGATAGCCAGGGTGGGGATGCGCAGGATGGGCCTGTCGACCTTCACCAGGCGCTGCTCAATCGACCCGTCCTTTGTCTTCACCATTGCACGTCCGGCGATGCTGAGATCCCGATCAAACCAGGTATGCCATAGTCCTCCACCATACGTCTCACAGGCCACTTGCAGGAAGCCATCGCTCTGGCGCTTCGAGACCGGCTTGATGCGGAGACATGGGGAGTCGGTGTGGGCTCCGATGATGCCTATGGGGTTTCCAGCCTTCCACTTGTTGCCAATGGCAAAGGCCACGATGGAGGAGGCATTGCGGGTGAGATAGTACTTCTCGCCGGGCTGCAGCTTGGAGGCCCAAGAATCGCGTTCCTGCAACAGACAGGGTCAGCTCTGGAACGTGAGACTACTTGTATCCATAGGACGAGGCTGCCAAGCTGGCCTTGCAGGTCGCAAGGGTTGAGTGGAGGGTGGAGGGATGGACGTCGTATCATTGTTGTAGGGGACTCTCATTCGACGATGGAGCTGTGCGGCTGTGAGGGGACGCTGGGGGTGGCTCGATCTATGATCTGACGGTGTGGCACAAACCTTTATAGGCTTGAACCCAGCTTTTTCCAGGCGCAGCTTTGCAGACTTGACGGCGTGGAAGGCTGAAGTTGTAAGCTTGGTGTTCTAGGGGCCGTGTGCACATAGATGCTCACGGGTCGGAGAGGCATTCACAAAGGACAGGAAGTCCTCGGCGCTCTTCAATGAGGGAGCAGTAGTGGCCATGGCACGCGAGCAGAGGGAGTAAGCAGTGCAGGTGGTGGTCGGGGAGACGGGCAGCTTGGTTCGAGAGGCGCGGATGCTCAGCATAGGATAGGCGCACGACGCTCTGTGACCCGTTGTCCGGCCTTTGCGGCAGTAGTGTGTCTTGGAGGAGGCTGGAGGCGGTTCGCTGAGCCCGCGCCGTCACCCGTCGCCGGGCAGTTGAAGGCCCCAGCACAGCCAAGAGACGTTTCATACTGCGTACATGGGGAGACGCGTGCGGGCCGTCGAGACCACAACAAACCACGGCGACGGGCGACACGGCGACGGGCGACACGGCGACGACTGCCCGGCATCCAGACACTCGTTGCGTGCCTCAGGTTGCCTCTCGCTCGCCCTCTTGCCTCTTGCTATCTACGAAGTAACCCCATCGCTATCTATCGCCATCCCTCACTGCAGCGCCGGCTGGTCCTGTTGCTCCAGCCCCGTCACGTTGCCAACGGCCCCGTTAGCGGCCATCGCAACCCGCAACCCCAAAACATTGGCACCGGTGTCCCTATCACTCACCACCCTCCCACCTCACTCGACCCGCACCCCTCCGCCATCTCCACCGCGACGCCGGGCCATGCAGCTGCACAGCACCTGATAGACGCCCCTCGACAACTGCTGCGCGCCGCTATCTGGCTGCACCACCCCGACCTCCTCCCGACCTCTTGGACAGTCGATACATTTGCCCGCCCCCCTCGCCCGTCGGTGCCACGCGCTGCACTCGCCTTCCTCGACTCTCCGTGTTCCAATTGCGTGCGCTGTGCAAGCTTCACCCGCTGCTCGACTCTCCCAGATAGACGTCCGCGGAAGCTGGCCGCTCCACCAGCGCAATCCCGCCCACCGCCATCATGGCAGACTCCGAGCTGCGCACCCATGTGCCAGCGGCATCAACAGAGCCGTTTGCTGATGAAGTGCGCACGCCTACCCTCATCTCCCCGCCCGAGTCGAAGACACCCCCCACCGCCAGCCACAAGCGACACCACAACGGCTTCGCACCGCACAACCACGACAGGGGGTCGGAACCCGTGGACCCTGCTGCGCTGAGCAAGGCTTTAGAGCAATTCGACCAAGCAGGCAGGGTGCGAGAACGGACGCCCAATGCTAGCCCGAGCAGGAAGCGGCAGCGAGTCTACGGAGACAGGTTAGTGAATAGGATATATAGGCCGGCACCGGGACAGAGCCCTACGGGGGACGAGGCACCTTCACCTGAAGCATGCGTACTGACAACTTGACAGATTCATACCCAACAGGTCCGGGCAAGACCTCCAGGCGAGCTTCAGTCTGCTCCACGACGAGGCTTCACCAGCGACACCATCGCGTTCAGCCAAAAGAACGCCTCATCATGAGTTACACTTTCAGAGAAGTATGCATATTCCTGCTTCCGTGGGAGAATTTAGCTAATGAGCAATGCAGCTGAGGAAGCGAACAAGACGTACTCGACCCTATTGCGGTCCGAGATGTTCGAACAGACAGTACCTCAGTCAATGCCACATAATCTCTCTCCAACCGAGCGAACCACTTTCCATGACCCTACTAGATCTCATACCCCACCTACGAGGTCAACTTCAATGCACCCGGCCCCCGCATTGACTCCCTCGACCCCACACAAGAACCTCTTCTCATATGCATCACCACGGCACAGCTACTCTGGCCAACCAACGCCGTCCCGGACTCCACAAAGCAGACACGGTCCCAATCTCAACGCTAGGTCCGAGATATACAGCTTATCCCCCGTCAAATATAGCAGCCAGACCATGCTGCTGAGCCCGAGGAAGACTCCGCGAGCGGTCGCCAAAGTTCCATACAAGGTATTGGATGCACCAGATCTAGCTGACGATTTCTACCTGAATCTCGTAGATTGGGGAAGTCAAAACATCCTGGGCGTTGGATTGGGATCCTGTGTGTATATGTGGAACTCGACATCTGGCCGCGTGACGAAACTCTGCGAACTTCCAGATGACACTGTGACAAGTGTCAACTGGATTCAGAGGGCAAGTTGGCACTCAGCCTCGAAAATATCCAGAATCACATGCTAATACTCGAAACAGGGTTCGCATATTGCGATTGGAACGCATAAAGGCTTCGTGCAGATCTGGGACGCAATTTCACAGCGTCGGCTACGAACCATGACAGGTCACACAGGCCGAGTAGGGGCCCTTGCATGGAACGAGCACATCCTCACGTCAGGCTCCCGCGATCGCCTAATTTACCACCGCGACGTACGACAGCCAGATCAATGGCTACGCAAACTCGTCGGCCACAAACAAGAAGTCTGTGGTCTAAAATGGAACTCGGAAGACGGCCAATTGGCGAGTGGCGGCAACGACAACAAGCTCATGGTCTGGGAGAAACTAAACGCAGAGCCAACCTTCAAGTGGAGCGAGCACATCGCCGCTGTCAAGGCAATTTCCTGGAGTCCTCACCAGCGCGGCCTCCTTGCAAGCGGTGGTGGTACTGCTGACCGGACGATCAAGTTCTGGAACACCCTCATCTCTCCCCATGGACCCTCCTCCGCCTCCCTCGCGGCTGCAGCTGCCGCGGCGGCGGCGTCCAATCCAGCAAGTCTACCAACTTCGCCATCTGCTCCTGCAAATCTCCTCAGCAGCTTGGACACGGGCAGTCAGGTGTGTAACTTGGCATGGTCGCGCAACAGCAACGAGATTGTCTCCACGCACGGCTACAGCCAAAACCAGATCATCGTCTGGAAGTACCCGAGCATGCAGCAAGTGGTTTCCTTAACCGGCCACACCTACCGTGTCCTCTACCTCGCCATGAGCCCGGACGGCCAAGTCATCGTCACAGGCGCCGGCGACGAGACTCTCCGGTTCTGGAACGCATTCAAAAAGAAGGAGCGGACAGGCGGTCTAGGCGGGATGGACAGCTGGGGTGTAATTCGATGAAAACGACTGAGCGGGCGAGCAGCGTGCGAACTTCACCTACAGGCGTTTCTCTGGGATCTGGCGGGCTTTTCTTATGACCTCAATATCATGGCATGATGCATGGAACGGGGCGTTTCGGCGAGGTGGGGATACCTAGGGCTTGCGTTCTTTTTGAGGATTTGGTCAGGTCTTATTTGGGGCGGGAGGGTTTTTTCGCCTTGGGACTCTCAGATAATGGGCTGGAATGGGCGCGTTGGGGGAATTGGAGAAGAAGCTCTCGGCCAACGTATCTAGCATTGTATAAATTGGCCATAGACGGCCGGCTTTGGTTGGTAGGACAATTCAAGACGATCTCTTGTGTACATGTATTACCTTCCTGCTGCAAAATAGGCCGCTGGAGAAGCTCGATGTGGGATATTAGGGGGGGCTAATAGTATGCCTGGATTTTCGGAATTGATGAGATGAAGCTAGAAGCAGTAACGGAGGGACAGTAAAGAGGAAGGGAAAAGTTGTACGCTGTCATGGGTCTGGTAAATCTCGTCGGTAGTTTAGCCAGCCCGGAAGATCCATCGATGTATCTCGTAAGGTCGGATATCCTCAATGAGGCTGCTAACAGGCCAGGGGCGCACTATGACGGCATGGTTGGTGAGCTCACCACCCAGGACATGTTCCCAATGTAGCCCAGATACATCGCTCAAATCTTCTCGCTGGCTCCTTCGAGGTGCTGGTGAACTCCGATGGTATTCCAAAACCACGCAATGACCTTAAGCCGTGTATTCTAGCCGATACGGGAGAAGAGTTGGAAGAATCGAAATCCGCCATCTGAGCTTAAAGAAGCACAGGTCGAAGATGTAAAGTCTCCCACAGCCGCCGAACAAACCGTTCCTTCTGAAGTTGCCTTCAAGTCCGAGGAAGCTGCCTCCAAGTCTGAGGAGGCCGACGGCGATGAAGCGTCAACGAAGAGGCAAAGGTTGTTTGTCGAATCCCTGCTTGCAACAACTACACCAGGATCGCACCACTAGGCATCCTACCAGGAATGGAAGAGGGTGTAATAGAGCCAGGAAAAATTGGATTCAGTTCAAAGGGGTTGATCTCCGCCTTGCAGAAATTTGCTATCTGCATCGCGATTGGTTCTATCCCGATAATCATCATTGGCGCCCTGTCTCATTTCAGAGCCCGTTCTAGCACCAAAGCTCAGCGGGTGTGGACCATGCTGTGGTTAGCTCTTGGGATATACATCGGTCCCACCGCTGGTTCGCTCCCTTCGATCCCCAGCTTGCTAAGGTCCCGGCAGGCTAGAAAGCACAGCAATATCAAGTTTGATGACCTCAGTGAAGTAGCGAGCTATAACTTCATCTTTACGAGTATGCGATGGGTGTGGTTATTTGCATATGCGGCTCCTGCAATTGGAGGGTTTATAGTCGTTGGACAGATGTTTTATTCATATGGTAGCTGCATCAGGTTGTGAAAGTAGCTATCGGTGCGGTCTGTTTAACGTCATGTCCTATCTTCTACTATACCTCGGAAAGGACGATATGCAGGAAGCCAGGCAACGCAAAATCAAAATGCGCGTATAAAGGACGCCTTATCCGCTCTACAGAAACACGTGATATGCACGTGACGCTGGAAAGGTTCGATGGCGGGAACGACGAAAGCGGATTCAAGGGATTGTGGCGTTCAGCATTTGACTCGAAGTCTTTGTCTTAACAACTATTCCCGGCCCCATTGTTCAATTTTCATTTTAGGCTTTATCAAGCTCATTCCGCATTGATAGCTGACACAACAATGGACTCAAGAAATAGTGGCGTTCAGCGTTTGACTCGAGCTCTTTGTCTTAACAACAAAGCGCCTTCTCCGCTCTTAATGCGAGGCGTGATATTACTGCTGGATTAAAGAAAGCTTCTTTTAATATTGGCGATGTGAACTAAGTTTAAGATAAGGTATATAAAGCCTCTCTCGTACACTTCCTGTCCCGCAACAACACTTCCTATCCTACAGCAACACTTCCTATCCCACAGCAACACTTCCTATCCCACAGCAACGCTTCCTATCCCACAATAATTATCTTTATTACGTTCGACAACATGGAACCTTATATGGAATCTAAAAAGGATGTTTGCCGAAGGCTTTTTGGCATTGATGACCCTCTTGACTACTTTCTTGAGGTTCTTGATTCTGATCCTCCATTTCCACCACTGGAGAAATGGGTAAAAACAGAGTTTCCATACCAAGCCCCTATACTTCCTGCGCCTTTACCTACAATCGAGGACATCAAACGGGCGGGTGAAATGGGTAACGTTATCTCCGATAGAAACGGTCTAAGACCTGTATTTCGAGTTGGTGCCGAATATGTTGTCAAGTTCTCCCCCAACCCGGAGATATTACAGGAGGCCGAAAACATTTTGTTTCTAAACCAGCACTCGCAGGTTCGCACGCCCAAGGTTTATGCGGCCTTTAGCCAACAAGGAGGAAATCCATTAAACCACCCTATGTGCGAGGATATCGTATACCACTACCTAGTAATGGAGTATATAGAAGGCGGTCATCTCGACCACGACAAGTATGTGGCACTAGACCCGGAAGACAAGGACAAGATCTGCGCAAAGATTGCGGAGCAACTACAACTGCTCCGGTCCATTCCACCGCCATCTCCAGGATATTATGGCCGAGTTATGCACCAAGGCTGGATGCCTGGCTTTCCTGTTGTCTGCGTTACCCGCAAGGATATGTGCGGCCCGTACGACACCTATGAGGACTTCATTTCAGCCATGTTTACCGCCGCTACGGGTTGCGCAGCTGTCTGTGAGCCGACGTCACCAGACTTTACTCCTGTCCAGCGACTGGGATTAACCAACTTTAAACACACCTTAACGGAATGTGCTGGGCACGAACCAACCCTTACTCACCTCGATCTCAAGCTCGAAAACATCATGGTTCGGCCCGTCCAGGGCGTCAATGGGATCGATTACGAGGTTACTTTGATCGATTGGGAATCTCTTGGGTGGATGCCCGCCTGGATGGAGGCTGTCACGGTTCTACAGCGCAGCGTCTTTGCAACGAAACTGGACAAATGGCGATTTTTGTGGGGTGTGTCACAGGGGATCAAACCGTTTCACATGGGCCCGGCAACTTTTTTCAATGAGCTTGAGGATACTGGAATTCTTCATCTTTAATAAGCGCATGAAATTTAGCTTTTCCCTTTTACTTAGACGCAACGCAATCGTAATTTTGCTATTTAGACATGTATCAATGTGCCTTAGGGAGCAAGAGTGGGGTTAGGTGTGGAATTCTCAGCGTCCGGCTGATATACGGGCACGTGATGGCTAGACACGTGATGTATAGGTTTCTATACACGTGATGTGTAGATCTATACTAGGAGGCCTTCCTACTATAGATCTAGTCAATATTTAGGGCCGCACGGGCCCTCCCTACGTGTATATAGCCTAGCTAGATTCCTACACAAAATCGACATCTTTTGTCCTCCATTTTGTTATCACGTGATCGGAATAATCACACAGGATTGTCGCTCAATCGTGATTTTGGCTATCGAGACATGTTATCAATGTGCGTAGGCAGCGTTGAGGATGGAGGTGAAACAATGCATTGAACGAGGTAAGTGATGTATTGAATGAGCATCTATCCAGGCTACGTACGCCGTATATATACTCTGTGTGTGTGGAGGCTTACTAAGCCGTACCGTAGAACTGTGAGGGCTAAGTATAGGACCGTGTTCTATATCAAGGTAGCCGAGCTAGCCGTACCATACTCCGTAGGCCAGCTGGCTAAGAATACGTACTCCGCGACCCCACCCTTCGCTGCGCTGTGTTCTAAAGTCTCTTGCATCTTCAAGTACGACAATCTCCCGGCATCCCTTTCCATTCCAGTTCCCACTTCACTATGACACTCACGACGCCTCCCGCCCATGTCGCCATCATCGGCGGCGGCCTTGCGGTACGTACCTACGCAGCCCCGCTCATCACCGTTGCGGCCTTGTGGCCTTGTCGCTGATGCTCCCGCCCCAACAGGGGCTGACACTCGCTCTCGCGCTGCATGACTTGCACATTCCGTCCACCGTCTACGAGTCCCGCTCGGAGGACTATGATCAAGGGGGCGGCATCATGTTGTCCCCCAATGCCCTTCGCGTGCTCGATAGTGTCGGCGTCTATCAGCGAATTCGCGACCGCTCCTTCCGCTTCGATGTGCTCGCTTTCACGGATGGTCAGGACAGCACCACAGACGAGTACTACTTTGGTTCAGAAAGTATATACGGCTACTCAGCCATCCGCATTATGCGCAAAGAGCTCCTCGACGAAATGAAGGCAATGCTACAAGAGCGTCAAATCCCCGTCCTCTTCAACAGCAAGCTGACCACCGTCACCGCCGATGGCCCGGCCCAGGTTGAGTTCGCGTTTGACAACGGCCGCACCGCACTGGCTCCCCTGGTCATTGGCGCAGATGGAATCCACTCGGCCGTGCGTAAGGCCTTTCTGCCCCAGGTAAAGCCGATGTACGCAGGATTCATGGGCATTAATAGCGTCGTGGAGCGATCGCAGCTTCGTATTCCCGAGGGCTATCATCTGCCGGCGACTGTCATGGCCAAGTCGGGTGCATTCCTGCTGGTGCCACAGAAGCCTGACGGCTCTGAACTTTTCATCGGCTCACAGCGACGGTTTGCCGAACTGGACCAAGCAGGATGGGAACAACTGCGCAACGACAAGCAGAAGTTGTACGACATGCTTCAGGAGAATAAGCAAGACTGGCCGGATGTGGTGCAGTCAGCTTTGGAGGCCACGCTGGTGGACCGCATGGGCTTTTGGGCCTTCTACGGCATCCCGCCTTTAGCATCGTGGTTGTCCGGATCCAAGAGAATTATCCTGGTCGGGGACGCCGCTCACGCCATTCCTCCAACGGCTGGCCAGGGCGCAAACCAAGCTTTTGAGGATGTCCGTAGTTTGGCTACCCTCCTCTCCAGGCTGTCCGAGAACGTGCCGCTGGACAAGGCTGCTGCACGATGGCAGTCTTATCGGCAGGCGAGGATCGATAAAGTTCTCGATCTTACCAAGCAGATGAATGCAAAGCGCTTGCCTGAAGCAGAGCGTGCTAAGCTCCCGCCTGGGGCCTTTTGGGGCGACCAGTCGCTCACGAGAGGCGATGGTGGAGAGCTGCGGTGGCTGTATGAGCCAGACCTTGCCCAGGAGGCTGAGAAGTGGGTACAAGAGCTGGAGAGTGCGTCATAGATACACTAATCTAAACCATATATCTACTATGTCTACAGAACAAGCAATGTGCGGAGACATTAAGGGCCAGATTACGCGGTTCCCTGGGCCTTCATTGCCCTACCGTGTCCATCTTGGCTTCACGGTAAGGATTGTAAGATATTTTTTTTAGTTTCAATAATCTTAGCCTCAATATAGGCGGCAATTAAAGGCTTTAAGTAGTCGAAGACCCCCTATGATAGCTAGAGGGCTGTCTGGCCTTTACTAAAGCAATATGCTATTACTTCAATTAGTGTTATCATATATAATTAAGGCTAGAAGCCATTGTTATAGGTGCTTACTTACCCATATCATAGTAACATATAGAAGGACTGTAAATTCCCCCTAACTTAAGGATCCTATACTAAACTTAGTATATTGTTCCCTTGTTCTCGTAGTACGACCTGCCTGTCTTGGCATCATTGCATAATGTCAGCTCTCCCTCATAAATCTTCGTTCGTCTTCATTGGTTTCTCCGCGTTCTTACTGCTGTCCCACCGCTTCTCGCTCATAGACTCCAGCTTCAAAGGTCCGTGCAGGTTGTACCCAGAAAAGCTAAGACATACTTATCTCCTAAGTGTTATGTGAACCATGGGCGTCATTGGCTGGTGCTTCTCTTGTTAGCGTTGATTGAGGACCTCTAGGCCGGTGAAGCGGACCTACATGGCACGCCGACAACATAGGTAGCACCAATAAGAAGGCTCTACACGGTATCCTTGGAATGAACACAGCTAATTCTGGCGAAAGCGGTGAGGCTCGCATAGCGATAGTGCCGTCAAAAGCGGCTCTAGACTGCCTCGGTACGTTGACCATGTTTCCAATCCCCAACAACCTCCTCTCCCCATCTCCCGTCCGTCAAAATCCATCGCACCCTCGCTTCCAACCACTCCGTATTCCCCCAGAACCCCCAGCTCGCCTGGAAGCGCAACCAATCCACAAGCGCGGTCTCCCAATGCCTTACAAAAACGCTCCAATCATACTCTTTCTGGCTCACGGCTTTCAACCGAGCCAGATATCGTTCCAGTAGTGCCTTCTCTCCGGGCTGCATAGCCAGTTCCCGTCCCAGCGGTGCGTCCAGATATGACACCAGGAGGTGCAGCGGAACAGAGCAAGTGAACAGCTTCGCCAAATCGCAGACGCCAAGCCCGAGACCAACATACTGGAAATCGTAGAACGCGACTTCTTCGCCAGAGGTGCTGGTAAACAGATTCTCGCTCTTCACATCTCCATGTATCAACGTCTGATACGCTTCTGTCCGGCCCCAGCCCTGCTCCCTCGGGCCTAGGAGATCAGCGACAACTTCGGACAGCGATATGGCGTCCTCGAGCGGCTTTGTCAATGCCCCGGTCCATTCCGACTCGTAGTCGGAGGCGAGGTCGTCGTACTCCTTCCGCCGCGTCGCAAGGTAGGTGTAGCCTCCGTTCAGCCACACGCTCTTCTCCCTCCCATCTTCCGCGGTTAACTTGATCTCTTCGAGCGGTGGACGGACGAATGATCGCCGATCCATGGCTTTCGCCCGCGGCCACCAGAAGCCGTGGAAGCCGGATAGCCAGTCAAGCGCGGCGTGGACTTGGGTGGCTGCTAGCTGCGCTCGCTTGTCGCCTGCGACTGGATACCGTTGGCGGAGATCGCTGAGAAGCATGGCTGTCGTAGAGGTGCCGTCGGCATGGTGCTGGTTTATGCTTGCAACGCAGCTAGCTACGGGGACAGAGGGAGGGAGAAGCGGGGCTAGCTCGGAATAGAAGTACTGCTCGACTTGGTAGCTGAGAATCTTCCGCAGGTGGCCCTCGTCATTGGATTTGGTCGGTGGAGGGGTGATTAGTTTTAGGATGAAGGATTGGATTTCCTGAGGTGTGGAACCGTTGGAATTCGTGGTGGATGCCGATCGCGAGGTTTTGGCGGAGGAGTTTGGGGATGAATTTGGCGAGGCGGTCATATGGCAGATTTCTCCGTATCCAGCCCATAGAGATTGAATGACTTTGAGCGATTGGAGGTGCAGTCCTCTTGAGACGAGGAGAGAAGAAGCTACGGAAGAAGGGGAGGGCGGCGGAGACATCTCGGAGCTTGGAGAGACGAGCGCACGAGAAATGAGGATAGGGAGAAAAATGAGCAGAGAAGAACCTAGAGCAAGTTTGTAGCTTGTTGTGAGGGAGTGAAGCATTGGGCACGAGGGTAAAGGCTGGTGCAAGCCTGGCAGTGGTGTTGAGATGCCCCACTCTCGCTTGAATGCTAGCGTCAGGGCGTGAAACGTTCCTTTCTTCTCCTCCTGATCGTTCTCAGCCAGTAGCGAGAACAATGATCGAACGTTTATATGAGACTCTTGAAAGAGGGGTTACACGGACAATATGGAAAATGAAACCAAAGCGCCGCGTGTCTTTCCTTACACAACAACAACATGCGAGCCCTCGGGGAAGCAATCGTTGTGTCAATAGTGTAATCCTACAACTCTTCCACGCTATCAAACACCTCGTGGCATCGTACACAAGAAGAGAGCTCCAAGCAGTGGATTCTGTCATCGGATCGACGCGGTATGCCGGGACGAATCGAGACCGTACGGCAGATGGCTAGTATTCATCTGCCCGGTGCACTCCTGCCTCTCTTCAGTACAGCCACTTTGAAGCGATGCAGAGTTTTCATGACTCTTCTCTTTCGAAGCTCAGTTAACAGAAATTATTGTAGGGTACCTGCGACGTCCTGTCGCTGTTATATGACAGCCGGCCGATGTCCATCAGTGCATACTGCTGGTAGTCAAGTGGAGGGCCTTGAACGGCGTGGTGCTCGGTCACTGCTAAGCCTCGTCGGACTAGGAGCAGTAACTTGCAGTCTGTGACTCCATGGGACCGATACATGTTTCTCCTCAAAGGGCACTCCCTCAAAGAGCGCTTGCATGCCTTTGTTTGCTGTCTTGCTTACTAGGCGAGCTTGACTCATCTCTAGCTAGACTATAGTTCTTTGTAGAGCACTCTAGTTTCATGTTCCAAGGCCTATGCATGTATGTCACTGTAAGATTCTAGATATATAATCCGCCGTTTCCGTCTTGATAGTTCCTCGCCGCATCGGATTTCTACCGACACGAGAAGCACGCAGCAAGCCATGGCGACCTCAGATCCAATGGCCACTTCCAACCCTCCTCAGACCAGCCAATCCACCAACGATCCAAATGACGAAACACCGACCCATCTCAGCAGCATTCCCGATCCAGGTCCGCATATTAACGGCCACCTCGTTGCAACGGGCATATGGAGCGATGGTAAGAGGAAGATGTATGTCCATGCTTCAGGAAAAAGCACCATGAACCACGCTTGCATTTCCTACTATCCATGCCGAAATGCCGCGGTGGTTCGTAGGAACGGCGACGACAGATCACCTTCAACCTGCGAACAGGAGCACGGTTGGGTTAGAAACGTACATGTTCTCAACCAGATCTGTACTGGGACAGGCGTCACCATCAAGCCAACGCAGGCACAGACGTTCGATCATTGGCGAGGCGAGGTGCTAGACCAGTTGCGCAACAATCCTGGATTCACTGATTGTTAGGGAGTAGCGGTGAGGGCTACGGCAGGCGCACAGCACCACTTGTATATAGTCTCACCTTCCTCAAGACCTCTCTCTCTTATCATGGACGGGCTGGGAGGCGGTGGACGGGGATTACAGGCTGTATTTCATGACCCATGAGAGGTCGGCGGTCAATGGGAACTGGAACATGTGTGTTGGTCGGGACAGGAATAATCCTAGGATCTTCAAGCTGGACAGGATGGCGAAGCAGGCGAAGTTGTGATTTTCCAGATGTTGTTTAGGGGTTTGCTGCTGTTTTGACATTCCTTTTTCGCTCTTGTAACCGAAGTTATGATAAGACCTACATCTTAACAATCTTGCAATCGCGTGTTATGAATCGTCTCTGTGTCTCTAGCTGCTGCCCTTGCGAGTTCCATTTGAGAATTAGATCATCTAGGTCCTTGCATGAACCCTCTAGCGATTTACTTCTCAATTGTGATCATGATCTGGCTGTCACAGTATCCCTTCCACGCCGCTCCTTTGCATATCAACTACTAACCCTCGTCATTGAAAAGCCTGGAGTGCAAACCTTCGAAGCCGTGCTCAATCCCCCGACACACACGTGACTTGCACGTGATGGTCAAAAGAAGTTCCAACCGTGGCAGATGTCGTTTGCCATATTCGACTCCCTATCACATAATCGATATTTAAGGTTCTTCAGAGATAGTCGATATCAAGTTTCTTAAATTTGATTGTATACCGGCGAACCGTTGAGGACTTGGGGACCTGTCGAGGGCTTGGGGACCTCTGACCCTGCATACGATCTCTCGTGGTTACATGACCAAAGAGACAGGCCATTCCCACACATCAATCGTGGGCGCAGTGTTCCACCACTCTGCGTCAGAGTAGCCTCTTTCATCGCTGTAGACAAGGGAAGTTTCAACCGACGCGGACTGACATCCAGAATCAGCTGCCCGTGAAGCAGCTCTTTCTGTAGCTGCTCTTGCCTGTGAAATGGCTTGATGCCCCGAAAATGTTGCATAAGATTCTGTGTGGTTCTCGTGCGGATCCAAGCCCTGGATTGACTGACCTGCGAAACAGTAACAAGGGCGACTTGTGCTCCAAGAATATGTAGGAGAGGCGATCAAGTCTGCGTCATGTGGCTGGCTAGCGCCGATCGCTTTGTTGAGCTTGATTACCTTCTCCGTGTTAGCCTTGGACATACACATTAAGGCAGAGGCCAAAGTATGACTAGCTTTGGGTCACAGGGTAGCAGCGAGACGTACCAGTCTTCGTAATGGTCTCCAGTAAATGCTCAAAATTTCCAATACCGTCTGAATTGTCTTGATCTCCTCTGAATCCGGCCCAGGAACTTGCACCGGTGGGTCCAAAGGCCGAGCGGACAGCATCATACTCTTAAACGCCTACAGTAACGGAGGTATGATTAGCGTGCGCGAGACTGGAGGGTAGTCGTAGCTGGTTATCATAAAGTAGAAGCACTGAGACGGGTGTGGCATATTTAGCTGCGATAAACGTACCAAAAACACACTCCCTGCCACGAAAGCTCCATAGCCGCTAATGGGCGACAATCTTGTCATATCTAGATTTTGTGCGACAAAGAGTTGAAGAAGCTCCGCGAATTTGATTGCCTGCTGGAGCACCAGATCGGCGCTCTTCCGAACCAATTCTCGTAAAACTGATGATTCCACAGGACGACGCGAGAGGATCGGGACCATGGAGGCGTACATGATAAGTCGACTCAGGTAATACATGGAGCAGACGGAGGCGAGGAGCTCAGGGCTCTCATCGTAAAATTCTGCTCGAGAGCAGAGATCTGTGAGGGGTAGGCCGATAGAGTGTTCGATAGGATCGAAGAGCTCAACTAATTTGTAAAATTCAACTGATCGTTGAAAGTCTGAGCGCTTTGAAAAGTCGGAGATGAAAGCCTGGACTTTAGTCCTGTGTAAATTAGATTATAGCTGGCCTTGCAATCATGGAAACGTTCCTTTCTTGAGAGGCAGCAAAGGTAGACTTATGTCACGGATTCGAAGAATTGGGAGTAAAATGAACTTACCAAACACCCAAAACCTTGACCAGTTCTGCCATCAATGAACACGACGAAGGTCCAACCATTCCTTGATTCGGTAAAGAGTCAGTACTCAGTGTCCAGTCGGCTTCCATCTTCTGACTCAGCTTGAGCTCTACACTTTGTAGTAACCCTCCTCTCTCAAACTTTGCCGGTAGCGGCAAGCCTATAACTCTCTCACATGCTCTGGAGGTATCCGATTGATCACTACCAATACAAAAGCTGCACCAAGCTGCCCAAAAGCTTCGTCTTCTCATCTCGCGTTCGAACTTCATATTGCTGTTCGTTGAATGGGACGCAACATCTTCGTGCAACCGATCAAAACCCAGGAGCTGAACTAGTCGATAAGCTAGAGATGCATGAACGGTGGCACGCTGGATATCTCCCTGCGAGAAATAGTAAGTTTGCAAAACCTGAAGAGCTTGTACCCTTATCCCAGTGGGTTCATCGACAAGAGAGAGCACTTCCCGACTTGCGGCACGCGCCCATGACCAAGACTTTTCGAAAAGCGTATGCACCGGAAATATCTTGATGTACTGTTTGTATGGCGAGTCAACCTGCTGCAAGAAGATTGCTGCATGTGCAAAGATGGCGCGAAGGAGGTAGTCTGGTATACGATCGTCCATATAGAGCTGAAAGGCTATACTTTTATGGAACAACAGTGTGGCATTATAGACTCGATTGAAGTAGACTTCCCAAAGAAGTGTCCCGAATTCCGTAGAAGGCAATTCAGCGGCTTTGGTGTCTTCAGAGTTGGGAATACGGTGCCCTTCGGCGTCAATGCTAATGCGCTGCCTCTTTCCTGGTTGTGCTGCAGCAGAAGAGTCCGAGGGGTGGACATGCTCTACACCACTCGACAGCGATGCCCTTGCCTGACTTGTCTTTTGCGCAGTGCGCTTCCTATTTGGTGGTGGCGGGTAACTACAGGCAGCTCTCTGTTTACGACATCGCACACAGCACGGCAGCTCGCGATTGCATTTGAGTTTCTGGTCCCGACACCGTAGACATGCCACAGTTGGCTTTACTCGGTTGTCTTGGGGCAATTGTGGCCCTGTGGCGCCGCCCTCTGCGGGGCCTTCCATCCTTGTCGTGTTGGTTGATCAAAGCTAGAAGCAAGTTTGGCGAGAGTTGCAACACCAAAAGGACAGTGGCTGACCAGATGTGAGATTCGGGGTAATGGAGTGGAAAGCAAGTCGGGGCGAATAATTTGCCTGGGCGCGAAAGAGTCCCTTTGAGTCGTGCGAGGTTACGGCTTACTAAATCTTAGTCGCTAAATGTAACACTTTGGACAGGTTCGGCCCGAACTCTTGATGCAAGTACGGCAACGTTCGAATATGGTGCACTGCAGCCCCTAGTTAGCATTCGTCTCAGCACGAATTGACGAGTAAGAGGACAAGTAAGAGGATAGGGAGAAATAAATGAAGAGACTGGAAGAGTGCTTGAGAAGAATGACATTGTGGACGCGGAGTGAGACAAGCCGACGCCGAAACCGCAGTTGTATACTTCCATTACAAGTGCTGCATACCGGTTGTGATACATTATCCAACACTTTCCTGGCGGATCGTGGATTTCTAGATCCGCAGAACCAGAGCTTTCAGAACGGTCGGGCTGGTTAGTGGGCTATTCGGGGAGATGGGAGTGGTAAGGATGAAATCTTTGGGGTGGTCGGGGTCGGGCACAGAACGCTTACCTCAGCTAGTCTAGACGCAATCTCGATAGTTCGCCTATTCTACAGGTACACTAATATCTATCAGGACTCGGTGGGATTGTTACAAATCCCTTTGGGAGTCAACGTTTTTAAGCCTTTTTAAAAGCTGGCGCCCTAGCGACGACGGCCTCCTGTTGGCTCAACTTAGCTCAACTTGGCTCTGGAAAAACTTGTGGTTGGCTGAAATCGTGCCTGTGCACAGCAGCCTCCTAATCACGGTCCCAAAATGGCCCATGCGTTTGCAGCCACAGTGCAAATGACTTACGAAGGGATTAAAACTCTAACGAATGTATCTTAATCTGGTTAGTGCAGCGCGTCCCCTTAGAGTAACGTCTTCGCGTCTTTCCACCATCTCCCATCCATCTTCAGGACGGCACATCCATCTCTCTGCCAGCATTATACACTAGACCAAGATGCGGCGAAACATAACAACACCAATGGGCGAGACTGACACCATCCTCTCCTCATCGCCTTCGACCCGCCGCCTGAACCCACGTCCAATATTGGTACAAGGCATTTGTCCCCCTTCGACCTTTTTGCCTCATCACCCCTAACCCAGTCGATTGGAGAGGGTCGCGGTTCACGCTGCTGTAGTTCTGCTGTTTAGTTAGCTTCTAAACTCTACTAAATTAGCTCCCTCGCGAATCTCGAGAAGAAAATCAAAGAGTCGATATACTTGGAAAATCCCTCTGTCATTGGCTCAGACCTCGGGTGGCGATATTGAAGTAGAGACGACAGTCACGAATGCGCCTCCTTTTCATTACCCTTTGTACTCATGCCTGAGAAAAGCGCCAGGTATTTTCCAGTCAAGATGATTCCTTTGTGCTCGATCATGAGGATCTTTCTGCGAACATATTGATTAGATTTTGAATACTCGCGAGGCTGGGGCTCATCTGGCATGCCGCACAGCCTTCGAATATCCTGTCAGTGCAGAAAATTGGCGTTGGGTCTCCCCGGAAGTGGGTAAGTTGCTTGGCTCACTACAGTCTAGAGAATGGAAGGTAACTCTGCCAGTTAATACGGTGCGATGATCTGAAACGATACACGCGTTCTAGGCCTCGTTCAATCCCTCCGAATTCCTGGTCATCTATCGTATTGGGATACAGGCACTTCGGAGATCAGCGATCACGGCATGACGAACCCGAACTAGCAAGCCTATGGCAGAGCTTCGGCATACCATGATTAACGAAGGACGTGCAAAGCTCCGGAGTCTCACAGTACAAGTCCTCGGCAAGTCTTCTAACAGGCCAGAGATCTACGACCGAAATTCCGAAAATGAATGCCCGTCAACGAATCAAACGTTCCCGGCCCGAGCACCCATAATCTGGTCCGTCCGACCTTGCACGTTTGACGATCCCGCAGTTCTACCGTGGTGGAACCGAAGAAATCAGACGCTATTTACTCAGCATTCCGCGATAGTTAGTTAGCTGGGGTATGCGGTATGCAGCATGGGGTGAGACCCCACGTCGACCCGAGCTTCTGCCGTGAATGGAACGAGATGGTAAGACGAACAGAAACGTAAGGGAGGTCATGTGTCTAGAAATACAAAGTTAGGAAGATCGATTTGCTTTTTTTCAACTCCAAACTTAAAGAGCTTCTTGCTGCGTATTTGCTACTTTTCAAAACTATACATCTCTGATCATTTCGCTCCGATGGTTCTCAAATCGTCAATCCCGTCTCCTCAAACTCCCAAGATGAAACCTCTTGACATCGAAAGGGCTCTAGACGCGCTCACCATCACAGAGAAAATTGAGCTTCTCTCCGGTAATCACACCACCTTCCTTCCTTCTCCTTTACTCCTCTTCCTAATCACACCGATCGTACGAACGGACTTCTGGCACACAAAAGCAATCCCCCGTCTAAGCATCCCCGCAATCCGAACAACTGACGGCCCAAACGGCGCCCGCGGGACCCGCTTCTTCAACGGAGTACCGGCAGCTTGCTTCCCCTGCGGAACGGCGATGGGCGCGACATGGGATATCGATCTCATGCGGAAAGCTGGCGGGCTGATGGGGGAGGAGGTGAGAGCCAAGGGAGCCCACGTGCTGCTTGGTCCGACGGTCAATATTCAGCGGAGTCCTTTGGGGGGACGGGGTTGTGAGAGGTAAGTGTTACTCTTTTATGAGTTATTTCCAAGCCACCAAGCCAGGAGATTTACTCATTATTGAAGCTTCTCAGAAGACCCCACCCTCTCCGGCACCATTGCCGCCGCGGTAATACAGGGCATGCAATCCAAAGGCGTCGCAACGACCATCAAGCAGTACGTTTGCAATGACCAAGAACACGAGCGCATGGGTGTCAATGCCATCGTCACGGAAAGAACGATACGACAGATCTACCTAAAGCCATTCCAGATTGTTCAGAGGGAGGCAAAGCCTAAGGCGGTCATGACGGCGTATAACAAGGTCAATGGGCTGCATGCGAGTGAGACTAAGAAGCTGGTCACGGATATTTCGAGGACGGAGTGGGGGTTTGACGGGTGCGTCATGAGTGATTGGTGAGTTTGACGGTCGCAGATAAGAGGAAGGGGTGATGGCTAACAGGGGGTAGGTTTGGGGTGTACTCGGCGTCGGAAACTGTGAAGGCAGAATTAGATCTGGAGATGCCTGGGCCGCCGCGACGTTTGGATCCTCGTATCCAAATGTGTGGGACAATGAGAGCTAATTCAATCAGTGCGTGGAAAGCAACTCATGATCGCCATCAACGGCCAGAAGTTGAGCACACACGAAGTCGACAAATCCGTACGGAACGTCCTCAACCTCGTAAACCTAGGGATAGCATCTGGTGTGCCTGAAAATGCACCAGAAGGAAAGTTAGACACACCAGAGACTGCCGCATTGCTCCGGAGAGTTGCGGAATCATCTATCGTTCTCCTGAAGAACGAGAACAACGTCTTGCCGTTCAGCAAAGACAAAACTGTAAGGAGTTACTTCGCTGCATCTTGAAGCAAATGAACGCCGACTTGCTTGTAAACAGATTGCCGTCATAGGCCCCAACGCAAAACATGCCCCCTATTCTGGTGGAGGCTCCGCAAATTTCCGCCACTACTACACTACGACGCCCTATGACGCTATCAAAGCCATCGCCAATGGGTCTGTCCACTATGCGCTTGGCTCTGCAGCATTTGTTACCTTGACTCAACTCGGTGGCCGGCTTAAAACGTCAAATGGGGGGAAAGGGTGCACAATGCGCTTCTACCGCGAGTCTCCAATGGCCAAAGGTAGGGAGGTGCTAGAGGAACTAATGATTGAAACACCTTCGCTTTTCTAGCGGATTGGAGCCATCCAGACATCGACGGTGACCTTTTTTACGTGGACCTAGAGGGGACGCTTGAGCCAGAGGAGGATGGGACTTGGGAGTTTGGGATTGCTGTCCGGGGCACCTCACAACTCTTTGTAGACGGGAAGCTCGTAGTTGATAATCTGAACAACCAACGAAGAGGGGTCAGCTTCTTCGATTCCGGAACCGTCGAAGAAAGAGGAACAGTTGAACTGAAGGCGGACAGGAAGCACCGTATTTTAGTTCAGTTCGGCTCGGCACCAACGTCAAACTATAAACTCACGGCCGGTGTGGCGCCGATGAACGGCGGTGGGATCAACTTCGGTGGTTTCCAAAAGATAGATCCAGAGGTGGAACTGCAGAAAGCGATCGAGCTAGCAAAGTCAGCTGACCAGGTGGTTCTTTGCGTGGACTGAACGTAAGCTTCTCCCCTCTCCCTCGAACCGTTTCTATACGAAACTGACCTGAACCGTAGTCCGACATCGAATCCGAAGGCTTCGACCGTGCGAATATAGGTACGTAAAAACCCATTACACCCACAAGACGCTTCTAGTGTCAACTTCCCTATAGTTCAAGCAGCATCCGAAGAACTCTCCCCTTCCGCTCCCCCCTCTTCCCCTCAGATATACCTGTTAATACCCACCTCAGACCACCCACCTCATTTGGACGCCCTCATCTCTGCTATCTGTGCCTCGAACCCTAATACTACAGTGGTCCTCCAATCCAGCACCCCCGTCAGCACCCCTTGGGCCCCCGCCGCCACTGCGATATTGTAAGCCTGGTATGGCGGCAACGAGGCCGGCACCGCGCTTGCCTCGGCTATCTTCGACGACACAAACCCCTCTGGTAAGCTTCCTCTCTCCTACCCCTTGCGCGTGGAAGACAATCCCGCGTATTTAAGTTTCAGGAGTGAGAGGGGGCGGGTGTTGTATGGGGAGGATGTGTACGTGGGGTATCGGTGGTACGAGAAGATACAAAGGGAGGTGAGGTGGGTATTTGGGCACGGACTTTCTTATACCACATTCTCTATGGGTGAACTAAGGGTGGTTATTGATGAAGCGGCGGATGTGCTAGATGTTGAGGTCAAAGTACGCAACACGGGCGACAGGGAGGGGGAAGAAGTGGTGCAAGTTTACGTGCAGCAGCTTGAGCCTAGGATTGAGAGGCCGGTGAAGGAGCTGAGAGGATTCAAGAAGGCAGCGGTGGAGGAGGGGAAGCGTGAGGTTGTGAAGGTCGAGATGAGTTTGCGGTATGCGTGTAGTTGGTGGGATGAGGTTAGAGATGCTTGAGTGATGGAAGCGGGGAGTTACAAAGTTATGGTAGGAGATAGCTCTCAGGGGAAGCTTTTGGAGGAAGATTTTGAGGTACAGAAGACGAGGTGGTGAAATGGTGTTTGAAATGGGGAAAAAAGTTGAACGACACCCTGGCTCGACGTTTCGTCACGTTATGATTAGAAAGCTACCGAGGCACATTTGCAGACTTTTATCTGCTCTAACAGAAAACCTTAAATATGCAGCTTCCTGTAACGTATTCCACAAGCGAGCCGTCCACCCAAGCGAGCCGTCCACTTCATCATGAAAACCTGCCTCAAACGTTAATTGCTCCACAACGCCAATAGATATTAACTATATACAACTTGTAGCCTGATCTGCAGCAACCTCTGCATCGTTTTTGCACGTACGAATGTTGTGCCCTGACTCGCCGCAGCGCCCACAGCGCCGCACGATTCCATCAGAGCCTGCTCCACCTTGCTGCTTTTTGCTTTGAGCGTCCTTCTCGAGCCGTTGAGCAGCTATTTGAGAGCCTGCTTCCATTATCAGAGTTCCTTCCCTCTGAATGCGCTTTTTTTTGCGCGCCTTGCGCTTTGTGGCGGCTTCATTTGCCTTTTGAAGGCTGGTAACGGTATCGCGCAGCAGCGCAGCTTGATGCATCATGCTTTCAGCACCTTTGGAGAGGCTATCAAGCGAGTCAAGAATGGCTGTAGGCGAGCTATTTTGATGCATTTGAATGCGCTCACGAATCAAAGCTGATTGAGAGCCTAGCTCAAGAGCGTTGCTTGGTGTTTTTGATTCCCATGGAGCCTCCACGGCGGCAGGCGGAGGCGACGGCGTACGGAGCCTAACATCAAGCTTTAATAGCACTGCTTCTGGATCAAGTGGTACAAGGCCTGCGCCTCGAAAGCCTGCGCAAATGTTGCTCTTTGTGATTGAGCTGTAGAAAGCTGCTTTGAATGCTGGCAGGAACTCTAGCTTGGTGATATGGTTGATATGGTGGCGCACCAAGTCCTCAATTTGGCGCCTATACGCCTTTTTCATTGGCGCAAAGCAGCCAACATCAAGCGGCTGTAGCAGGTGCGATGAATGCGCTGGCATACAGAGAGTAATGATATTATTCTCCTTGCAAATCTGTTGGAATTCGAGCGAGATATGGCTCTTGTGGCCATCAATAATCAGCAGCCGGTGCGTGCCTATCGTGCGATCTTTTGTATGCGCATTGAAATGGTGTAGCCAGGTAATACTAAGCTCATTTGTTGTCCAGCCATTATCGCTTACTGCTATAACCCAATCTGGTGGTATATTGTTGCCCTCGTACCATGCAGAAAGGTGGTATAAGCCTGCAAAGATAATAAATGGTGGAATAGCCCATCCACAGGCATTAACACCTTGGATTATTGTTGTCCATTCGCGATTGCCTGGCTGCACAGATTTTGGACGATTACGGCGCTCAGAGCGTGTTACAACTACGCCTGTTGAGATGACACCCATTTGGAAGCCGGCTTCATCGAAGTTGTGTGTATCTTTATCCAGGATGCCATACTTTGCTTTTGTATTGCGCACAAGCTCAAACCAATCGCTAATAGCTTTTGGATCCTCGCATAGAGCTCTTTGACGGTCGTACTTTCGATTGAATTGTGTTTTGAGCTCAGGTGTTCGCTTGACAAAGTTCTCTGGCCAGTTCTTGCCAACTTGGCCGGCGGCGCGCTCAGCAAGCAATTTGTTGGCCATCTCTCGTACAGCATACAAGCTAGGCGGAAATCCTCGCAAATCCAGGTCGAGTATATGTTGAGTGATAACTGATTCCTCTAGCTTTGAAAGCTTCTTCGAATTAGGCTCAGAATCGCGTCGTGGGGTTGTTCCAGCGCGTCGATCTCGAAGTGTGCTTCTGGGGACGTCATATGTTGTAATAGCGCGCCGTTCGCTTGTAAATTGCTGCCGATTGATTGCTGCAATAGCCATGCATATTCGACCTTCATTTTGTATTGATTGCACGTTGTGTTGTCGACGCATGGTGGTTGGAAGTTGACGCGTCGCGTTTTCGTGATGAAGTGGACGGCTCGCTTGGGTGGACGGCTCGCTTGTGGAATACGTTACGTTTTACGTTATCCTCTAAATTCTTTTTACTCAAATTTCACATGGCCATTTATCTCCACGAGGATGTTTCACGGTGAAACCAATAATATACTGGTCATGTAAAGCCAGCGCCAAGGGCTATAAAACTTACCCTTCACGGTCCTCAGTTCCCTCAGAGGAGGGAGGAACCTGTTGCATTATGACAATCACCTACAGCAATTACTGCTGGTAGTAAAGAGGGCTTTCATGTACATAATGTTCGCGTCCCACCAATGTTCAGATGCTACTGCCTGCAAATCAATAGAACCGAGACATCAACCAAACACACAAAAGCTCACTATGGCTCTGGCCAGTGTTCGAACCAAAAACAACCAAGTGCTATGTTGTTGCTGCGACGAGTATCCAGAACCAGGCTGCCTCGCGCGTAATGGTATCTGTGGTCTAGAGGAACCAACCAAACATTGTGCTAGCCCTAAGCAGCGAGAATAGATGATACCCAAGACCGCGTTACTCCTTTAGAGCCCACCACTCTCGGAGGCGGGCGCTAAATTGCAGTCATTGGAGCTGAACTTCAGAGAAAGAGCGGAATAGAGGATCGCATCATCAAGGAAGATTCAAGCACGCTCCTAGCCACACGGGCCCAAATCTCTGCTCATTTAAGTCACCACTAGGCCCGCACCATAGGCAGCGTTGATCACGGATTGCTCGAACCCAGCCCCGAATAATTCAACTTGGCGGACAATGGGCTTGATCCACAACCACAGCTTCATAGTCCTTTTGCCATTCTTGGTGTGATCCGCCCCGTCAACGCGGCCCATGACATATTTTCCAATCACGTCTTGATCTCTTCCACGCTCATGGTCTACTCGGGTCTTTGAAGGAAGCAAGAAGCCGTCGCAGTGGAGTAAGATCTTATACCTCAGGAGAGGTGCAGATCGCGTTCATAAATGAAGCTTACATGCTAGTCGTCAGACTTCTGATGCTTTTCTCAAGATATTGATAGATGGTCCTATGTATTTGGACATAGGGCTGCAGCAAGCAAACTACAATCAATTGGTGTCTAGGTTTGGATAGACTTCTTTGTGCAAGGAAAGGATATTGGCTACCCCCTTTCCTTCTTTCGTCTCCCGTCTGTCTTCTTCGCATCTGCTTTCCCTCCTCTCTCGTATGCTGATTCGCTTTCTCACGGCTTTGTTACTTGACTTCCCTCCTTATGGCATCCATCCTTCACTCTTGCGTCACGAACAATCTAATTGCGTACTTTGTAATCAAACATTACACTTGCTAGACCTGCTAGTTCACTTGAACGTGATGCCTAGAGCTCAGCTGTTTCACCAACTAGAGCTTCGCGAGTAAATGAAAGGTATAGACAGCAGTCGACATTCACCATTCCATGGAGACAAAAGAGTACGTTTGTCTGACCAGGGCAGCTGGATGCATCAAGGTATAAAAGAAGCTCTCTGAGTGTAACTTTGATATCAATCAACCGCATACACCCCGTCTATCATACACCCCGTCTACCACCCACACTATCAAGTCCACCCACGGCCCACGGCATCACCAATGAGCCTCTGCAAGGCAAACGAGAGCTTTCGCGAGCCTCGTGCCCGCCTCTGTGGCGATCCCACCATCCGGAACCAATTCTTCAGTACCTTCATAGATGCTGTGATCCACCCCGTCTTCGTCACGAAGCTTCCAGCCCCCAAAGCTGAACTCGAATACGAGACTCTAAACCTCATGCAGGGTTTCTTGAATCCCCTTAGCTTCGAATACTTTAGATCACTTAAGTCTCTGGAGGACCTCCTAGTAGCGATAGTGAAGCACATGGAACACGACCACATCCGTCATCTGAGGGAAGGGGCCTGGGAGTCTCTCATGGCTGATAATATCTCGGAACATAGTGCGCCTTATCACAAAGAGGCATTCGATGCCCTGCGTGACAAGTTGCTAGAAGAGCGAAGTACTTGAGAGGATAACAATCCCGTCGTAATCTATTTCTTGTAGGTAAATGAAACTCAGATCTGATGTTCACGGCTAATATAAACGCAGTAGCCTAATGTTGAAGCTAAATTCAACATATTCAACCTTTGTAAGAATCTCTAAAGCTGTTTCAGGGGACGAATGGGATTGGGACGGTCGTTTATAGGGGAAGAAGCGCTGGGTGATCTTGGTGCTTCATTTTTAGACTGTGCCATAGGACCGGTTTGGGACCGTAGGAGTATCTCCTATTATTGGAAACTGCGAATGGCGGTGCTTCTCTATGCAGCCCACACGACGTAAGCGCCAACAGAGCGCTGGTTAAAATCTAATTCGGGGATTAAAAGCTTCCTAAGCTCGGTATGAGTGCGGCCCGGGGGATGTGCTGGCGCCCTTTCATTTTTGGGCTAGTCATGGTTCTCTTTTCAGTTACACCGCTATCAGCAAAAATGCACAAGCTTGGGTCTGGGTATCGACAACTTAATTGAAGAGGAAACACTATTGCACTTTCGATATCCTGCTTTCTCTCCCTCTACTGATTCATATATTGTTATATACTGTGGTAGTTTGTGTGAGATTCGGGATCACTTCCATCAGCTTCCATGGGCGGGCTGCGGGAAGCCTAAGAAGCTGACATTCACCAAGTTCAACGCGCTAGCAGCATCCGCACTGACCGCCGAGCCCCACCATGGCTAGCGCGTCTAAGTTTACAGTAAAGGCCTAACACGCTACAAGCCTCCTCAATCTCATTTTCAACTCTCACACTGCTCTCGAGTTTACACGCGACTTCACAATGTACTCGCACGAACGCGGTGAAGATTCCGGTGGTGGAGGCGCCAGCAACGAGGAAATCAGGGATGAGTCCCAATCTTCGTCATCTACACTCAATCCGAAGCCGAACGCACACCCTTCGAGAACGCGTACTCGACCTGTCCAGTACGCCCGCCTGCCGCCCGAACGATCCGCCAAGTTCCTTGCAGCAGGAGTGAAGCCTCTCTCGAGATCAACACTTTACACCGACTAGGAATACGATCCATACATGCCAACGCTGCCTCCGAGCCAATCCTACTCCGACAAGCTGCGCGAGATGGCAGAGACGTATATAAGAGAGGAAAACAAGGTTGCAGCAGTGCATGAATGCGAATATACACCACGCCAACTCGAAGTGGGACCCGAAATCAAGCGTGCGAAAAGCATCTGTAACGCGAATGAGACTCTCCCCGAACTTCGCAAACGCCTCCGTCGTGATCCTACAACTCGGAACCAGCTATCCAGTATCTTGATGACGCCATCAACTCGGTAGCCAACACAGACTCTGGTCATCCCACCCCCGAACTAGAGGATCGGCTTCTTCGGTGGACCTATAGTCTCCTGGATGCACCTAACTTCAAGCAGTTCAGCTTCGTCAACTCGTTTGAAGAACTCTTGCTGGCTCTTATGAAGCTTCTAGAGGACAGCATTATTCTGATTCCTCGTGACCTCTATCACTACACCTACATGTCAGAATTCGTTCTCAAATACGGAGAGGAGCACCACTACGATGCGTTCGATTCTGCTCATAAGGATTTGCAGCTGAAGCTTGCTCAACCTCCCAGTCTTGTAAGTTGATTATATCCCATGATTTCTACCCAATTTGCTCTCCGCGTCCCTCTCTCTTGTCATTTGCGTAAGATATGAGCTGTTTAAGTAAAAATTCGAACAATGAAGCTAACTGAAGGGATTGCGCTGAAGTTGAAAGTTGAGGGAGAATACTATGTCGCGCTATTGCTTGATAGATCTGGGGCCAACGACACGCTCGGTCGCAACAATCCGATCTTCAAGGCTGGAGACTTATAAGGCATGAGGCCCAATATCGGGGAAAGTGGACGGTATTACATATCTGCTCGTTAAAGTGCGCTTCTCAACTTACGACATCTTGATGAGAGGAGATGTACCTAGCATACTCGGAGCAATACAAATGGACTCCTCGGTGCCTTTGTCGATACTCGCTCGTTTCATACAGTGAAGATTGGTGATATCAACGTGGAGACCGCGCCTTGCCTCGACCTTGTTTACTCTTTTCACTAATCTACGGGTAGTTTCTAATTCCAAAATTCTAGTTCGAGATCCATTAGTTCTCAATAAAGTTACTGCTGTTTCCTAGGTAGATAGTGTGTATAGTCCATAGCTGCTAAATAACGCCATGTTCGGTCATTCGACTAGATTCGTCCTTCGGCGCACCCAGCCTAGCAAACGAGAAGCTTCCAGAAGCTGGCATTCACCACCTTTTCCGAGCTGGCTTGCTCGTTCTTCTCTGCACTGATGCAGCTCACAGCGACCAAGAACAAAACAAACGCCCTGTACAACTCTTCGATTTCACGCCCGACAGCTTATACTGCCGCCGACACCACCCACGACAACGCAATGGGCGGAAAATGCAATAAAGCACGCCAAAAGCACGCCAAAAAAGGGACAGCTAGGGACAAGTCCCAACGCCTAACGTCTACCCCTAGCTCGAAGCCGACCGGGGGATCTGAAGAGCCTGTTCTCATACCTTCCCGCGGCGAAGACACTGGGGCGCAGCTAGAGATCAGTCTCAATACATGTCATCTACGAGAGACATCGAGTCGGAGGCGGGAATAAAACAGCCGCGCCTCCTTGCGGAAACAATTCCTGTGCTACTTCGCAACAGAGACGTCAACAACATTTCAGCTATGGATGAATTATCCCTGTCGTCCGCCCTCAACTCGGAGTCAAACGCAGCACCAACGAACCATCCTCAAACTCGTCGATACGGTCGCCCATCAGCTGAGACAGCCGCTCGGCTTCGGGCCGCAGAATACAGCCAGTGCCCAAGTCGAGACTTTACGCCGACTCGCTCCTCTCGGACAGACCCCACGAAACGCTCAAGCCCATTCTCCCGGCGGAGCTTACTCCAAGATTGTCCTACTCCGGTGAGCTGCGTAGGAAGGCAGAGTTCACAGTAGAGGCAGGACCCGAGCGCATCCAAATGTACAAACGCCATGGAATGTATGATTTTGCAGCGGGCGAAACTGCAGATCTCGAGCGTGCTAAAATCTTCTGCAATGCGAACGAGAGTCTCACACAGCTTCGCGCACGCTTCCGCAGCAACTCTACCCCTCACGACAAGCTATTCAGAATTCTTATCGACGCAGCTATTCACTCCGTATACTTCACAACTCCCCCACGTACCCCAGGTGAACTCGAGTGGTGGATCCTTACTTGGATGTATGACTCGCTGGACACGTTTGGCTTCAAACACTTCTGTTCCATCAGCTCCCTGGAGGACCTTTTGGTAGCTTTGGTAAAGCATCTAGAGGGCGAGTTCATCCGACAGTCGAAGCCCCACCCAAACCGTTACTTCATGATGCGTAGGCTTGTTGCAGACTATGGCGCGCCGTACCCCACGGAGGTCTTCGACGATATTCACAAGGATATCCAGGAGCAACTTGCCAGTCTCTCTTGAACTGCAGCATCAATACAAAGCTGAATCAGGGCGATTGCCTAACGATGGTTGAGAGAGCGCGGGCGTAACTCCGGATATCTAGAGACCCCCAAGGGTTCTCTCGACTGATCATCCAAGCGCATGAATAACCCCTTTCTGCGACGACGGATGATTTTGCACCACTGCGTTCTTTCACTTCACCTGTCAGCTAAGACATCAGATAGGCTTGGCAGAATGCTTTTACCGACTTTATTCTGAAATTTTGCCACGGCAATTCCACTGCCATGATCATACTCACTTCTCTTTCTATGAAGTGATGCGCCCTGATATGAAAATCGTTGCCCTAATAAAGTTATACAACGTATCTTCCTACTAATCTATCTATGTCTTATACTTTGTATGTCGTTCTACCTCCTTGAATCACTGCCGAGGCAAGTAGAATAGTGTACACGCTAGCCTATTCTAGTTGGACATGCATATAACCGAAACCCCTCTCCAACTCCTCAACCTCACTTCCAACGACACTTGCCAGGTCCAAGGGAATGCTATGCAAGCCTTTGTTGTCTTCAGCGGCAGTTTCCATCGCATCGCTTTCTCCAAAAAGAATGGGAAGGGCTAGTCCGTAGTGCGGGGTTCCTGCATATTCGTGTTTTCTCTACTGCATTGCGTCATCTTTTGCCTTGCGATATAAGAGAAATCAACACTTATTGGATTCAACAACATTGGCAGAGGCCTTTATCGTCTTAATACGAAACCAGGAAAAGCGTCGTAAAGTCCCCAGTTCGCCAACATGTTCTCATCTCTAGCGCGCATACCTCAGCTCACCTCTCTTTTCTCTCTCTTGATCATCACAACTTTCTTTTCCCCAGCCACAGCGAATTGGAAGTACAAATCCCGCCCCGACCTCTCCCCACCAACCCTAAACATTACCACCCCCGCCACCTTCGCTATATCCCCCGGCTACATCTTCGTCGCGCCTTACTCGTTCCCAGGCTGGGACCCACCCCTCCCACACGGACCTCTTCAACCAGGCCCCTACATCTTCACCTCCAGCGGCGAGCTCGTATGGTCCGGCTTTGGCTACATCAGCGGCTACGTCGCGAACTTCCAAGCTGCAAACTGGAAAGGCGAGGAAGTCCTCTTCGCATTCGAAGGGAGTTTGAATGGGGAAAAGGGGCATGGTCATGGACACGCCACAATTTTAAATGGGAGCTACGAGTCGATTAAACAGGTGAGGGGGGCAGGGAGTAAGGTGTTGGATGTGCATGAGTTTCAGGTGTTGGATGAGAGGACAGCGGTGGTGGAGATTTATAGACCCACGCCGTTTGAGTTGAAGAAGTTTGGGGCGGGGCCGCGGAGTCAGTGGATTGTGGATGCCGTGTTCCAAGGTAGGAAAGACTATGGGATCGGAACTGGGAGAGACTGACATGGGTTATCAGATATTGAAATCGAGACCGGTCGCCTCTTATTCGAGTGGAGCAGTCTTGATCACGTGCCTCCAGAAGGTAGGATGATAGCTACTTCGAAGCCGACATCCCATGCTAATCAAAACCCCAGAATCTGTCTACTCAATCGCCTCATTAGCATTCGGAACCGGCTACAACAGCTCTGATGCCCTCGACTACTTCCACATCAACTCCGTCGACCGCGACGCAGACCACAATTACCTAGTGTCTGGCCGCCACACGTCAACCATCTACAAGATCAACGGTACCTCCGGTGCCATCATCTGGCGCCTCGGCGGCAGGCACTCCAATTTTACTCTAGCCCCCGGCGTCGCCTTCAGCTTCCAACACCACGCCCGCTTCATCTCCCACTCAAAGGAAGGGGACATTGAGATCATCAGCCTCTTCGACAACTCCGGCCCCGAACTAAACGGCAAACGTGGCGAATACGCCAACGAATCCAGTGGCAAACTCCTTTCTCTAAACACGACATCCTGGACCGCGGCACTGATCCAGGACTTTCCAGCGCCACACGGCGTCTTTGCTGTCTCGCAAGGCAACACTCAAATCCTCCCCAATGGCAACGCCTTCGTCAGTTGGGGTTCCGCTGGCGCCATCACTGAATACTCGCCCGACGGTACGGTAATCTTCCACGCGTACCTCGAAAGCGGCGACCTCTGGGCCAACGGCAACGTGCAGAACTACCGCGGCTTCCGCTTCAACTGGACTGGGGTTCCTCACGAGGACCCAGCTGTAGTGGCGTTAAGGCATGGGGAAAGCACGGTGGTGTATGTGAGTTGGAATGGGGATACTGAGACGGACGTTTGGGCCTTTTACGGGGTTGATGCGAAGGGGAGAGAGATTATTGTCGGGGAGAAGAAGAGGGAGGGGTTCGAGACGAGCTTTTATGTATGGAGTGGGAAGAAGTGGAGTGGGTTCTTTGCGGAAGCGGTGGGGAAGGATGGGAAGGTGAAGAGGAGGAGCACGATTGTGAGGCCTGAGAAGTACATATATAAGTATGTGCCGGGGAGGGATGACTTGGTTTACCAGCAAGGCCTAGACGAGCTATAGCGGGCGGGCTAGTGGGTCTTGAAGGGCTGTGCAGATACAGTGAGTACAGACACAGTAGTAAGATTGCCTACATGCTTCCGAAAATTTGTAAGAAGTGTATCTATGCACATGTTGAAGTATTCCAAGCAGCGACGAAGCAGTGAACGCATACATAGGTTGTACATGATTTACAGTCTCGCGTCACGAAGCCATATCGTGGTAGTGATCTAGCGTGAAGAGCTACGCATTGGGTATGTGTACGCCTATGAACATTGACCGAGGTGCTCTATTTTCCGCTACCTAATCCATCGGATACGCCTCTGGGAGTTGTCTCTAGAATGCTTGAGCACCAAAGCAGCGAACTTGATCGACCTTTGATTGTCCCACTTGGTAACGCTAGAAGGAACCCGGCTGCGACTCAACTGACACTCATCCGAACACGTCATGTTTCCTACGTAAACCCCCATTTCTGAGGCCCTTGATAAAGCGAACGCGAGAACCCGCCCGCTAAGGTCTCCGAAAGGATTAAACCAATTTTTCGAGGTAACTACAAAGTGGATCAACATGATAGGCCTCTCGGCGCCGTGGAAGTCGACAGTGGTGATTGCGATTTTCTCTGCAGCGGCTTTTGGCCCATTCATAATCACGAGCCTTATTGTTGGGAGTGAGCTGGATATGCGCCTTGTCTGCATCGTACAGAAAAAGTATCCCTATCTTCTCCATCGCCATGCCACTGGCTATCAGGGCTTCAACGGACTCCAAAATGGCTGGCTATACCCCCGGGATTAAATCATGACAGGCCAGTTGAATTCTCTCTGCCTCTCGATTTGACGTCAACGATCCATTCCCTATAGTCACGGTTGAAACCAGGACGTCGATTATGGAGCGTCCGCAAGCCTGCTTGTGCTTTCCGAAAGGTATCGATGTCCCAGTAGCGCTGGTCGTGTCCCCTAGATGGATGAACTAATAGCTTGTCATTATAGAAGACACATGAGGGGAGTTCCAGGATTTCAGAGTGGGCCCGGAAGCTCTGCTCGAGGTTGATTGCATGGATAGTAGGATTCCCTTCTTGAATATGATCGACGATGGACTTAGCCAAGAGAGAAGACGTCGGTGACTGATCACGAGCCCGATCAGGTAGCAGGATTCCATGCGCAAAGGAAGAAACTCCAGCCAAGAGTAGTCTATGTGCTGTAGGCTGTGAAGCCATAACGACGGCAGCGTCTGGGAGATTCATATGCCCGGCCTCATCAGTGATGATCTGATCAGCCTCGAATCCGGCTTCCGAGAGGTGGGTGAGGTAGATGTAGTGTCACGGAACAAGGAGCCGTAGGCCGTGTACGTGATGTATTGCATGGTGATAATGTAGGGGAGAGAGAGGTCTAGAGGAAGGTGAGGCTATATACAAGATGTGTCATGCGCCTGCTGTAACCCTCACCGCTCCTCCCTAACAAATTTTCCTCAAGTTAAACCATCGGTAAACTTCCTAGGCCACATATCACACCGGCAGAAAATTGAACTCAGACTGGGGAGAGCTATCATCTTCTCTTAGATTTCGTCCAGTAAGGGAAACTCACCACAACTACGAAAAAATACTTCATGCCTACCTGCTTACCTACAGATCTGGCGTTTTTCGTCTCCACCTGCACTCAGACACATCCAAGATGTACTCAACGTCATTCTCCCCCTCGTCTACTTCGCTCTTGATGACTTTCCCGCCAGAGACGCAAATCTCGCGCTCTGAGACAGCAACCGCAGCATGCTGATAAATCCAACCCGGCGCCTCACCCGTCATCTCCACCTCTTCAATGACAAATGTCGCCGTATCAAGCCTAAAGACAGGCGTATGCCCGTAACGCCTCTTTTCGCCATATCCTTGACACCCAATAATATAAACATGCGTGCCCATCAACGTCGAACTGTGGTTATCCGTCGGGGGGAAGACGTCCTCAGGGTAACTATACACCACAAAACTCCCATCGCTATGATGTTCCCAAACATCATTGTATATGCAAAAGTCGGGGTCGTAGGAGTCCTCATGCTCGCCTCCGACCTGGATCACCCGGCCATCGGGCAGCCGTGCAATAGACTGCCCGTGGCGCTCCGCGCACCAAGTTGCCGGGCTGAAGAAAGACTCTCTCTTCACTGCAAATTTCTGCTCGAAATATTGCCCGGCCTCGAAGGCGCTGACGCCGGAGCGGATCATGGCGTCCCAGAAGGGGACATTGAGGTGGTCTGGATTCTTGGTCCCGAAGCGACGGCAGCGGTCTGAGAGGAACTGCTGAGGGCTGATGGTGGACAGTACTTCGTCGCTGCATTCAGGCGGTAGGCCGACGAGCGCGCGGCGCCCTTGATGCGAAATTCTTTTGATGTTGGCCTACAAGGTGTTAGTACACATGGCAGGGTCAATAAAGAGCAGAAATTAGGACAGATACTGGATCCTCGAGTGTCGAATTTCCCAGTCCACCGCCTAAGTCTTTTTTGAGATACCAAATGACTCTGGTTAAAGAACAGCGTAATACATATTTCAACTAGAGCCGAAAAGGCTCTTAGAGATAGATGTTGAAACGCGACACAAATTATGTTTCAACACCTACCTGAGTGGTACACTAGGAAAGCTGGCAATAGAATAGAGGATTCTGGTATGTGTACTAGGACCTTACGTACCCCAGCAGCTAAGAGAACGGAGACGGTGCGTAAGCTGCAAGCATTGGACAAAGCTGTTTCTCCATACTCTTCACGCTCGAGATCCCGGGTCGTTTCGAGTTTCTCCACCACTAGATCGTAATTATCGACCAAGGCAGCCTGTATGAGGGACATGGGTTCCTCAGAATCCCCATTGGATGATGGAGGCGATGGCGAGGGACGCACTAAGGCGACTCCTGAAGCAGTTTCGTCGCTCTGAGAATTAGGGTTTGGAGCGGTTGACATGATATACCACCCACTTGCAGAAGTCAAGATTTCAAGATTGTGATGATGAGGAATTGAAAATATGAAAAATTCAGACTTTATTTCGACCCCTTGTTTCAGGCACCAGTATTCTAACTCGAAACGGAGAAAGGGGGTCATCAAATACGCCCTACGAGGTGCCTGTAGCTAATAGAAGCGCATGTGAGTACCGGTATTGATACGATTAGAGATAGAAGTTGTCGAAGTGGTTATTGGATGTTCACGATGTCGGGAGTTCAGATCGCACTTTTTTTCACCACCAACCCGACCCCACGCTATCTTACAGTGGGAGTGGACCACGTGATATCGAACCAAAGCAGCCAGTTACCGAATCATGCCGGGCTCCAAAACTCCGCAAGAACGTTCGTCACATGAGAGTAGGCGTAATAATCTGATAGGAGCAGGCGGAATAATCGGCGGAACTGCAGCGATCTTACTACACGGCCAACCAACTACCCTTACAATATTCAACATTGATCGTATACAGGGGTGCGGTTTCTAGTGATGTGGGAGGATTCCACCACACCAAGATTTCCCCGCCTTTCACTGAGAATCGACGGCTCGGGTCATACGCGGAAGACGGGATCGGTGCCATCCGCGTGGCACGCTAGTACGGCGGTGGAAGGTAAAGTAAAGATATATGGAAAGTTAGTCTCCTCGCGATTTTGGAAGCATACTGTTGGAAAAACATTGATAAATATCATGAGTGCAATTTCAGGATTCGATTTATCTGGGGCTTTCACGATCGTTGGCGTAATTTTATTGGGTTCGTTAAGTTCGGTGAGACTCGAGCTAAAACAGATGGGGAGAAGTAGGACATGCTAATAAGGAAACGAACGTGTAGATATTCTTGTACTTCATCGCTACCGCGATATACAATGTCTACTTCCACCCCCTTTCCAGCTTCCCAGGCCCCAAATTTTGGGCGGCGTCCAGCATCCCTTTCTCCCTAAGCCACATGCGTGGAACCTTCGCATTCGACATCAAGAACATGCACGACAAATACGGCGAGGTCTTCCGAATGGGCCCAAACCAGGTCTCCTTCATCAATGGTGATGCTTGGAAAGATGTCTATGCGTACCGGAGCGACCGTCCTCACTTCACGAAGGACAAAACGAACTACTTCACCCCTCTAAATGGTGTCGAAAGCATCCACTCCGCTAAAGACGACGCCGTGCACTCACGACACCGCCGACTCCTCGCGCACGCATTCTCGGAGAAAGCGTTGAGAGAGCAGGAGTCATTACTAAAGACGTACATGGATCTCCTTGTTATTCAGCTGAAAAAGCAGAGCGGTCCCGTTGACATGGTGCGGTGGCTGAACTACACGACTTTTGATCTGATCGGTGATCTCACGTTCGGCGAGCCTTTTGGTTGTCTCCATGATAGCGAATATCATCCTTGGGTCGCCATCGTCTTCCAAAGCATGCGCGCCTCCGCATTTGTGGTGGCTGGACGGCAATACCCAGCCCTGGCATCTATGCTCGTTAAGTTGATGCCGAAGAGCCTGTCGCAAAAGATTCAAGATCATTGGGACTTGAGTGTGAATCGATTGAATCGCCGCCTGGCTACCAAGACGGATCGACCGGACTTCATGACGTATCTCCAGCGGCAGACGGGAGAGAAGGGGTTGAGTCCTGAAGAGATGCATTCAAACGCCCCGCTTCTCATGATTGCCGGGAGCGAGACAACTGGGACGGCTCTGTCAGCTTGTCTGTACTACTTAACCTCGAACCCGACAGTCTTCCAGAAGCTGAGGAAAGAGTTCGACGAGGCGATAAAGTCGGAAGAGGACATTACGATCACCAACACAAGCGAACTGTCCTACATGACTAATGTTTTGAACGAGACGATGCGGATATACAATCCCGTACCTGGAGACCTGCCACGCGAGGCTCCGAAGGAGGGGATTACGGTCGCTGGATATTGGCTGCCACCATACGTGAGTTTTAGCCTTTGCGAAGATGATGTGGGGATGCGACTGACCGTTGAGTAGACTCGAGCGTCACTGGGTATCTACGCAGCCACGCATTCAGAGCGTAACTTCAGAGATCCTTATGAGTTCGTTCCTGAGCGTTGGGACGATAACAATTCGACGTATGCGAACGATCAGAAATCGGCTTTCCAGCCCTTCTCAACGGGCCCTAGGAACTGCATTGGCAAGAAGTGAGTGTTGAAGATCAATGTACAGTTCGTTACTGACTATCGATGAAGTCTTGCATGGGCAGAAATGCGTCTTATTCTTTCAAAATTACTCTTCAACTTCGATATCGAGCTCTTACCAGAAAGTAGAAATTGGAGTGATCAGAAAATGTATGTTTTGTGGGAGAAGCATCCGCTCATGCTCAACTTGAAGCCAAGGCATTGAGGACGGAAGATGTGAAGAATGAGAAATATAGGAAAAGCTCCACTAGGAGAGGCATTAAAGAACTACATGTGCTTTCAGAACGACGATAGTACACGTCCATTTTTGTGTGCGCCATTACAAATAAACGCAGGTTTCTGGTTAATACCGCTCCGACAATCGACGTTTATAACGCAGTTTTATAGAGAACTTTTCCCGCCATACTACGAGCAAAGCCCCGGCCTTGCGCGCTAAAAGTTCCATCTAGTAGCAAAGCTTGACCCTTCTTCTTCAATTTTCATCGAGACCGCCATCATGGGCGTCCTCCCCGCGATCCTGAAGCGCAAGTACCCCGCCAAAGCGCACGCCGCGAAAGTCGCTGCGTGGATGAAAGAGCACGGCGCCGAGAAGTAGGGAACGCTGTATCTAGAGGGCCACATCTAGTCTCACGCTCGATGAGCCTAGGTTGTAGGTTGAGGCGCATGAATACTAGTCCTACCGACTGAGAGACCTAGTAGAACATGTTGAGTTGTTGATGTCCAGCTCAGAATGTGTCCACTCACTGCATCGGGTTATACGTAAGGAGACCAGAACGCATATAACTGCAAGATGTCAAAATTGAACATGCTTTTACGAGAATAGGCCTGTGAGAAATAGCAGTACCCAGGCGTATTCGGATCGAAACGGCTCCAGCGTTCGCTCGATCCAGTAGATCCAGTCATCCTTCCATGGACCGCACCCAAACAGTGCTCTTGAATACTCTCAGTAACTGGGATACCACCCAGAGAACTCCCAGTCGATAATCACGAGCTCTAGGTCCGTTGTGTCCCAGTGGACTTCGCCGTTTTCTGTTGTCGTCAGGGGGTTTCGGAGCATGATATTCTTCCGCTGGATATTTGCATGCGTGAGAACTGGGGCGCGGTTCTGGAAGACATCCTTGAAGGCTGGCGAGAAATGCTCTGCCTTGTATATAGAAAGGCCTTCTTCGACATATCTGGCTACCATAGCTTCATTCAGGTCCGACTCGGTATCAAATGGGCCGTTGAATAAGTATGGTAGGTTGAAAGACGCCATCATAGAAATTGTCGAAGAAAGCTAGGGCGAGAAGATGGTGCAGCCAATGGTCGTGTGATGGGGGTATTTCTTATGTAGGGCAGAACGGCTGCCAGTGAAACGAAGGCACCGCACGGGCCGTGATGCCAGGCAGCAACCTCACGTGGACTAGTGCAGATACCAAGCCACCGAGTCAGCCATAAAAGAGGAGTAATCTATGAAAGTAACACCTCGCAGTACCCTGCTTTTAGCAGATTCAGCTCAGCTTTAGTAAGAATCAGTCCAGAAAAGGGCTTCCTCCGTTCTAATCCCACCTATTCCACCTGTGGCTTCACATATGCTCCAGTTCATCGGACGCATCCAGATGCTATACATAGGAAACTTATTCTACGCGCTTGAGAACATGATATTATGGGCATTTGAACCTGCATAGTTAGGAGTGGCATCGAAAGGCTACATATGCTCTCAAGATGCGGATAGGACACCAATTCGAGTCTTGGCGCCAAAATGATAGGATAGTCACTGGCTTTTGGTTCCCAAACATTCTTCCCTCCGTGGAACACGGGAGGACCTCCTATGAGAAATCTTTGCAGGTCCTCCCGTGTTCCGCGGAGCGATTCAGGCGGCGCTGTGGTAAACCTTGAAACGGCTTGGGGTAACTATCCCAATATGCTTCTGAAACTCAAAATATGATGTAAAGCGCTACACAGTGAATATCGTGCTACTTAAGGCACTCCTTACACTGGTGTCAAGTAAACAAGAGTAAAGCACAAGTAGTAAGATTTTCGTGTGTCCATGTTTATGACCCTGACCAAGCCTTCTTTCGGACTTGTAGAGCTATACTTGCGGCATCGGTCTCCGATTAGCTCACCAACTCTACAAGTGGAAGCTTCGCTCGTTGGCCATCAGGAATCTAACACCCGGCTGGACAGCTTCGCCGTCAAACCTCCATCCGATCAAGTCCCGAATGCTGCTCGTATCAAGCACATCTGGAGTCCTGTTACGCCACTCTTCCGACATCGCATACCGCCGCTCTGTGCCTCTGCCGGACAGAAAGTCGTGCACTTCCTATCGCGACGCTACGTCTCCAAAGACAGTGGGTCCCAAGTTTCTCCAAGGGCCGGGTGGAAGAAGGAACGGCGCACGCACGTAGAGCAGTTCCAACTTCGAGCACTCATGGCATGCGGCCAACAGGTTGCTGAATGAGCAGGATAGAACGAGGCCTTCCAGCGAAAGGCACTGCAATGTGTGGGCGTGATTTTTCAAGAAGCAGTTGACCGTGTCGGAGTGAACGTACAGACAGCTTAGTGTGAGAGACGTAAGGCAGTTCGTCTTTAGGAGATCTCTGTATGGTGCCCATTGCATGCACAGGAGTTGGAAGGCCACGCCTGCACCGTATACCACTTCTATGGGATCCTCAATCGTTGAGGCCTTGCCGGCCCCTCTCAATGTGAGTTTTTCCAATCTCGACGAAGATTTGAGAATGTAGTTAAGCAGGTTGTATTGGTCTTTGGCACGGCACACTGGCATGGAATTCCCAGCAAACTTGAGCTCGCGTAGGTTCTCGAAGAACACACCGTGAGGCAAAAGGGGGCACGCTCGCTTGAACTCCATCCAGGCAGGAAGATCGCTAGAGGTCAAGTCGGCGGCGAGATCAAGCAGCCCACGAAGGCGGCCTGATGTCTTGTCTGCTGAAATGCGGAAATGTTTGCAGAAATTGATGAGATCAACGCATGACCGTGCTATAGCTAGCAGAGCGTCGCATAACATGGTGAAATGCACGCATTGATCATATCGAGAAGGCTTTTGGCAGATATGGCACTAATCTGCGTCAAGCAACTGTCGATGGCCCGAGCGAGGCGCTGTAGTGGATGAGTGGGTGTATTGGGTGAACTCAAGCGCTTCTAGCGCTGGTAGTTTTCCGAGTGAAGTAAACAAGAGACCAATATCTACAGCTCGTTCCTCCATTATTGGCAGGTAGGGCGATGTATTGAAGTAATCCGTCCATTGTCCCCCCAAGGCTCGTATTGGCTTCTTGAATATCCAGTCGGCTTGGAAAAGGGTATCGATTCCCACCTCAACGCAAATCTTGCGGGTATGACGTGCGAAATGAGGATGGCCGGCGAATTCCACGAGTGAAGCCAGGCCGGCGTGGTAGTCATTGGCAAGAATGACCTTCTTTTCTGGAAGATGTCGCTTCTTGAAGTGATAGTCTGTCTTCTGTTGCAAGTTCTTGCACGTAGCGCGCAAGGATAGGAAGGAGGCTCGAGGTAGCAGCTGTGCAATCTCGTCCAAGAGCTCCGCCGGGCAGTCTATGATGCCCGTGGATGTTCTGTCCTCGAAGTCGGTCTCCATGTTAGGTGCAGTAGTGGGTTGCAATGAGTGTAGTGTGTTGTGAGTGGAGATGATGTAGGCAGGTGCCCGTACTGTTTTTGAGGCCTTCCTTAGTTGTCCTGGTGATCTCCGCGATGGTGTTGTTGGTGAATACAGAGACAGGTATAAGTCTGTGCACGCCTGTTTACCACTGCTTGGGGTTCCCCAGTGAAATTTCAAAGTCTAGGCGCGATGTCAAGTTTCAAGCAGTGCAAGTCAGACCGTTCCTTGGCTCACTGGTTTCAATTTCAACTCTTTGATTCGCATATCGCATTAAGGAAACCCACCGCTCTTAATAGCCCACATGAGCCGACCATAGAATGAATACAATCACGTTGGAATTTGTAGTTCATGTTCATATTCTCATATGATACTCTTGAGATTAATCAACCCTCTTTAGCTCCCTAAATTAGAAGGACAGTTCCTTGACGGGGCTTTAGACCAACGTCAGTCCTTTCATATCAGCTTCTTTCCACGGCGGCATTTTCCACTTCAGACATGGTTCCGTCCCGTTTAGATGTGGGACACCACAGGGTAGCAAGGAACCGTAAGCGTTAAGATGAGCGTATCCAACTCTCCGATAACATGGCGAGTTACGGTGCTCACCGGTCGGAACAATGATGAGACCCAGAACATTTCTACGGGAGGACCGGCGATCACTCGATAGCGATTACCAAAAAGCGTCTGGGGGAAGATCATCAACTTCGATAGCAAACGATTCGTACATGTTGCTGTGAGTGTCCAACTTATCGATCGAATCGTACCATTCCCGGTTCATAGCACGCTGCTTCCCTTTCAGATCGATAAACCCATCTTCAACATTTCCGAAAACGTCACTACTCGATAGAGTCGTTTTGTATTTGAGAATTGTGACCAGAGGGACGCCGTTGTGAAGTGACACGTTGTGAAGTGAGAGTGTGTCGATAGGACTGTCACTGGATGCCTATGACCACGTCGGAGCTTCGCCAAGTCAGAGACGCAATTGCTAGATTCGAGTGATCTCACCTCTGTACGTAGCTGCAAACGAGAAAGGATGCTTAAGTTGAACACGCCATTCTGACCCGCGAACCAGATGATCATTCCAAAGCCCAGCGACACAGCCTTCCCCTAATCGGTTTCTCATCGTGCGAGCAATCTAGAAATGGCAACTAGTTTGTCGGATTGATGGGTCAGTAGACACTGCGTATATTTGTGTACAGAAACCTCCCACAAGTCCAGCGTGTTCGAAGAACTGTCGCTTCCCGAGGAAATGCTCTGCCAGACCTTGCTGAACGTCTGCGTAAATTGGGTGAACGAGAGATGGCTCACCTTGGCAGGACATGCGACTACTTTTCTACGTTCCCAGATATAAGCGTAGCGAAGTAGATTGTTCGAGGGCTGAGCATGCGTTCTTGGAAGACCCATCCCCGCGCGTTCAGTGGTGCTTCTTTCGCAAAACCGTCCCATAGGTCGTAGAAGCAATAGTAGTCGTCTTCGACAAGGCTAGTGCGAAATTTTACTCGGAAAGGCGTCCCGATGGACCTGTCCTTCTGCCGGAAAAGTCCATGACTTGGTGTATCAGACTCGGAGGCCGCTATGTTGAAGATGTAATTTTGATAGACCTGGTTCATATTCGACGCTTCCCTCTCCCAATCGGTAGCACTATCTTGCATAATACAAATGGAATCGATCTTCCAATCGATTAGCTTAGCTTAGCCGTGTAATAAAGTATATGAGATTAATTTACGTAAAGGAATCTATAGCCAAGACGTCTTGTAACGAAGACTGCGTCCTGGAATGTTTGAGGGAGCTCCATTAAATTAATGCCTTTTGCAAGTTGAGTTTGGTTTAGTGAGGTGAGAGTGAGGAACTTCGAGGCTCCCTACTTGTGGCTTAAGCTCAGATACCTCGTACTGGAGTTCCGCGGGAAGCCGTCGCTGTTGATCAATATAATTTGCGGTTCTTCGTCTTTGCCGACTACAAGTAAACGGGTTGGAAGGAAGGTCTCGTCGTAATCCTCATGGCAGTTCGAATGAGATCCGAGACATGTGGCTACACATTGGACCAGCCATTCCTAGGTCTCGGCTCCCGAGGTGGAGGCGGCAGGCGCCAATATACCGTCTTAATGTAATCAGCTTTCCATCAGTAACTGTCCTCGTTTCTTTAAGCACATAACTGAAACACGATGGAGTTCAATTTCCCGGGTTGCTCCTACCACGAGTGACGCTGGCGCCTCGGGACTGTCGATAGTTTTCTCTCCGGATACAAGCAAGTCAAACTCGATTGCCCATAACTCGTCATCTCTTTCAAAATAAACGTTCAGGGTTGGCTGGATTGCTACGACAGGTAATCTCGACGATTCTCTGCCAAATCTGAGAACGGCCAGATGGAAGACTTTGCATATTCTGCACGGACGTGCTGACTCCACAAAGTCTTGAATCGGTCGGATCGGGAACTCAACATTAGCTCGGTGGTGGCTAATCCACCCACTTATGCGAATCTGTTCTTTTTCTCCCTTGCTACTGATTTCATCACCACGAGATTCGAATCGAAAAGTCCCCTTCGAGTAGTGAAACCCGACCTTCCCGACCTCTTCGATATCCTCAAGTTCATCATTATCTTCAGAATCTCTAGACTTGATGTCAACCAATGCTACATTTGATAATCAGGAATCCCTTACGCTCCTTTGGTGAGTTATGTCGCGAACTCAGTACGGAAGGCTGACCACTGCTCTGAAAACCCGGTCCCCGTCCAGTCGAACATGGACTCGCATGAAGGACACAAAGCAGCAGTAGGTTCCGCTTCCATGACGGGTGTGATAGGGGCTAAAGCGTTCTTCGTAGAGAGTAAGAAGAGAAGCCGAATTAGCGAGGTTGCATCCCTCCCAAGCGACAACGATAGCACTAGGCGAGATGTAGCCCAAGTGGTGGCGGGATGAATATTAATATCGGCTAGTGCTACGTGTACGACCCCTTTTTGCTACCTGTACAACTCCCCCCTGCAACCCCTTCACGGCGTTCTAATTGGCTTGCTTATCGGGCTGATTCCTCCGGAGCATAGAGCCTGTGCGGCAGTTATAGCTCCTGGAGGGGCATATTATAGAGGTAGGCGTGGAGGCGGACCAACAGGCATACAGTAAGAGCCTATAATAACACCTATATAGCTAATTATAGAGGGCTCAGGTTAATATTAACAGCTGCGCTCGCGATTACTTAGCCGTCTAGGAAGCGCGGTAGGCCACCAAAGAACTTAACACCAGGAGGTCCTATAAAGAAGCAATGTATAAATACTAAAGCAGACCTTAAGCAAAAGATTGCGCTGTTAGAAGCGCAGGTACAGGGTTTACAGACTATCGCAGGAAGTACAGTGCAGTTAATAAGCCCGTAGCAGCCTTGTAAGGTAGCTCGTGAGGTAGCTAATAAGGAATTTAATAAGTATGCGGAGGAGCTTATAGATAAGGAATTTATAGGTACTTATAGGCTAGGTGCGATGGAGAGAGGGCCTCTATTAGGCGCAAAATTAATAGTTTAGGCATCCTCCTAGGCACGTAGGCATATAGGCACGTAGCTATGTAAAATAGAGAGGCTATATATAAAGCTATACAAAACGAAAAGGATATATAAAACAGAGAGGATACACATGTAAATACACATAAAAGTGAATGCCTAGAGGAACCTCGGAGCCCTCTAAGCCAATTAAAACGCAGTGAAGGGGTTACAGGGGGGAGGGTTGTACATGTAGCAAGAGGATATCGTACACGTAGCGAAAAGGGGTCGTACACGTAGCACTGGCCTTAATATCCGACGCTTCCGGCTGCCAGGGAAACCCTTATTCTTCGTGAAGGAGTCTATTTCATGTGCCCCACAGCCACATAGACAATTATTCGCTAAGAGCATCGGGGTCACGTGACTGAGTGTGCGTTTCTGACCACGGCTATGAATGGAATCTTCACCTTTCACTACCCGTTCCTACGGCGGTGTCCGTACGTGGTCTCTTACGGTCTGCAGTAGCCTTGGAACCGAACAACACCTAACATAGACGACCTCCCTCAAGCAAGCCCCCACTCATTACCAAAACACCATCCATTAAATCCCCCTATATCCCCTAAAACACACCCCCCCTCTCCGCGAACCACCCCAGCATATCATCTCGCCCCAAAATCGTCACCAAAATCATCCTACCAAAAACATCAATATCCTCCGGCCCCGCCCCCTCCAACACCTCGCTAAAATCCAGATCCGCCACCAAGAAATGCCGCTTCTCGTTCCACGCGCTCGCAAACTCAATCGTCGACCCCGCGTTCCACAGATGCGCGCTCGTCGTGATCTTGCTCGTGACGCATGCGTGGTCGAAGCAGTAAGAGCGCCCCTGGAGCAGGTGCAGCAGGATCATGAACTGGCAGAGGATGAGGAGGGTGCGTTGGGAGGATTCGCGCAGGATGAAGGCGCGCCAGGCCTGCCGGGCGGTGGTGGCGGGGTAGAGGGAGATGAGGGTGGGGCTAGGGGGCGTTTCGGATGACTGGAGGGAGGCGTAGAGGGCGTAGATGGATTCTTCGAGGTGAGGGAAGGTGGGGCATACGTGCGCGTTTAGTTGCAGCTGTGGATGTGTTAGTTAAGGGGGAGGTGGAACGAGGGGAGGGGCACGTGCGTCACCGCTGAAGGCGTTTATGGCTTGGTATAGTATCAGTGCGTGTGCACGGGCGAGGATATCTAGGGGTGCGGTTGGGGGTGGACTGGAGGTGAGCTCTTTGACGCGGTCTATGACGTGGCGAGCGAAGAATGCTGAATTGGTCTCGTTTCGGGCAAGGTATAAGGCGCAAGTTGCGTGAGCTTCTGTTGGTATGTTAGATTGTCAATTTGTTGGAGTTTGGTTTCTTTTGGTGTACCTTGAAGTACTCGAGGCATGCAATCTTCATAAAGAAGCGGATGTGACCAGGGCGTTTGGTTCTCCAAGACCATCGTAGCAGGAGCCTGCTTCATCCGATCGATAGCATAGCTGATTCGCGCATAAGACGAAGGCGTGAGCTCCCATCTACACTCCCCAGCCTGTGGAACACGTATAGACCGTATGATCGTTTGCTGATTCTCCGGCATAGGCGATGTATTCCTGAGGTCGTGAAGAATGCCAATACTTTCAAGACCCGCATTCACATCAAGGTCCAAAAGGCACGTGTCTTGACGGCTCTGTACAGATGTGTTTCGATGACCCTGAATCAAAGACATATCAAAAGGGGATGCCACATTATCTATGCTGCTATCCGGCATAGGCGAATTGTCTTCAGCGACAGGGATCGCGTTGAACGCAGGTCGAGATGGGTAAGAACACGTAAAGTGCTGACGGGTGCAGCGGAGACAGCTGGGCTGCGTTAAGTCGCATCTCCGCTTGGACTTGACACATCGTGCGCAGGACTTTTGCCTTCCTGTCGGGTTTGTGCTTTGGTCTCTTTCAGGGGGCATGGGGGTGAGGATAAGAAGGAATAAGTATGACTGTCCAGAGATAGAAAAAGCGATTACCAAAGAGAGGCGAAAAGAACAGAATGATTATGGCTTATTTGCTTCCTCGTCAGTATTGGACTCACAGTGTTTCGCGTCGTTAGAATTATCGTGAAGCTTGAGTTCGAGTTCGTTGCCCCTAGGCCGCTTCTCGTCCGTTCCGTGCGCGGATTCCCGCTGTGGCGCATTCGTCGTTTCGGCTCGGTCGACACTGCCCTAGAATAATGGGGGGTGTGGTTTAGAGGGTTAAGGTGCGGAGGACTCCCTTGCAAGTGGGGTATATATGTATTTGATAATTACGGTTACCATATATAGGCGTTTGCTAGCTGAAAAAGTGAAAGGTCATAAAAATTGCTTATGGGCACGTGATGAAGGGGCCTTTTCGAGGAGCCCTGCCCCGAGGCTGTGGCTAGTAACTAGTTAAGCTGCGGAGAACCGCATCAGCCACAGCGGTGATCCGCAATTAGCCCCCAATATGCCGCAAGAACTTATAGCATTTCAAGGTGTGGTGACAATCTATAAGACGACGGCTCTGCCGAAAATAAAGACAATCATCTCCCTCAGCTCATCCCCTTCACACTTAAAATCGCCTCCGACCTTATTCGTCCTCTAAACACCATCCTATATCCAATCCCAGACACATCTTCAGAGTCTGCGACTTGCATCCCATACTTCCACAACATACACTGCCGCTTCATCATGGGCCTCTACCGCGCAGCCTACTCCCAGCTCTTCCCCCCTAAACCCACCTTCACCGAAAAGGACATCCCCGCCGGCAGCCAAGTCGGCAAAGTCTACATCGTCACTGGCGCAAACCAGGGTATCGGCTTCGAGCTCATCAAGCTCCTATACCACTCCGGGGCGACCATCTACCTCGCCGGCCGCTCAACAGAGCGTCTCGACGAGGCGATCAAAACCATAACCTCAATTACACCAACTCCTCAAACACCCGCAGTACTCAAGCCCCTCTTCCTCGACCTCAACGACCTCGCAGCCGTAAAGGCATCCGCCGCCGCATTCGCGGCTCAGGAATCGAGGTTGGACATCGTATGGAACAACGCGGGCATTGGCGGCGCGCCGCTAGGCACAACGACGAAGCAGGGGATCGAGGGGCATATCGGGGTGAACTGCGTAGGACCGCTTCTCTTCACACAGCTCCTGCACCCACTCCTCCAGGCCGCTGCAAAATCTTCCTCGAAGGGCAGCGTGCGGATCGTCTGGACCAGTTCACCGATCGTCGATATGGGCGCGCCGAAGGGCGGAGTGGACTTTAAATCGATCGATTCCGGCAAAACTGCCAACTCGAACCGTGATTACTCCTGCTCGAAAGTCGGCAACTGGTTCCTCGCTGACGAAGGCGCGAAGAGGTGGGGCAAAGATGGGATCGTGAGTGTGGTGCAGAACCCTGGGAATCTGAACACGAGCGCGTATAGGTACCAGTCGGGGTTGATGATGTTTTTCGTGAGGCCGATACTGAGTGAACCCAAGTTTGGCGGGTATACGATGCTTTATTCGGGATTCACAGGGGATGTGGGACTGGAGAGTAATGGGGCGTATATTTGGCCGTTTGGGAGGAAAGTTCCGAATGTGAGGGCGGATATTTACCAGGCGATTGAGGAGGGGAAGGCGAGGGAGTTCTGGGAATGGTGCGAGAAGAAATTTAAGGCGTATTTATGATGGTGAGAAGCGTCTGTTAGGGGATGACTAGTTGGTGAATAGGTAGTGAGCGGCGGCGTGTCCAAGTAATAGAAGTGAATTGTACCTTACGAGCTTTGAATCAATGTCGCCCACTCCAGACATATTTACACCAACTAGTTACCAACTGCTCCATTGAAGACACCACCAACACCCACATCCCCAGCTCAATTTCAAGCCACCGCCCACCATGGTCAGCAAAGACTTCCTTCACCTATCCAATACCACCCACGCTCGAGATTGGTGGAACGGTGAGGCGCACACTCGCGACCTGCAGCTCCAGCATCACAACGCCGTGACCCAAATCCACCACACCCGCCAAGGCTACTTCTTCACTATATGGCTGGACAGCTTTGTAGAGATACTTAGGCTGCTCCCTATGCGAGCCCATCGCAAGAAGTACAACGACTTCCTTGCTCGACGCGTCCTCGAGGACTTCTTGCCACAGGAGCTGTGTGCTGATGTCGCGGACTTACTCAAGCCGGAGACAAAGTCGCCTTTTTAGAGCGCGAGAATAATGGGAGAGAGCCCTCGGAGTTCTATAAGCTCGTTGATGTATTACGAGATAGGCAGGGTAGGGGATCGTCCGAGTCATGGAAATTGTGGGAGGAGATTGAGGTAAGTTTGGTGTCCAGTCATTAAGTTATCTCTCTCCTACGAATGCCTCCCGATTGGAGTTTCTATTCTTTCATGACTTGTATATTTCGGCCTTTCACTGACGAAAAAATTATAGGCTCGACTCGGCATTCGCTGTGCTGGTATCGGCAAGGAGATAGGGCCGCTATGTGATTGGTCCCACTGGGAAGAAATTGTCTTTATTGAGATATTGCTCCCCCGCAACGATCGCCCGGAACCAGTCTCCTGCGTTGGCCGGTTCAGTAAGGGTGAGCACTGGTACTGGTCATATGGTCTCCTGCCCACAGTTTTGGACCACGACATCATTCCGACTGAGAAATCCTGCGATTGCTCTCTGTGCAAAACTGAGACTGATGAGGAATGGACTCGACAAGTGGACAACGCTGCCACACCAGAAGACCCTGGACTTGCCGTATTGCCATTCTCACAGCCTGAGACTATGGTACAACAACTCCACAAACCCCTCCGAAGTGTTGAAGATAGCAGTGCGGCCACGGGGAAGTTCAAGAAAATTCTTCCAAAACTGGAGGAGATTGGACTAGACCTGACGTACGACTATGTCGACATTTTCAAGATGAAGGACTTGAATAAGTACAAACCGTGGATCATGGAGATCAGCGCAGTCTTCCAGCACGGTCCCACCGAAGAGATTGAGCGGATCAATACGTATTCGGAGAAGATGAAAGCTTAAGTTGATGCAGACTCTCATTGGCATTGATCACCGGGGTTTTGTGCGGACCTAGAACAGTTCACTGAGCAAGCCAGATCTAGTACTAAGCTACTCAAGAAGTCACTCGACGACGTACTAGGTATACATTAGTCATTCAAATTGATAAAACTGGTTGACTCCAGAGTTCTTACATTGCTTGCGATATTTTCTAGACATGATACCGCCCAATGAGCGTAGTCCGAAAGTAGAGCTCTCAACAACTTGCTCTTCATCCCAGTCCGGGTCTTCGATTGGTCTCAACTGATACTGCAACTTTCCTTCGTTTTCGTCATCTTGGTGTCGAGGAATGAGAATCGGTCTTCGGCAACGTTTTCGCCGAAGTATAAAACGTTGAAAGAACCATCTTAGTTCTTTCAGTCCATGCATAGCGTGATTTGCAAGTGATATATGGAATACATCGTCGAGTTGTTCGAGAGTGAGGCTTTTGGTTTCTGGTACGAGCTTGACGATAGATTAGTACAAGTCTTTACATGTTGATAGGTAGGAATATCGGGTGTGACGAGAAGGAAAAACTGTTGGCGAAAGATATGATTGAGAAAAGACTTACAAACAATATCATCCACCAGCCCATGATGCACCAAGCCGCATACCATGCAAAAGCTCCACTTGGATGGAATGCGGTCTCGAAGCTAGGCCAGGTGATGCTAAGAAGAAAATTGAAAAACCAGTTCACAGAAGTTACTATACCCATACCTATCAGGGTCTGTTAGTGAGAAGATCTTGAATTTTTAAACGTGTTTGGCATACCAAAGTCGCGGTTGTATAATGGCATGCTCTCAGCGGAGTAAACCTTGATCTTGTCAACGAAATAACACTTGCTTGTGAGACAGTTGCGGGAATCATACAAACGGGACAGGACCCTCCCCGGGAGAGTACGCCACCGAGAAAAGATACATCCCGGTTATTGTCAAGACGGTCTGAGCAGTGCCTTTTTTGAACAGAAACCCGACGGCGATAAATACCTGAAACAGTGCCATGAAAGGAAACGTGGCGAGCAAAAGGCTCCTTCGTCCAAAACTGTCAATAGTCCACACAGCCGGTATTGCAAAGATGAAGTTTATGATCCCGAAACCCATAGATGCCTAACTGATGGTCAGTGCTCCCTGAAATTGTCTGATTGTGGAGAAAGACTGACCAAGAGGGCATTTTGAGAGCTAAAGCCTGCAGATAGAAGCACGGAGCTGGAATAATATGCCATTACATTGACACCGCATTGCTGGAATCTGTCAGCTCCCTTTATATTTGAAGTAGCTGAGGGCAAGCCTGTCAATTGGAAGGCAAGTTTCTGACGTACCTGTTGAAGAAACATCGTAATCACACTGGCTATCAGTGCTCTCCTATTTCTGCTGATGGTAAAAAGTTCGCGAAACGGACTCCTTCGTTTCCCTGCCCTCGATTTGTTCGTAATGTCTGCTTGGCGAAGGAGAAGATGATGGATGGCGAAGAGATCCCTTGCAGCTTGCAATTTGGTGTGTCGAAGTTTGCATAATGCAAGGAAGGCTTCCTCGTACTTTTCAGTGTTTCCATTATGTGCCTTTTGGATAAGCCATCGAGGAGACTCTGGGACAGTGTAGATATACTGTGCAACTAGCAGAGGCAGTATCATCTGTGGAAGTCAGTGGAGATCGGTCAGTTATCTAACTTCACAAGCGGAGTGAGTCAGCTTACTGGACTGGAAAGCATCATTCTCCAGGAGAGACTCTGTGTTGTAAAGATACTATCAGTATAGATAGATGAGGCAATGATTATACCGCGAAACCTTTCGCGGTAGTACCTCACACGGAAGGGGCCGAAAGAGTAAGGGTTTTTGGACAAATATCGGAGGTACACTCACGCATCGCGCACTCAATAATGCCTGCTGCGTATCCGCCAGCGAGGTGGAAGCCCGAAGATATGCGAAAGAGCAAGACTCGTTGTTTGAGTCCCCTACGTATTGAAAGGCGACACCAGCAGCATATCCGCACATGAGGCCTTTTCGCTCGGGTATCAGCATTCATGCGGACTCATGAAAATGGCACTCACCAAACGCAGTCCACATTTGCCACATCATCACTAAAGCCCCTCTGATATTTGCGGGCGCGCACTCAGCCGCATATATGGGAATGGTGGCACTGTGACTGTTATTTCCGTGCTTCTAAAGAAAACTAGGCAGGGCCCACGGGACTTCAAACCTTTTCGGGCCAATTGCTAGCCCTAATAGAAGTCTTGCAACAAATAATTGCTGCCAGGTCTGAGGGAATGCCTGTCCCAGACAAGCAATGACTGATATGAAGCAGGCTAACGCAATGACACCTCTCCTGGCAAGAAAGCGGTTCAATGGATAATTGAGCCTGAATAACGTTAGCATATGTTCAAAGGTTTTGAGGCAGTGGGATTTTTGCTGGGGTTGGCATGTTTTTGACTTTTGGGCACGTCGCAAGACTCAATGATAGAACGCCTAGAGCATATGTAGAGGGGATGACCAGCTCTGTAGCCTCAGCTGCTTCAGATGATCCACGTATAAACTCACCAACATGAGAGAGTACAGCAAAGATAGGGTGCACTATTCGTTAAACCTCTGTAGCCATTGTGTGACGGACCGTCGATCCCGAATGCATACTGATACTGGATCTGGGCTCCATTCACGGCTGTCTCATCCCAGCCTTGGACTGCAGCACCAAGCGAGCACAGTAGGACGACTGCCCACAGCCTGAAAGGCTGCTTGAACTTGTCAACTCGCCTCGTACTCTGTTCGAGATCTAATCGGGCTCTTTCATCTGGCGTCAAAGTCAATCCATCGTGGCGAGGCTTCTCTTTGGGGAATGCATTGCGGTCTTGAGCGAGAAAACAACCTCGGCGAATGTGGCTAGAGTAGTCGGTTAACCCAGATAGCTTGATGAATTCGTTGGCTTCTAGGTTCATTTTATTTTGATCCCATCCAAAGAACGGTACGGACATGTACCGGTCGGCAGGGCCGTCCTTCGAGTTGGCAACTTTAGGCTCGGCCATAATGTAGCAAGCAAACAGATAGAAGCACACAGAAATATCTCATGTGCGAGACAGGGCCGATCGATGACTTGATATTCAGCCAGACGAGGTGAGTAAGTCCTGCAAGCGACGTAGGAGGCTTAGAAGGCGGGAGAGCATACTACAGCCGTTGACGTACGAGATGCAATAGGCAAATCGTATTACTCCAATTGAAGGCCATCTGTAGAAACCGGTGAGGCGGTGCAAGCTATGAGGGAGACCCGCGGAGCAAAAGAAGGCTTCCAGGCAGAAACGGCCCCCGCACTTCGCAGAACGAGCGGTCCGCAGTGCAGTAGCGTTGCGTAGGAGGCAGAAAGATCGGCGTGGTAGGGGGCGCTCAGTCGCATGAAGGCTGCTTGTGCCTTCGAGGAGCATATGGCCCTACATCATCGCGCGTTCGTGGAGCTGCGTGAACTTTCTCGAGCAGGCAGAACAGATAGATGCCCCGTTGCTGGTGTGCAAAACTCAAACTCCCATTAAAAGCCTTCTCCTGATCCGGGTTTGATGGAAATCTGAGGTGGAGGAGGATCCGTGATGGCGGCGAGTAGTTCTAGTGGCGCAGCAAACATCGCGCCGAGCGGCCTTGACGAACTCATCGTGCCAGAACAAACCATCGACGACGCTGGCTTTGACAAAATCAACAACCTTCTCCATGCCTGTCCACAGCTATCGAAATGGCACGGCCGCCCGCGGACCTTCTCGCTGCTGCGAATGGCGGGATGCGCTGATGACAACGAGATTGCGGCCGCCTTCATCTCACAAGGCATCAATGACCGATGCATCCCATTCTCCCCGAAATACCTTCCTGCAGCCATCAGTTCAGACCCAGAACTGCTTGACCGCGTGCTGAAGTACCAGCCTTTTGTTCTCACGAGACTTGGGACTGCTGATTCTTTCCACGGCTCCAGCTTTGTGCTCGAAGAAAGCACCGGCCGCCATAGGTAGGTACGCCTATCAAAGCCAAACGTCAAGAGCTTATTAAGTAAGATAGGTACATTGAGGATGGCCAGCTCTTCTTCGACCAACTGAAACTCCTTGGAAATGGTGCTAGCGCTCAGGTTCATCGTGTTGAGCACAAAGACTCCAAAGTCCACTTTGCTAGAAAGAGTATCGAAAGAGGAGGTAGTTTGAAAAAGCAACAATCGCAGCTCCAAGAGTTCGAGCAAGAGTTGAATACACTTCGGAAACTGCATCATCGACATCTTGTACGCTGCTACGGTAGCTATACAGATAAGACTAGCTTTGCTCTGCTGATATGGCCTATTGCGGATCATGATGCTCATAAGCCGTTACATGAGCAGATTCCAGCCCAGCTCACAATCACAGACCGGGACAACCTACGGCGCGCTTTTGGATGTCTTACGAGCGGAGTGGTGTACGTACACAAGAACCTAATTCGTCACAAAGACATCAAACCGGGCAACATCCTTGTCAGCAACAATTCCGTGTATCTGTGCGACTTCGGCGTGTCTATGGCTTGGTCCACGCAGGAACGTAGCACGACCGAGGACAAAGTGTTTAAACACACGGAGAAGTACAGTCCTCGCGAAGTTGCCGATGCAGAGCCAAGAAATACCGCGGCTGACATCTGGTCTCTTGGATGCGTATTCTTGGAGATGATTACCGTTATCAAAGGTGTCTCTGTGAAAGAAATGGAGGCGTTCCTTCTCCAACGCTGTGACCACTTCAAGGCTTACTGGCATGCGACAGACGAAATACCCGCTTGGTTAGACTATTTGAAGACTGTGACTGGCACTTTTTCCGACCACGATGAAAATGACGATGCGCCTCTGGAGTGGGTGAGACTGATGGTGAGTTAAATCCAAATGCACTCGGGATCGTGGGGAGTCTACGGAACTACCGCTCTTTAGCTCCATGAGCCCATACCATCATCGCGATGCATTGAACTGCAAATCTGATGATCTTCTTTAGCTCCTAGATGACCCAAAGAAACGCATCAAAGCCGAGAAGCTTCTCCGACGCATCTCGGATGCATCTGCAGGATTGCGAGAGCCTACTCGTTACATTGGCGATCGATGCAAAACCGAACTAGAGACGGGAGAGGACGTGACCTCTAAACCCGAAGCTGATCAACCTGTCGAGGAGGCGAGACCAAATGCACAGCCCCAAGAACCTATCAACTTGACCATCAAAGGGGTATGCTTTTGTTCAAATACAGCTTGCTATGTCTCTAATCGGTAGTTAGATACCGCGTCCACCAGCCCCTTTATCGACCTCCCGTAGCCGGCATAGAAGCCGAAGCCCACTGCAGATTGAATATCGACCCGAAGACTTGCGGCATGCTCCCTCGCATGGTGCCCAGGACCAATCGCCGACCCTACAATCGGACCATCAAGTCTACCCAGATACCCGCAAGGATAGTCAGAGCGAAAGTGTTGTATCGTATCACGTCAACTGCAGCGCGGAAAACAGCAAGGCCTTGTCTACACCGGGCAATCTGGACAAGGCCGAGACATCCTCTGAAAATCCACATGAAGGCGAATCGTGTGTATTTACCGCCGAACACTCCACTTTCAAAGTCGTCACAAAAGGCCAATCAATCTCCACTCAACGTGTGCGAAGCGAAAATAGTAAGCTAGTAGAGCTTTATCACACTAGCCCAGAGAACTTCTGGGAAACTACAAGAAGACTGATCGTAACGGAGCCGGATACAGATGCTCATCATTGCCGTCAAAGCTCATTCTGGCTTCCTTTAGCTGATATCCGCTTCCTCGACGAGCAAGACCGCATCACACTTTGCTGGTCTGATTGCAACTGGGTCCAAAGGAAAAACGGCGGCGATTGGGGTGATGCCTACGATCGAAGCTATGACCCTACACAGGTCAACAACGAGATAGCAGTTCGATTTAAAAATTCCGCTGATGCGAAGGCCTTTGTCGATTGCTTCAAAACCCTCGTAGAGGATCACCACGTACGGTCTCGCGGATCTCCCCTGGTGCTTTCGCCGTCGCAGCACGCGCTCATCTACGATATATACACTCGGAATGGGCGCACGGTGGAATACCGGGCTGTCCTTGCCGTCACGCAGTCTTCAACGGGCCTTTGCTCAACGAAAATCTACCTTGCGTGGCGAGATCTCGATCTACAATTATGCTCAGAGCCTGGGTCCAGTCAACAACCTTCAAACCACACCTCAATTCTTCTCTCAGAGCTCCGCTCTCCATTCTACAAATCGGACACACTCGGCCGCCGCGTCAAGGAAGAAGATCTCCCCGAAGGTTCTTGCAACAAGTGCATCCTTCGAGAGTCTGTTGCGCAGCTTGACTTTACGCCAGAAACGTCGCATACAGCCTCCGCATCAATGATTACGTTTCTGACTGTACTCACGGGCTGGAGGCTCTTGTCCATCTCATCTACTTTTAACTTGAAGCTCAAAAAGCACGGTCGGATGAAGCGATACGGCATCGCTGACGTGCTGGTTTGGGTGAAGACGGGTGATGAGCAGGTCTTCGGGAAGATTACGATTCGGCTCAGAGATGAGAGGCGGAGACACTGGCTTACAGGCTCACGTACGTACGCCACCCGTATGCTAGGAAATCGAATCACTAACGTGAATGAATGCTGGCCTGCAGTACCCCAAAACTGCACCACTAGCCACCCATCAACGAGAAGCCTCCTCGCCACCATCACCGCTAAGAGTCGCGGCGATCTCCTCGATATCAGCGAGATGGCTGCTACAGACCCCGTACCTGTCAATAAATCAACCCGGCAGCGCGGCCATGGGAAATCGTCCAGCCTCATGTCTGGGAATTCGTCAAGTCTTATGTCTGGAAGAAACTCTAAGCTCCTCAAATTGCGCTTTCCATCAAGTGCAGGTCAGTTACAAGCCTTTCCTTTCCTTCTTTTCTTTGAAGATGAAGCGCTTACGATTAAATCCACACAGAACGAGACACCATCTCCGACTCTATCCAATCCTACCTAGACGAACGTAAGGAGATGCAAGCAACCGCGGGTCTCCGTCCACCTTTGGATTAGGAATCTAGTGAGGCTTGAGAACGGCATGCAATCAAATAACAACTCTGAACACTGAAGGTGGACCTTTGTATTATTAGTCATGCGTCACAATCGAGTGCAAATCCATGAAGACGAGATTAATTGTGCAAAGATCATATTAACATTTCAGCGTGCCATCATATCTACATCCATTAATCCGATCCAGTCCGATTACGATATCGCCGTTCCCCTTTCCAACAAATGTAGGCTGTGAGCCCAAACCCTCTTGTAAAAAATGCCGTCCGCTATGCAAATATGCAGCCCAATGAATATGAATATGATAATGATATAGCCAAGCTTCCCACATGACCGGCCGTGAGAGACGTTGTATGCGTGAGAAAACGAAAGGATATAGTGGTCGCTAGAACGCAGCAGGAACGAAAGTTTCGCTAAAGCCCGATTAAAACAAAAAATCATAAAACCCGATATGCAAATGGTGGTGAGTCCCGCTCGAGAAGCGAAACATCATTACTTCTTCTTCTTCTTCCTTCATTAAGGGGAGGTAGGTGGTGAGCATCATCATCACACACTGACGGTTCGTCGAACACCAACAACAGGCTTCTGCGCATACCCAATCAGCAGCCGGAAGCTCGTCCCGCGCTTCTCACACTCCCGGATCAGCGCCTCGTCGGACCAGATACTGCTCTCCATCGCCTTTGCCGGGTCGGCGTCGGTAGGCAACACAGCAGCCTCGTAGCATCGGCTGTACCACCACCGGCCCACTCTTGCGACCATCTCCGCGATGCCATCATCGACGGAGGATGCTTTAGCAGGATCAGAGGGAGAGGGCGAGTTGAGGAGGTCAGAGAAGGACAGTTTCTGCGTAGCAGTCTTGTCCGAATCCGTGGCAGTACTGTTGCTGCCGTCGCTATTGGGAGCTGCGTTTGCCGTAGGTAGGTGTCCCGCGACAGGAACGCCGACGAAGCATCTCGTCACTCCACTGAATCCGCGGCGGCCCAACAGGCCCATGACTTCATCGCTGACATTTCGCAGGCTGATGTTCTCCTCGGCGGCTTGCAGGCGGACCTTCAAGCCCCGGACGGCCCGCCGGGCTCGGTTGCCCATGTTCACGAGGTCGAGGTCAAGAACCGAGATCTCAAGGTACCCGCCAGGTCGAAGCACACGCTTGCACTCCGAGACGATGGAGCGGTGGACTGAGGATGGCAAGGCGGCGGGGAAGCGCAGAACGACCGTTGCGAAGAAGCCTCTCGGGAACGGAAAAGGGTAGACAAGCGAGGGATGAGCAATGTGGCGATGGTTGGGGAGAGTAGACCAGGGCTCGCCAGTGCTGGTATTGGCGTTCATGCTGTATACACCTGGGCCAAGGTTGTAGACTGTGGCTTCGGGGTAGGTGAGAGCGCAGTAGTAGGACCAATCCTTCCCAAGGCCATCGATTACCAACACGCGATCCTCCGCTGGGTCTTTGAGCTCGAAATGAGCAGGGCTGAATAGGACACGTCCAAAGCTGAGCCATTTGCTGGTCATGAGGGCACCAAATCTTAGGTTGGCCATTGAAACCAGCCCGTCGTTCTGGGCTTCTGCCATCTCGATCAACCGCGTATCTCTGTACCTGTTGGCCGCACTAGAGTTGCTGTTGCGGCTTTTGTCAGAAGTAGACGCCAGCGTAGCCTTGGACTGGCGTGCACTGAGGCTAAGCGATGCAGGGAGACTTGAACGAGTGGAGCCGGGACGGTTCTGGGGGCCGGGTCCAGACGACATGCGGGCACTGGAGAGGCTGAGGCGGCCGGTCACAGGGTCAATGACGCTCAGGTTCCGTTCACCGTAGCCAGCAAAGAACTCCGACATAGAAAGAGGTGTAGTAGGCGTTTGAGCAGAGTGAAGCACAGCCAGGAGACGAGAGCGGCGAAGGTGCAACGACGTCGTTGCCGGTCCTGTGGATGAGCCACCAGAATTGGAAGTGCCATGTACCCGCTTTGTTTTGGTGCTGAGTGTTAGTGGACCGGGAGGAGGTTGACGATTCGATCTTCCTTCGTTTGCTGCGAGGCCGTTGGATTGATACGATGTGGGTTTCTTGGAGTCCATGGGAGAAAGAACCTCGTCAATAAGGTCATCATACTCATTCCAAAGCTCATCCTCGGAGAGAGGCGCAGTTGGATCTGGAATGATAGCAGTTCCAGTGGTCGGCGGGAAGCTCCAAATACCCGAGCTGCTAGAGTATGACAGCTCTGAATCTTTCCGGGAGGGAAACTTGAAAAACTCGCTGGCATTGGAGTCGTGGCGATCAGGGCTGATACCGGCGATAGCAGATCCATGATTGAGGGCATTGAGTCCTTGCAGCACAGGGAACGACTCTATTGGTCCAGAGGTAGCGAGTACTGAATTCGTGGAATCGATCGAAGTCCGGACTGGAATGGAGGGATGAGGCTGATCAGGAACAAACGGCCTCGAGAAGGACACTGAGGGCGGCTTTCGATCTCGGTCTCTTCTTGACACAACCTGTGGTATACGCCCAACTTGAGCAAGTCGACTCGGCCTCGGAGGGGGGAACGATGGTGGAGGTGCCGGTGGAGAATAGGCCTGTGGAGCAAAATACTGCGGTGGGGCTAGGGTCTCCGGTGGAGACAAAGCTCGTGGTATTTCCCTTTCTGAAACCTGCTCCTGGGGAGGTGAGATGGGTAGATTAGGAACATGATTGGAGAAATTATTATTAGGCAACGCGTGATGCTCAGCATGCTGTTCTCGTCGCAATGTAACTTGGGGTGAAGCGGGTCTAGTTGGTCTTGCAAACCCAGACGGGAATGCGGGCGGCGAAGGAAGTAACATTGATTCAATATGCCCCTTGCCAGGATGTTGTTGAGCTTGCTGGGTGGGCTTTTGATCCTCGAAGGCGGACTGCTCCTCTGGAGTGCTGTCGGCCTCTTGCATGATCTGCTCTAAATCTTCCAGGTCCATGCTGTTGGGGGGATCCATAAGCGCATAGTGAGCGACGGAGCGTGATGTGGTAGGTCTAGGCACAGAACCGTTTTCTACGACAGGCGAGTCGGCCTTAGGTGCGGCGTGGGCTCTCTGGAAGAAGTTCCATTTCCTGGTCGGCTTGGCTACTGGCGCAGCCTTCTTCGACTTGAGCCAGTTGCCCTCCTTGCTTTCAGAAACATCATCCACTCCGACACGAGACTTGTTAGAGGCTATGGATTGCTTCCCAGACAATGCGCTGTCAAGACCATTCATGGCCTTGTTATCAGAAGTATTGACAGGGGAAGGGACCTTGGCAAGTGGTCCTCCATCCATAAACTGTGATCTCCGCGAAGTGCGACGAGCAGCAAGAGATGGAAGAAAAGAACGCTTCGATTCATCATCGCTGGCGGAAGACCTGCGCGATGTCATCGGTGGTCTCTTCATTGGTGACCCGGTGCGAACTGGATCAGACATTGCGGATGGAAGTAATGTTGGCTTGCTAGCTTCGACATCGTTTTTTGTAGAAAAGACTGGCTTTTGAGTATTGGGACCAATCCTCATCTCGATGCTCGGTCGATCGGTCTCAATGCTGCTGACGCTACGCATGGGCTCTGGGCTCCGAGAGAGCTCCGAACTGCCGGTTCCTCGAATCACCGCAGGAGCGAGCCTTTCCAAGAAGAAGTCATCCATCTCAGCGCTGGTGGTGCTGGTCATGCTGCTCTTACGGCTTGATGGTGTCCTGTTCAAGCTTTCCGTAGTCGTGCCAGCACTAGCTGTTCCGCCGACGCTATTAGCGCTCGCAGAGCTTCCACTGCGACCCCTTACGTTGTATTTGCTATAGCCTTCATGGCCAGTACCAGCCATTGGACCCTTCCGCTGCAATTTCTTATCCGACTTGGAGGATGTCACAGTTGGATCTGTCTTAGTCCGTCGACTGAAGAAACCAAATCGCGACGTTTTGCTGAGGCTTGGGACAGGCGCTGGAGCAGGCAAAGTCTTCGCACGCCTCTTGTCTACGTCGCTCTGAGCATCTGGAGTTGTGCCTCGGGTTGGCACGCGAGACACTGGAGCAAAGCCAGAGGGAAGATTGGGATTAGGCGATGGGTTACGCGAGGGCGGCTTCGAGGGAGCACCGAATCGAGTCCTGCCGGTAGGATATGGAGCTGAAACGCCTGTCTTTGAGTCCGATGAGCTTGTACGCTTGTGAGGTGATGGGAAACTCGACATGTTGCTCTGGATGACCGGCGAAGGCTCCCTTAACCCAACAATATCAGATGTTCCGTCCCGGCTAGGCCTAGATGGTCTCCGAGTTGATGGCCTTCGTAGCTGTGCTTGGTCCGCTAGATGAGCAAGTTCAGGTGGGATCTGGGTTTGCTTGGCGGCTTTGGGAAGTGGCGGCGATAGCTGTAGCTCAACGGACTTGCTGGGTTGAGAAACATCGGTCTGGGATACGGTGAAGTACATGGATGATATCTGAATAGGGGGGCTCGGAGGAGGCGCCTCCAGACGATTGTTTTGGTTCCTCTCTCTTTCTTTCTGTCTCACAGAGTCCTGGCGAACTGTCGACGATGATGACGTCGAGATGGTAGACTCTCTGACCGACGAGAGACCATGTTGCTGGCGCAAATTGAAGGTAGCTTCAGGTGTTCGTCTTGTGACAGGCGGCCTACTCTGCATAGGGCTAGCCTGCCTCATTCGAGTGGGCTTTGTCGTCAACGCAACACCAGGTGAGTAGGAGGACATTGAAGTCGGAGTCGATGTTACGCTGAAGGGCCCAGGGGATTCCGAGTACCGGGTTGAGGGGGTGGTGGAAAGAGCATAGGTAGGCGCTGGAGGTGGCAAATTGTCTGTGGCTAATTGATCTGGCATGTCGTACACATATTCTTGCCTCTCGGGAGGAAACAGTTCCGGCTCAGCTCGAGCCAGGATCGAGGAAGTCGGTGGTAGCGATATTCCTAGGACTGTTTCTGAGAATGGATCCTTGTACCCCCCGGGAATTGCCCTCGCTGGCTGTCGGTCTTCTTGAGAGGACATCGAGTCCGATCTTGTGCGCGACGCCTGCCTCGCATTCCCAACTCCAATAGACGATTGTTTTCGCCTCAGTATATTTGACCTCGGACTGTCGATTGTTGACGCGGAAGATCCAGAAACCAGGGAAGGCGTACGAGCAGTCGAGGCAGGCTCTAATCGAGGAAGACGAGAAGACGAAGGCTGCGGAATAGATCGGGGTATTGACATAACTGGAGGCCCATGAGGTATATGTATGGCAGCATTCGACGTGCCTCGGCGACTCCCATCCGTTATCGAAGACTTCGACGCGGCCATGCGCTGATTATCGACCGCCCCGCCGCGTTGCCCCTGCTCATCTCTCGTGTATTTCTTCTTTTGCAACTTTGACGGGTTCGGAGTGGGGATTTGTGACTGCGCGGATGTAGGTGTGACGGAGCGTGAGGGTAGTCGAGTGGATGGAGCGCGCTGAGCGTACGGCGCCTGGAGGTCCGACCTCCTTGGAGGGTTGAACTGTGATTTATAGGATGCCATGTCGGGGAACCGCGTCGTGCGACCCTGCTGGGAACCACGGGAGACGGCTGACCGGGGCCTGTAGTACAACTTCTTGTGCACGCGGAGTAGCTCATGAAGGCATGTGGACCAATACAGTACTATTCGTTTGAAATGCAAGTCAGCTCGAGCAGCCACCAAAAAGCAACAGGTACCAGGCAAAACGTACCCAGACGCGGTCAGCAACGGTCAGCTAAGGCAGAATCCGTAAGCCTCCTCGTGGATGAGCTCCGAAGTCGTGGGGTTATGAGGCGTTCGGGGGTGGCGACTCCGGGAGTCGGGACGAGGCAGGAATATAAACGGCTGCATGGTCTGTTAGTTGGGCGTGCCGAGTACTTGGAGGATTTTGGGAAGCCGTGCCTGTCGTGTGAGGGTTGCGCCACTGGCTCGGATGCGCCGAGAGCGAATAGGCGGGGCAGTGTGGCTCAGCGGCGTCCGCTCCCTGCGGATCTCTGAGACGCCTGCAGATGTTTGACAGCGCAGAGAAAAGGGCCAGACAAGAGCAGGAAACACCGGGACTTTGGAGTATAGCGGGCACTTGGCTTAAGGGTCTCGTTCAGCGGGGGGTGGCGTGGGGTCGCAGACGGTCGAGGCGCAAACTGAAGCCGCGAGTTGCCGTATGGGGACGATGCAGTGAGCAGCCGGGCTCTTGGAGAGTTAGGGGGCCTAGGGAATGGTTGGATGGTGTTGCCGGTGAGGCTCGCGGTGCTGACTTCTTCGGAAGGTGTGGAGATGGGCGCGCAAGTCGATATGTATACAGGGCCTGACCCAGCCGCGCGACCGCGATGCGTAAGAAGCGATCAACGCGCCGTCGGGGACGCCTGGCTTGCCAGGAGCTGGGCCGCATCTCCAGGAGGCTTCCGCCATAACGGCGCTTGCGCCCGAGTGGGCCGCGTTGGGGCTGCGAGGGAAAAGGACAGAAGCCGGCAGCACGACGCTGAGGGACCACTCGTGGGCGGGCGTTGGGCGGGCGTAAGGCGATTCGCAGACACCAGCCCAGTGGAGCCGGCGAGAGCGGTCCATGCACGAGGGCGCTCCCGTTATTCGTGGAGGGCTGCAGGTGGGATGCAGGAGGGCATGATCAGACGAGAGCCCCGTTGGCTGTCGCCGCGTCGCTCGCCATGGCCCTGCCTCTTGCGCGCAGCAAATTCATGCTCGTCTTCTGATGATCGACCCCCAGAGGTACCTCGCAGCTGCGCTCTCCTGCTGGCCGTTTCGATGCATCTGCCGGGGCTGCCTCTCGACAGCTGACGTCGCGAACAGACGAGTCAAAACCATCGAGGGCGCTCACCACAAGACACGCCGCTGCTGAGAGAGCGCCTTTGCTTCAACCGGCTGGCGCAAGCTAAATCGAGCAGCGAGGACGATGAAAAGGACCTAGCAACCAACATCAGACCGCATCCTTCCGAGCTGGGTCCGAAACCAGACCATGGGCATGATAGGCTGTATGCGCCTCTCCCCAAACGGCCGCAGGAGGTGTCGACGCCTCACGATGCGGCCGTCATCGGCCTGCAGAAGCAAAGACGCGCAAGTGCAGTCCAATCCTGCCATGGACGACGGTCTGCCTTAAATCGCCGCAATCGCATGCACGACAAGAACCAGTGACCGCTCATCTGCAGTACTATTCTCAGACCCTCGTGATCGAGGCTCGTGCGAGAGTCGTCATGGCATCTTGGTACGCGAAGGAGCCACAGCCGTCGAACCGGAACGGCCGTCCCAGGGAAGCTGAGAAGTGGCTAGGTGCGTCTCTAGCTGCATGGAAGTGAGGCTGTGCTGTGATCGCCAACGCCACTCTGCCAGCGCATCAAAGTAGACGCTGTAGCCTGCGCGGCCTCCGAGAGCTCTGATTTCGATAATAGCAAGCAAAAGATGTTGGGTTTGGAGCAGTTCCAACATGCTCAACGCTCGCGGCCCACCTCGCGGGGGGAAGAGGGACTTTTCCCAACACCCAGGTCTGTTTCAAGCCACTACCACAGTTAAACCCTACCTTGGCGTCTTGATTGGCTCCGATCAGTGTGCGAGCACAGGCCCCGGCCGCAGACTATTCTGGTCATGTGATGGCTCTACGCTCGAGATGGTGTGGTCATTTCTCGAAGTGGTGTGCTGAAATAAATTGCTGTCCAATCAGCTGCTGAAGATGGACTTTGACGTTTTTACTCGCTCACGCGGAAACAAGGGACGGCTCGACTTCCCATCCATCCGCCTCATCATCCGTCGCCTTCTGGCAAGGTTCAACCCTCGAGTCTCCTGAGACATCTTTTTCTCCGTTCAACGGCGGCGGTAGGCCCCGGGGCAGACGGGGAGACCTGCCCCGAATTCTAACTCGTCGCAATCAGTCGCGGCGCCTATCGACACTGACAGACATTGAATCATCTAACATGTATTGCCATCTCCGATGCCCACTATCGGCAGGTTGTGATATCAGGTGACGCTCAAATTCCGTTCATCTGGGGATTCGAGGTAGGCGAGTCCCTACAAGTCCAGCCTGCTTTTCATTTTGAATCTGGATGGTCTAAACTGCATTTCTTATTATCCCAGTCAGCTATTGTAACACTTCCTTGATCATCGGATGATGTTCTGTGCTCGCCCAACCTTCACCAGTCTCGATCATGAGCGGGTGATGACTCGTGCCTCGTGCTTCCCGCTGTGCCGCGTAGCCTCGAGACCGACTTCTAAGGGTCTAGCACCGAGGGTCGAGACCATTAAGCGGAGCTAAAGCCTTTGAGTTTGAGTTTGACGGGAAGTTCGGCTCGCCTTGCGACCTTGCGGGTGGGGAAAAGGCATGACGGCACGGCACGGGTTGCTCCCTCTGTGGCTGCGAATCATCACGAAGAATGCTCCGAAATGAAGTGCGGGAGTGCTCAGGCCCTCCGTGTGCCGTGCGGGCCGTGGCTCGACCAGGTCGCGAAATGAAACATGATGAATTGAGGAGATTGGCTGTATACACACGGCTGCGGTGCTGAGATGAAATGGTGTTGAGGCCCGTGAGGACATCATCAAAGCTCGGATCAGACGATCGCTGCTGCGTACATTCGTCATCCACATCTCGAGCATCTGTCAACATCTGTCGGAGGAGAGTCCGCTTCAGGAAAGCTTTGCATGTTGAATGTAATGAGCGCTTAGAGAGATGCCCAAATGTGACCGAGAATGCGCCGTCACATGGTGAAACGAATAGTGTTGAAGATGGCCTAGAATTGGGTTAGTCACGGAAACAAATGGGGGCCTACAGAGCTCATCGAGACGATCTAAGCAGCCCCTACGTGTTCGCTGATGTTTCTGCGAAACAGTGATACCCAGGTGTGAGGTTGAAGTAAGGTGCTCCAAGAAAGCCGCTAACACGTTTTGGGCTGCTAGCGGCTCCACACAGACATACCTACAACAGACGACACAACGTTCTGTCACGGCTTCCATCATCACTACCGATACGTCAAAACATCAGCCCTCTCTGTATTACCGCTACAAAGAGCGTCTGAATATAAGGTGATCAAGTACCACCTCTACAAACCGTGCACCGTCAAGAACGCACGTCTGCTACCTGCCATCCGCCCACGCCCTGATATTGCGCCAGACACACCTCTCTTGCGCACTTTCGAGAAAATCAGAACCACTAAAAAACCCACCATCACCACCTCCAATCCAGATCTTCCAAGAAAAGAAGAAGCAGCTCTCAATCACCTCCCAAGCTTTACCCAGCGCGGCCCCCACCAAACGCACACAACACCCACAATGTCTTCTCCAACCTCAATCTCAAAGACCACCACCTCACACTCGATCCCCCTCGTCTACCGCCTCTTCCACCTCTACATGGAGCCGTTCTCCGCCATCGTCGGTGCCGCCCAATCCCTCTTCACGACCCCATCTTATCTCTCCATCATCACTCAACCCAATGTCTACGTCTCCGGCGCCCCTCTCACCTCTCTCAACCATCTCCTCCTCGCGCAAGTCGCGGGGCTGTACGTCCTCCTCGGTGTAGTGGAGCTTGCCGTGCTGCGCCCGTCAAGGGACTTGAGAGTCTGGAGGGGGGTGATTATGGCGATTTCGTTCTCGGATGTGGGCCATCTGTACGCGGCGTGGGTGGGCCAGGGCGGTTTAGAGAGAACGGGAGGCGTATTCTGGGATCCGAGGCTTTGGAGAGGTGAGGAGTGGGTCAATTTGGGTCTGACGTGGTTCGGGTTTTTCTTGAGGTTGGCGTTTCTGGCCGGGGTGGGGATGGGTGGGGTGAAGGAGGAAAGGAAGCGCGAGTGATGCTCCGGCGGTCGAGGATGGACGCTTTCGACGGTGATGATGCTATGTTGGACCAAATGCGGCTCGGATTCGCTATGGTATTTCTTCTGCCAGCTGCTACATGGGTGTGCGCAGAGGAACATCTGGCCTTCGGGGCGGTCGAGAAAGGGGGGCAGCCGACTGCTGACATTTGGGTTCACAGAAATATAATCGAAGCCCAACGGCTTCACAAGTACTCTGGTAGTGGAGCATACCATTTCACGGTATAGCAATAGGTTCCACTTTTATACTTCCATTATTACCTAATCTCAAATCTCTTGCAAATGTCAACGAAAAAGTACTGAATATTAACCCCTTCGCTCAAGAATTAGAGTAACTCCAATTACTGCCAAGAATAGCTCCGTGGTGCTCGCTCTTCAGGCCCCCAGCCTCTCCCGAAGGATCTGTCGATCTTCGCCACTCCGGCCAATTGCTGCATCGTAACCGAACCCCGACACATTAAAGCGTGCGAAGCGTGCTACACATGATGTCATGGCGCTTCTAAGCTCATAAAATCATGCAGAAATATATTTTGAGTAGCGGCCCCCAACGGGCTGTGAAGAAACGCTTATATGGTCTTCATGGTGATATGAACGTTCTATTCTATCCATGCAAAGGCAATTAAGATGTTCTGCAAAACACAGCCAAACTGTACAAACTACCCACACCACTGCCCGCCGCCGAATCCACACGGCGATGGTCTTCCTGATGTCGCAGGAATCGGGGTATGCTTCTCGCTCATATCATGTCCTCCATAAACCCAATTCAGATTTGATCCGTACTAACACATCCCCCAGGTCGTCTGGTCCTTCGGCATAACAGCCATCCTCACCGTCCTCTTCGCCATGCCCATAACGCTCCTCTCCCTCCTCGACATCCTCCCCTTCCTCCCCCGCGCTCTCCGTCTCAACGACCCACCCGCCATCAAGCGCTTCAAAACCCGCCTCCACTCCCTCGTCGAGCACGTCACCCTCGGCCTCTCCGACCAGCAACTAATCACCGGCCTCGCCATTCTCACCATTGGCTAGACGCACCACTGCAACATCTCCTCGCGCCACTTCTGGATCGTCTTCGACCTCTCCTTCTTCAGCGCCGTGACCCACCTCGCCTCCCTCCTCGCGCTCCGCTCGTATTTCTCGCAACATCCCCGGCTCCGCGACTTCCGCGTGTTCCTGATGCTGTGCAACTACGTGATGTTGCTCGTGGCTGCGATCCTCACGTTCCGGGATTACGATGCATCGACGCGGGACTGCCCGATCCAGTGCACGTTTGACCGGATACGCAGCCGGCAGCTGGGGGTGAGTGGGATGTACACGGCGCAGATGGTGCTGTTGAGTGTGGTGTTTTTCTGGCAGCTGGGGATGATGTATGTGAAGGAGGGTGCGTGGGGGATGCGGCATGATATAATTTTGCGGGCGGTGAAGGCGGGGCGAACGACGGGGGATGGGAGGCCAGTGAGGACGTATCGGGACTTTCTGAAGGCGAGGAAGGAGAGACTGGAGGGGCTGACGGCACAGCCGGTTGGGATGGAGAAGGTGACGAATGTGCTGAAGATGAGGTGGGTGAGGAAGAGGGTGTATACATGGCTGTGGAATATCGAGGAAAGGTATGGTGCCCATGATGGATGTCCGGGACGGAAGAGCTATGAGGTTGCGCAGTGGACTATATTGATGATGGTGGCGCCGCCGGCAGCAGTGGTGTGGCTCGTCATCCTAACGCTTCTGGCTATGGGTGTGGGACGTTTGGTGATGGATAGGCGATGGGCAGTTGGAGGAGAAAACAAGTGGACCTTTGGACAAGTTCTACCGATGTTGATCGTCGTGCTTCCATTCTTCACGCTGACGGAGGAGTTGCAAGGTGCGTATTCAAAGCTGGAGGGAAAGCACGTACTTTGTGAGAACGTTGGTGCTAACGTGAATGTGCAGGGACGCCCAAGCCACCATCTGATTCGCAAGAGGAGACTATAGCGCCATCTGTCGAGAGCAAGCCGGCCCTTGAAGAGCGACACATGGTCTCTCAGATTACACCCAATGACCAGAATCAAGAGCCCATGTCACCTTCGGAGACAGTTTGATTTTCTTTTTCAAAAATAGTACTTCCTGTCTGGAGTTCCGAGAACTATGCTCGATGACGGTTAATAGCGACGAGGGGACGTAAAAAGCTGATGACCTTAATCGGTCTTTGCAAAGACGGAATCTTATCGCACTAAAGCGACTGTTACGTATAGAGAACAATCGTCGGGTATCGTAATTCAATGTAGCATCTCACGTGTTTGATAATACGTTCAGATGCGGGCTGGAAGGGTTGCAGCGCGACCAAGATTTGCCCTATTCGGGGCCGACGAGATTGTCGAAATCTCAGGGTTGTCTTTCCGTGAGACTGGAGTTATCTCGTCAACTTTCTTCTCATCCGCATCGGTAGCGGGAGCGGTGTCAGATGGACGCTTCTTTGCGCAGCTCAGTGCTTTCGGCCAACGCCTTTCACGGACGGAGGGTCAGTATTGATCCGCTACGTCGGTTTCGAGATCAGATATAGGGAAGTAGGTACTTACCACCAAATAACAAGAGCAAGCACGCTCACTGAACCGACGACTACTCCAACAACACCACCCCTTGAAAAATCTGTTCCAGACCGTTATTACTATGCGCACGAAAACACGACGTTTGAGTAAGTACCGACCTGTCGGGAACGTATTACCAGTTGGATTTGCAGTCGGGCTCGGATTCGCAGTCCCTACTACTGAACTCGTGGCCTCTGTTAATGTGACCCCCCCAGTGCTTGGTGGTAATGAGGTTTCTACTGAAGTTCGCCGCGTGATGATAATTCCAGGCTCGCTGGCATTCGTCAAAATGCTGCTTTCCCCATTATAGGTTCGAGAAACCGAGCTGGTAAAGGCGGATACAGCACAGCCATGCTCGGTCATTTCTGTCCCTGCGTTGTACACGTAGATCCACTCATAACAATTCGGTAAGGCTGAATCCGTACATGTTGCTACGTATGGATCAGGAGTACAGCTATCCGTGCAGAGCGTCACGGAAGCCTTGGGAACGCAGGAAGTTGCTAACATGCAATCCGAAAGAGAGCTGGGGTCGCAACAGCCGTGTATACTGTAATAGCTGTTGGTGGCACAAACGTAATCTGGATCAAAACACGTGAGGAGCGATGTGAAAATGCCATTAACATATCCACAGGTGTTTTCTCCCGGGTCCTGCTTTCTGAGAAGCTCCAGACTACCCAGTTGTCGGTTTTCGGGACTGTTTGTGGTCTTGGGCGACGAATACACATGATCAAGCTCTGCACCATTCGTCGGGCGAATGGCCTTTGGTGCGTTTCCTGGACTGGCATGATATGGTGGTGGATTATCGTGGGAATTTAGACTGGGAGAAGCTGTTGAAAAGAGTTCCGCGGGATCTCCAGCCTAGAGAGTTTCAGCAAGCTCAGCCTCGTCGTTCCAATATTCAAAGGGCCTCTAAGAGGCTTACCGGACGGGCGCCTACACATCTCAGAACAATTAGAAGAAACCAGATCGACATAATGAAATGGAATGCAGCGTTGCTGCAGAGATGAAGTTAGAGTAAGGCAGTTCTCTGCGCGGATGTGGGAAGAACGCCAATGGTCTTATCACAAGCTTGAGGTTTGGGGGGGGATCTTGGCTGCAGCACCCCCTCACTTGTGCTCAGCCGCACCAGGCTGTGAAATATTTCAAACATTTTTCGCAGACGGAAGACGCGACTTTTTGATTAGGCCAGCTTCCCCGTACGCTGCATCTTCCCAAACAAAATGACGAATACCTCATCGATCGATTGCTCCACCCTGTCATCTAGAAAAGACTTCGCAGCCTATATCAAGTTAATCAGCGACAACGACAGTATAGATCTCAGCCTTGTGGAGAGATGCAAACCTCAAGTATGCGGCGCTCTGTGGGGTTCCGGGAATCCAGATATTTCAGGTAAGTTTCTCAGAATAGTTTCTCAGAATACGCGCTTCGATACAGTCTAACAAGCCACTAAGGCATTGGAATGTCTATTGGCTATGTGCTTGAGACAGCAATCAGCGTGATTCTAGTCGCTGTATTCATCTTCCTGAGTTTTAGGAAAACCGATCGCCGAAGTCGGTGGATACGACTCATTTTGGCAAATTCCACCAGAGCTTTCTATGAGAACGCGATCTTCTTTGCATCTGGAATCCAAATAGCGAGTATCGTGGTACTTGCTAAGGCTAATTTTGGAATCAGTGCGAATGGAATGGGTGCTATTACCATGAAGATTACCTGGTCAATCTCACTCTTGACTTTACTTCCACTATTACCGTTGAGTTTCGGCAACTTCATCTTTCGAGAATCAAACAATGAACAAGAAGATTCCATCGAAAATATTCGGACCTCTTCAAGCGAAAGTGGAACCAAAGCTAGGGAGAATTCAGGTCATGTCGTTCTCGCAAATAAGAATGAAGAGGATGCGCAAGATCGGCGGCGCTTCTTTCTGTATGTCTTATGCTGGATGCTGTCTGTTTTCCCCTTTTTATCGCGAATGGTTGGAACCTTTGGTGAGTCTAGCTCTTACTTCCGATAGGTGCCTGGAAACGCAAACTAATCCTTGTGAAGGCCATAGCCAGATAGGATCAGGATCAGGCACAGTGGTCTCAACAACTGACTGGGCTCTAATTGAGCACGAATGCTTCAAGGGCGTCGACTCCCTACAGCCGTCACAAGAAACGGCCATGTCCGCGTTCGGTATCGGTAGCTGGCTTTTCCTATCTTTGACTGTAATATGGAAGATTTTCCTCTCTGGCATTCAACGACAGCATCCGAATTCAAGGCTTGCGCGTCGGCTTCGACATGAGACTCTGTTTCTCGATACATATCGGCCATCAGAGTCATGGCTGTGGATGTGTCTGTGCATTGTCACACCCTTACTGTCCGTATTCCAGATGTGGACATTCTTTCGCCTCCAGAGATTGCAAACACAGATGACGAAAGCTTCCGGGGGCGAAGATCCAGATACGGACTGGACATTTGGACAGATTGTTGCTGTGATTATGTTTACGCCGGTGTTAGTAGAAGTCGGATTCGTGATGAGGAATAGAAAGATATTTGACAAAGTCATTCGCGGAGAAGATACGTAGAATAACGGATTACGATTCAAAGTGAACGGCAGCACATGTATCCACAGGCATTGGAAGCGAACATATAATTACATCCCATGCAGTCGCATATTTGTATATGCAGAACTATGCACAACTCGGTGCTGGACTTAGTAGTTCTTTTCTGTTGATTGAGTGGCCTTTTCTGTCACTGGCTAAGAGGCGTCGGTGCGGGATCTTGACGAAGCCGAGCGGCCTCCGTCGATAACTCTTCAGGCAGTGAATGTATTTTGATGAGGAGATCTGCCTATGATTTGTGGCGACGTGTTTTAGAGTGGGTGTCGGGATTCGGACAAGAGTCGATCTTCACAGAAAAACCCCTCGGCTCCTTCGGTGCCGTTAGCGTCATTGTTCTTCCGTCTCATCCATCTCAGTCGACGGCATCATTCCACCATCCTTTCTGAATCGAAACCAAGTTCACATCGAACACGCGTCTAGTTTGACTAACAATTTGTCGTGGGGTTTCTAGCCTTCACACAGGAGTATGCGCCTCTACGCCATCGGGGACCTCCACCTAGGCCATAAACAAAACCGGGACGCACTCTCAGCTCTACGGCCACACCCTGAAGATGGCCTCATTCTGTGCGGAGATGTTGGAGAAACCTCCGAACATTTGTCCGTCGCGTTCGAGTCCACCACATCTTACTTTCAGCAAGTTTTTTGGGTCCCGGGCAATCATGAGCTCTACACCATGCCCACGTCAGGACAGCCCAGGGGCATCGCGAAATATCAAGAATGCGTCCAGCTAGCACGAAGTTACGGGATCAAAACTCCCGAAGATGAATATATGACGTGGGATGGCGAAGGTGGGCCTCATATCATCGCTCCGATCTTCACGCTTTACGACTATAGCTACCGGCCTTCTCATGTGTCAAAAGAGAATGCGTTGGCCTGGGCTGAGGAAGAAGATATAGTTGCTACTGATGAAGCTCTCCTCTATCCTGATCCCTATCCATCAAGAGAGGCATGGTGTGATCAACTTATCACGAAGACTGAACAACGGCTTCAAGAAGCCGCGGCAACAGGCTTGCCACTTATCGTAATCAATCACTGGCCTTTACGAGAAGATCTAGTTTTTATTCCTCGAGTCCCACGGTTTTCCTTGTGGTGTGGAACCAAGAGGACGGAAGATTGGCACACGCGCTTCAACGCCAAAGTCGTTGTCAGTGGGCACCTACATGTTCCTCGAACAGACTGGAAAGATAGCGTTCGATTTGAAGAGTGTTCTCTGGGCTACCCGCGCCAATGGGCAGATGCGAAAGAGAAGGGTCTAGATATCAATGGTCTACTGCGCGAGATCCTGCCTGGTCCACCACCACCGGAATCTGGTTCCACAACTACCAAATGGCGCCGCTACGGTTAGGGCTGGAGACGGTCCATTTTCTACTCATGGCAGAAGCCAATCCTTTTCTCCGTAAAAGGACGTCGGATTGGCATCGAGCGAGCTTCCTATCTTTGTGGAATTCTCAGCGTCCGGCTGATATTCGGGCACGTGATGGCTAGACACGTGATGCATAGGTTTCTATACACGTGATGTGTAGATCTATACTAGGAGGCCTTCCTACTATAGATCTAGTCAATATTTAGGGCCGCACGGGCCCTCCCTACGTGTATAACCTAGCTAGATTCCTACACAGAATCGACATCTTTTGTCCTCCATTTTGTTATCACGTGATCGGAATAATCACATCTTTCCTTGCAGCCAGCGTTCTCCTTTTCCAATCCACCGAGCTTTTCAACAAGATCGGTTCTACGGATCTATGCTCTATATCTATACACTTGCAATTTCAAAAACTTAATAAGGCGTTGTGCTGTTTCAGCATGATTCCTAACAAATATCTGGTGGAGGTTGCAGGGGTGCTTCTCTAGCGTCAACTTCCCCGACGGAAGCAGGTCAGCCGACGACGGCTTTGCCGCGGGAAGCGAAGGCGGGACACACTGCAGATCCACCACTCTCATCCTCTTGCTGTCTGATTAGATAAGAACTGCTCTACCTGCTGTTGTAGGATCCTCGCCATGGGCGGTGTATAAGCACTACGATGCATCTGAATCGGCAAGCTATCTTCATGACACACAATTGTCCGAGAAGCTATCTTGTTGGCGAGCTATCTTCCTTGGAACCCCAGACCTCGCGAGCTTCCCTGGACCGGGTCTTCAAGAACCTCAATATTTCTTTCCAACGTTATTGAGGTGAGACCTGAACGACAATGGAAGCTCGGCCGGAGACGAAGAGCGAGCAAGTCAATGGGTGTCAATTCCGTTCGCCTGGCAACAAGAGTAATTCTTGGGAATGGCGTGTGACAGTTGCCACCTTCTTTCTCTCTGCAGTCTTCGTATACCAGCTACGAGATGTCGAATTTGGTGGGTTTGGTGGCAAAAGCATTTCGGACACTTCTCCGAGTTCCCTAGAACCCGAGAAGTTCTTATGGAAAGATGTAAGCGAAAGCTATATTTTGCGCGGGTGTTGCTAAACTCGCCTTGACATAGATTGAACCTTCCTCACAAATCGTCTACCATAGCTGTTATGACGGTCTCCAATGCGCTCGGTTGGAAGTCCCAATGGATTGGAATAGAACAGATGGCGCCGGCAACAAGGTTGCCATAGCCGTGGTCCGGGTGCCTGCCAAAGTCCATGTCACGGATTCTCGGTATGGAGGGCCTATCCTAATAAACCCAGGTGAGTTGTTGATTTTCATTGACAATTTCGTAGCTAAATCTGATTTCTCGACAGGTGGCCCCGGCGGTTCGGGAGTGGCACGTGTCCTTCGCGCTGGAAAGCAGCTTCAAACTGTCGTGGATTCTGGAGTAGCACCGGAAGAAGCCTCATACGATAGCTCGGAGACATACTTCGACATTATTGGATTCGACCCTCGGGGCATCAATAATACGACACCCACCATATCATGCTTCCCGAATTCGTTCTCCAGGCAAAGCTGGATCACACAAGCAGATGCTGAGGGAATGCTCGGAAGCTCCGACGTTTCCTTTAACTGGAACTGGAGACGCGCAAGAGCGCTTGCAGAGGGTTGCTCTAAAGAACTTGCTAAACCGTTATATGGGAACGAGCCGCTTGGTGAGCACGTCAATACGGTATGATTCTGTACAATCTTCCCAATACCTTAATTACTCACTGTGCTCAGGCTCCGGTCGCCCGCGACATGGTTGAGATCATCGAACGGCACGCGGAGTGGAGGGAGGCCGAAGGCGAAAAGGAGCAGGATGAACTCGACCGAAACACAGGCTTCGACCCTGATCAACCAATTATCGTCCGGACCAAATGGAACCAAGGGATCGAAAAGCTTCAGTACTGGGGCTTCTCCTACGGGACCCTTCTCGGGGCAACCTTTGCCGCTATGTACCCTGACAAGGTCCACCGCGTCGTTCTAGACGGCGTGGTCGATGCGGATTCCTATTACTACGGATACTGGGACAGCAACCTTTGGGACTCTGACGAAATCTATATGAAATTCTTCGAGTACTGCTTCGAAGCTGGCCCGGATCTGTGTCCCTTCCATGACCCTCAAGGCTCCGCAGCCATGCGAATCACATATGAAACGCTGCTAACGAAGATCTGGAACAATCCCCTGGCAATCCCGGGAAACGAAGAACGGGGGCCGGAGATCATTACCTGGACAGACGTCAAGATCATTACGAAAACGGCGCTCTATCAGCCCCTGGGATACTTCTATATCTTAGCAGAATTGCTGGCCGATTTGACAAGGGGAGATGGTTCCAAGTTTGCCGCATTCAAGCAAGGCGAACGGACATGCAGTGGATGTCCTCTTCAAGAATGTCAAGAAGCCGGGCCATATTCACGCGAGTGCATGATTACAGACTGGGATGGCGTTGATGCATCCTCGGCAGTCCTTTGCACCGATGGAATCTTTCTCGGTGATATCGACGAGGAAGGTTTCAAAGAGTACTGGCAGACGTTGAAAAATCAAAGTCATGCAATGGGTGATTACTGGGCTCGTACTCGACTGAGCTGCGTGGGTTGGAACAATACCGCCAAGTGGAGACATCCTGGTAAGTGCAACCCACGATTTATCATTGGTATGAAGCTTACTGATGGCTCTTGAAAAGGCCCTTTCGCAGGGAATACCTCTCATCCAATTTTATGGATCAGCAATACCCTAGACACTGTCACGCCTATCAGGAAGTATGATCAGTCCTCGATTTTGCACTCTGAAGAGTGTTAATGCTGTGCAGCGGACAAAAAATGAAAGACCAGTTCCCAGGATCGGTTCTTCTAGAGCAAAACTGTCAAGGTGTATGTCATTCCCCCCAGTTGTTCTGCTTTGTCTTGAGAACAGCTTGTCGCTAATCTCCAAGCTATACATAGCACTGCTCTTTCACGGCTCCATCAATATGTACTGCGAAGGCAGTCCGATCTTACTTCCAGACTGGAGCTCTCCCTCCGCCGAATACCCTTTGTGAGGCCGACGTGAAACCGTTCTTTAATGACACACCGCCCTTCCGAACCCTGGAAACGTCAGATGTCGAACTGCTAGATGCCCTGATAGTTGCTTCGAAGAACTTCATGGATTGAACTGGATGCACCCAAAGTCGCAGGAAGAGGGAGTCAGTGTTTCCAGGCGAGTCTACGATATCCATAATTACAATGGTTGATTCCGTTCATGTTGCTTCTCCTTAGTATTACATGCCTACCCACTCTTCATCAGGCATGTAGCATAGGTTGAATTCCGGGAATTCAGGGCAACGCTCATAGCTTTATTATCTACCTCCATCTAGTCCACAGTCCCATATCTTGCCGTGGTGGTCCGAAAAACCGCCAAAATGCTTGAACCATAGCTCCAAACGCCTGACTGAAGGTACAATCTCTAAGTCCGCACAAAGGTATACTAATAGTATTTAGGCACAAGTCCAGATTGCTCACCACATATTACCGCCGTGGCCAAACCCACCGCGACTGCCGCAATTCTCAGAAGACCGTTCGTCCTCGAAGTGGAATTCTTAATTCCTCAACAATCTCGTCGGCTCCTTGTCGCTTGTGGTGAAATATCGAACAGCTCCGCTGTCGCAAGGATAGGCGCAATTGCACTTAGGCGGAAGGTCATCCATTGAAGTCGATTCAATAGCCCTCATCTCGTCATCCATGTCGACATATGTCCCTTTCTTCTGGGCCTCGAGAACGGTCTGCCACTTGGCTTTGATACTGTTCTTGACGTACCATTCTACGTACACTTGCGGGATATGACCCACATACTTCTTCGCGAACGTCATGATCTAGTTGACTATAGTGTTATGGCAGCCCCCATGTAGCGGCCTTAACGCAAAATTCCAGCCCTTCTCGCGCTGGTCGATACACCACGGGTCCCTATATTGGCCGTACATTGGGGACGGGAGCTTGATCCCCAGGCGCTGAAGTGTCGGAACGTTGAGGAGGAAATTGCACGCTGGTGGCGGCGACGCAATTCTGCCCTCGTCAAGCCAGGGCTGGACGCGGATGCCGAAGAAGTAGATATACTCCATCATCGAGAAGGACAGTCCGATGTGGGTAAAAACATTGGGGATTAGTACCCGGAGTGTTTTGAGGAGCGGTAGGATATCTGCGTGCGTCTGGTCCGCGAACGAGACGCGACTAAGGAACGCCGCGTCCCTGCACTCCGCATACACCTGCTTGCTGACTCGAAGCAGTGCGTAGTTCGGCACATCCACGATGTCTGCACGCCGCGCCGTACCTGCCCACTCCTCAGGCGGCTTATACCCGTATCCAAGACTTGCAATCCAAATCTCCTCTCCGTCTTCAGTCGCGCGGAAAGAAGCTTCTGAATAGAGACCCACCCCAATCGCCTGCCCGAAAACCGCCAACCTCAACTCCTTAGGCAGTTCCATGACACGAAACTGCTTCCCATTCCTAGCCCACCACATCGCCTGCTTCTGGAACCCAACATCTCCGACATACTGCTCCGCATCCCGGTGGAGCGTTCTAACCCACTCCTGGAAGTTCATCCATACTCTACGGATCTTGACCTCGAGGCGGTCCCCGGCCACGAAGCGGCCAGGACTCGGGTTGCAGCAAACTAGGATCAGCAACTCATACGGCTCACGATCACCTGCGTGCACACCACCCCAGGGATCCCTTACTCTCCCTTTCTCTCTCTTTCTCTTCCTTACGGAGTTGTGTTGCTTCCTTGCTGTCAAGGGAAGGGAGCGCCCTAAGGGGTAGTTCATCTCGTTACTCTATATAGTCTGCCTTTACGGCATCTACAATAGAGCAGAGTTCACATCAATTTCAACCTGAGTCCAGGCCAGATATCGAATTTCTGCTTGAAGCCGTTGCCGTTTTCCTAGCGGATTGTGACGGCCCGGGACAGGAGGCCAGGCTGGGTGGTTTCTACCATGGTGTAGTAGCGAGCATTTTTGCCGTCGCTATCTCGTAGTGCGGGAAGACGACGGGACTCGTCTTGGGTTATATTACGGATGTCGATGTGGGCTAGGAACGCTGCTATCGCGTCTTGCCGAAGCTTCTTTAGGACAGACTTTGCGGCGAGGAGGATGGTGTTGGTGTCCTTAGTGTGTCGGTGTTTTGGTGGTATAGGGCTGCTCATGGTTGAGAGGCTGTTGTGTCTTGAAGAGCGTGACGGTAGAAATAGTGGTGAGAGTGGAACGAGTGGTGGGTAGGAACGGAAGATTGTTATTAGGACACAGAGTTAGAAAAGGCTTACACAACGTCTTTTCTATAGGCAGCATTTACGCTCTTAGTGAATGTCGTGCCACGCTGTCCCCGATTGAAGGGGATTTCTCTGGCGTGGCCCGCCAACGCCAACGAGGGTGGCAAAGGGGATGAATGATGGGGAACAAGTGAATATTTGGGGGCCCGCTTTGCAGAAACCAAACGTAAGAGGAAGTCACATTGAAAGACCGGGTTCAGTCATTGTAATCAACCAGTGAATGTATTCTTATCAGAGTCTGATGCTCGCATTTAGGTACCCGCTTGGAACCTTAAGACTTTGTAAAGGCGAGTTGGAATCTCACCAGCTCTAATCGTCATTTTCATCGACTGTGTCCAGGGTCTCCGATTATCCATCTGCTGAATCAATACCGTCGACATTTCCCTCGCCCTCGCCCTCTACATCCCCGTCGCCATCATGCTCGAGTCCTTGGCAAGTTTCATGGTCAACCGGGGCCTCTTCTCCGAAGTTGAAGTTGGGACTCTAGCACTTGGTGGCGCACACGCAGCGCGGAGGTCTATATCCACTGTTAGCACTCCAATCCACAGACGAAAGGAACATCTCACTCACAAGTCGGCCCATGGTATGGCCTTGAGAGCCTCTAAGTCGTCGCTAACATTCACGTAGTTCCCCGCTTTCTGGGTCTTGAAGATGGCATCCCATTTCTCCTTGACACTCGTCTTGATATATCCTTCCAGATGTATATGTTGGATATGCTCGATGGAGCCCTTAGCATAAGTTATGATCCAATCCACCAGTATCTTATGACAGGGACTCGGAGGTTGGCCGGCTGCCTGGACGGCATTCTCATTCCAAGGACTGATGGGAAAGCGAAACTTGCACAGGTACCGAGGATTACGCTGGAATACTTTCGGAGAAGCGATGTTGATGTCGAGACGGTTCAAGTCCGGAAGATTTGTCTTGGAAAAGACTTTCTGAGCCCTCGATAGTAGCTCAAGCGCCATCCACGGCTGAACCTGAACTCCGAAGAAAGTAATGTAACCCATCAAACTAAGCGATAGGCCGATGTGTGTTAGAGTGTTGAATTTTGGGAGCACCTCCTCCTTGATCTGCGAAATTAGTAGATCGGAATTGGGACTCTCTGAAGAGGAAAAACTGAGGCGACTCGCTTCCCAGGCCGTCTTGGTGGACTCCTCGTTGACAACCTTGTTAACACATAGGAGGGCATGGTTTGGAGCTTTCCTATCATGGTGGAATCCATTTTCGCCAATATAGCCATTTCCAATTGTCACTATCTTCCGCCCGATACTCTTACGGCGAACCCATTTCAGTCTTGGATAGATGTCTGTGCCAACAGCCTGCTCGTAGATGCATAGGCGAAGCTCCTTCGGAAGATCCATCAAGCGGAAATGCTTGCCGTTATTAGCCCACCATCGCTGCTGTTCTTTAATGCCACACTTACCGACAAACTCAGTATATTGAAAGGGAAGTTCCTCGATCCAGCTACTAAAAGCTTCCCATCTGCCATTGGTTTTGGTCTCGATCAGATTGGTGTGGGCATCCCGATCTGCATCGATGTCGTATCGCGGTTTGTCTCCGGCCGAGTTCCAGCGCACCAAAATGGACCGAGCAAGTTGACCTATTTCTAGGCGCTCCGTGATGATGTACCCTGTTGCGTTCTTTCCATCGCCTATTTGAAGTTAGCCGTGAGCTAAGATAGGATAATGCGGGCACCTACTTTCCAATCTACTAGAAATTCGACGTTCTTTCTCCGGGGTGAGATTCCGCGCATATCGATTGGCCACGAACCCTTGAAGAGCCCTAAGGCGCTGCGTCTCGAGGACCCTATTGATGGCGAGGAGGAGGTTGTCCGGTTTCTTGTCTCGATCGGAGGCGGTCGCGCTATTTGAGTAGTGTGCAGACTCCCTCGTGAGCGGCATTTTGCGGAGCTAAGAGCTCAGAAAGTTGAAAATTGGTGAGCTGTAGATGAGTGTCGAAGGAAGTGACTCTGGTAGGTAGGTAAGGAAAGTCGAATAAGTGGGGCATTCATGAAGAAAGCCTTTTTCAGAAAAACAATTCAACTCACCTTGGTGAGTGTCTGCCTGCCAGTAAAGTACCACATGCGGCCGTACTGTCGAGCTTACATAAGTAAGAATTTCTACATAGAATCAAACGCTATATGGGGAGGATGGTGTGGAAGTAAGTGCTGACAAGTAGTAACTAAGTAGGAGACGAGAAGACGAGTAGCCATGTACGAGAACGAAGAGGCCACGGCTCGTTAAACCTTTATATAAGATTCTCAGACAACGAAAAGAAAGAGATTAATTTTTTCAGACCGATGGCTAGTGGCTTGTCTATAAATTCGTGAGAACTCGATTTCTCATGCGCAGGTCGTCGCTATATCGAGCCACGAACACTAATTTGAGGATGTCCAAGTACCAACATGTAATTCTACTCAAAGAGGTTGATATTTAGGGAGCTCTTGTCAGAGGTCCAGACATGTCATGTACATTGCTGGCCCTCAGAGGTCATGTCCGCCGCCCCCGCAACTTCCTCGCTGGGGGACATTTCTTGACCCTCAAATATCAAACATCGAGCATCGTCGCCATACAGCATCCGTACCACAGCCGCCGCCGCTCCGTTTGTCTGAGCCTGGTCTTCGTATTCAAAGAGCTGGCGGCCATAGCCGTTCCTGCGGCAATCGGTGGTGCACACGCAGTTGAGGGGTCTATATTCGGACGTTAGTAGCAATCTATGAAAATGGATAGTGGTCAACTCACCTATCGCTCATCAAAGCGGCGCGAATCGCAAGAAGCTCATCGCTAAGATCGACATAGTTTCCAGTTTTCTGGACCCGGAAGATACCTTCCCACTTTGTCTTAATGCTCGTTTTGATATAGCCCTCTATGTACACTTGGGGAATATGCTCCACAAACTCTTTAGCGTGGGCGAGGATCCAGTCGGACATTACTTTCTGGCAGGCAACGGGACCTGAGTTGTCCCGATAGTGCCATGGTTCTATCCGTAAGGTTTTGTAAGGACGGAGGAAGTTGAAGCCAAGATGCTGGAGATTTGGGAGGTGGTTCCTCGAAAGGAGGGCACCAGCTGGTGCTGGAACCCTGGCATGGTCATACGTCTTTAGGGTGACCATTGAGAAGAAGCTCATATAATCAGACGCCATGAATGAGAGGCAGACATGAGTGAGTGTGTTGTACGACAAGATATCCCGAATTCGCGGTATGCAGTGATCAGCCTGCCATACTGACTTGAAGCTCAAACGACTGGATTCCCATGCCATCTGGTAGTATTCTGCGAAGACTTGCTTGCACAATCGCATCAGCGCATAGTTAGGGCCATTGACTACATCATTCTTGGAGTCGTGGATGTAGCCCTCTATATCAGAATATACGTATCCCGGACGAACGTCATCCCAAGGCCTGAATCCGTTTCCCAAAGTAAGCGCATCGGCAGTCTCAGCGCCTTCTTCGAGATTACGAATCTTAGGATACATATCCATACCATTAGCCTGATCGTAGACACACAGACGAAGCTCTTTCGGAAGTTCCATGAATCGGAAAGGTTTCTTGCCGTTGCTTGCCCACCATCGGAGTTGCTGGGTGTAGCCGCGCTTCCCTAGGAACTCCTCTTTCTGGAACGGTAATTGTGAGAGCCAATCCACGAACCGCATCCATCTACTGCGAATCTTAATCTGGATCCGAGTAGCCGTGATGTATCGATCCGGCTCAACCTCAAACCGGGCCCTGTGCGCGTGCCGCTGTCCCAGCGTATGAGATGGGCTCGAGTGAGGAAACCTGGCTCGAGGCGCTCGGTGATCGTGTACCAGCTGGCATTATCTCCATCTTCTGTATCTAATTAGGCACGCGTAAAGATGTGTTAGAACATTGGCGAACCTCTGCGTTGCGTGGGAAGACGAGCCACCTCGTCCTTGGCCACCTTTCGCACTTTGATGCTGGCTACGAAGGCTTGTAGAAATTGCCGACGTTCGCGCGCTAGGATGCCTTTCAGTGCGAGGAAGAGGTTGTCGGTTTCCTTTCCCTTTCCCTTCTTTTGGTTCCAGTTCTTGCCGCCACCCGAGGCCAAGGTCTTTGAGGCGGACATTGTTGATTTCTTGTGGAGAGTTGGCTGTATTCTCAAGTTGTGGTTGTGGGTTGCGAGTGTGAAGAGGTTATGTAGAAGGAAGGGAGGTATATAGGCAGTTGAAGAGAAAGCTTCCTTCATACATCTGCCGTAGCTGGCTGTGGTGAATATCTGCTGCGCCACGGCTCGTTTACAACTACGTAGATGTTCCGACAACAAGCGCGCAGTGTCGATGCTACCTGATGCCATTCAGCGGCGAGATCGATGTGCTGTCTAATGGGGCACGTCGAGTTTGGGGATTGATCACGTGCTCCTTGGTCCTCTTCGAAGAGAACTTTCGTGTATTAATTGCTTTTGAAATTATTGATGCGACAGAAGTATATAAGAACATTAGATACCATGTTTCGCCGAGTGGCTCTGTGGCTAAGTTAAGGTTGCGACTATGCGTGAGCGTGCTTCTCTGAAGAGAAGGGGACCGGTCCCCATTTTCGAACGCTTCGACATCTCGCAAAACACTCTGAACGATATCTGGAACGTTGTATTCTACATTCTTGACCGCCGTGAATTAAGTGAGATAGTGTATGAGCGAAGGACCCGGGAAGATATTTGAGGTAGACGAACTTGGGCTCTCTTGAACAAACATGATCGCATACTAGCAAAGAAATAGTATCAGCGACGAAAATGTAAACACCCTTTGGGTCGCTATTAGGTTGAAGAGGGGAAAGGCCCCATGCGCGGCACATGCTCACGGGTAGCTGCGTCAAACGCGTAGCAAGTCGATATAGATTCAGTGAGATTTAACGACCAAACAAAGGTATGAGTGGTTCGACTCAGATAGAAGCGAAATGGAAAAGCCACTGAAGGCACGGTTGTCCTCCAATCGTGATTACGGTATTGATTGATTCTTTACCTTTTTACAGTCATGAGGCGTTTTGTGAAATTGTGCAATGATCCACTTCTTTCATCAGTATACTCCTGAAACATCGTCTCGTAGATCTCTCTCATCTTGCTCTTCTGTTCGAAAACTCTGCCAGATTCCGCGACGCCGCAAAGCCTTGCCAACGGCCCAAATCCCTCTTCTTCAAGCCTTTTTCCAGCCAAAGGCACCCTCAAACATCGCGGGTATATACAGCGCACACCAAACCGCCCATCCAAACCCCACGAGTATAATCAGACACCCCGCCCATCGCGGCAGCAGTTCCTCCTCAGGCCTTGCACGATACCCCCGGCCGGCCAACGGCAGGAGAGGCAAGCGGACTTGCGATTCCACCTCTACCGGAGACACATCGCTTTCGGAGGATTCGAGCTCGTCCTCGAATAACAACGGTTCGTCGAAGCCGCTGTCTTGGTGTAGAGGTGGATGATGACGCGGCTCGTGGGGTTTCTACAATAAAGCGACGGCGGGTCTCTCGTTAGCAGGGTCCACTGTTCCTAGCTTGGTGGAGAACTCACGGAACCATCGTCCATTCCGCCATCTACTACCTTTGGACCTCGCGGAATTTGAGGTTTGAAGGCTCTGGAGGGCAGATCTAGCCAGCGATCGTATTTTGGACGCTGGAACGTGCAGGTGTCGCCGAGGGCATTCTGTCGATTTGAGGTTGCCGCGAAACCCCGCTGCGCCTCAATATGCATGGGATGGGATGGAAGGGTTGTGATTGGTTCGAAATTTGGATTCTCGTCCGGCCTATCAAATCACTGGAATTATGGAAACTTGTAAGATTTCAATTTTGAAATCGAATACCCATTCGATTGTGAAGGTGAAGTGTCCGACACATTAAAGCTCAGTAGATGAAACTTCCTCTTTCAAAACAGAAGCACTATTGGGAGCATTAGTAGACACACACTTTCCCTGTGTAGTAGAGGTGCTATTCAACATATCAACAAAAGAAGTACAGAGGATTTTAGAAGTCGAAGTTAGAAAAGACATGTGCGATGCATTTATAGGGCAGAGGAAAATGACATGCCGTAGTGCCATGGTAGAAAGGAGAGGACACGACGTACAGCCACAAAACCCGAGCCAATAGAAAGGCGTAGCATATCACCTTCCGTGGGGCGGATAAAATTGACAGGGTGGACGGAAGGTAGTAGCCCAGCTAGATCGTTGGGTGTTCAGCGGGAGCACTTATGAAGTCTGAGAACGTAATTGGAACGTTGTAGAATGTCATGAACTCGATGATCGCTAATAATCGAAATTAGACCGTCAAAGACAACAAGAAGATATCATATACCTACCTTTTCCATTGCTCCTATGCCGCTGAATATATTTAAACAATCCCTGTCGAATCCAAAGAAAAGTCCTTCAATCAAGTTCTACGCCCCCCACGCCATTGAACTCGACCCTAAACCCCTCTGCCGCTCAACCTCCCGATCCCGACGCTCACTCCCCGCGATCTGCGTTCTCTGCACACTGACGTCCTGGCTCTTGTAGATCCCTGGATTACCATTTCGAGTAGTAAGCTCGACCTGACTATCGCCGCCATCGCTAAGCCGTTCCATCCTATCCACATCCTTGCCCCTCTGCGTGCGGCCATCGCCACGCGATGCGAACGTCGAGAGTCCAGACTTCGGTAGCACAGAGTTGAAAATGCGAGTAATTCGGTTCGAGGAGGATTTCGAATCGAAGGAGGTGGAGAGCTCGCCAGCGCGGCGAAGGAGGGGGCGGAGCGCTGGCAGTCAGGCTACCATAATTGAGGTGGTGATTTCGGACATGGCCCACACGTCTGGGAGGGTTTAGAATGGTGACTGTGCGTTAGGGATCATTAACAAATCGAATTGAAGTTGTTAGAGTAAATGATTGTGGTGAAGCAAGCAATGTTAACTGCGATAGTGATGATCCCAAGAGCGAAGGTAAAGATGAGGCCGTAGAGTTGCCGTTTCTTTAATTTGAGGTGTCTGATGAGGTGGAACGGGAGAGCGAAGACTAGAAGCGCGCAGTTGTTAGCGGCGACTTTTTTGATGCTCATGGAGGTCAGTGTTACTCACTAAATACATCGGAGATGAAGTTGAGTGACCAGTCCAAGTGGAATAGGGGTATTGAATTGAAGGACAAACAGGCGCCCTCTTCCAATGACCAGTTCGAAGCTACATTTCCTCCGCACCAAAACGTATCTGCAAGGCATGTAAGTAGACAAGACGCAGCGACGAATCCAGTCACGACCCAAAACACCTGTCGCAGTTTCGGCATCGTGTTTGGGAACAGCCTCGTGTATAGCGCAAGTATGGAGAATTTGGGGAAGTAGATGCATTTGTCGTAGAAATAGTTTCCAGCAAAAGCGATCTAGGTACGCTGGGCATTAGCATACCGAAAAGCAAGCTTAGAAAGAGCTGCTATACTTTTGCGAGTTTGACGATCTTCTTCGGATCCTCGATATCCGCACCACTCAATCCGCCCAGCTGGTAAGTCATCGTATCGGTGATGACCAGCGTGAGGGAAAATAGGCAAGAGATCAAGAGGAATGCATCTGACACTACTAAGCTCTTTTGCTGTTGAGGGAGCCGAACAACCATGCGTGTGGCGACGAAAATGTACGAAATTCCGAGCAACGACCATTCGGTCGCCTACAACTGGATCAAAATTGAAAAAACAGAAGCAATGACTTGCATACCATGACAGACGCCCCTGTGACCCCCATGATGAACTAAATGCGGCAATACTAAATAGAAAGGAAGTAGAAAATAGTATGGGGATGCTTTTCTGGGTATATATGATCTACGCAAAACGCGGGTCTGGGAGCTTTAGGGTTATCCCACTGTACGAAGGCAATGCGATCATTTCAGGGGGTTCCTGGTGGGTCCATGTTGAAGCTCAATTGCGCATGCTAACTGCCGACCACTACCACTGCTGGCGGGTAGTGAATTGTCACATAACGGCGCCACGCGTGCCTCAGAGTGTTTTATCCAAGGGCTAAAGGCTCTGCTCAGCGTTAGCACTCCGGTTAAGGAATCAGTAGAGTTGTTCATAGCTGACGAGAATTGCACAGTGGCTATTCTTCGGTTCTCGAGCTTTGCGACATACCGTTTTCTATCACCATTCTCCTCACTCAATCAAACGACAGAGCAGAGGTTAGTTGGGCTGCCCTACATCTCTGTAGGAAGCAGGAAGCCGGAGGCGGGCAAAAGTAGTATCTAACATGCGGCAGCAGCGTGATGGGTTTGGGGATAGATGATGCACGCTGTATTCTCAGAGGAAGCACCTGCACAAACACGGCTCTAGCTCCAACCTTATTCCAGCCTCGCCCATCAATCCCATCCTTCACACATCGACATCTCAGCCAGGGCCTCGATTGCACTGGTCACGCAATGGGGACACCACTGAATTCCGCGTCGAAGAGCCGGCTAGCAGACGTCAGAGTTTTAGCAGACTACACCCCAGCATAGCCAAACCTTGTCGAGTCAGGCGCTGTGTGAGCGGCAGCCTTCTCCTTTGACCTTCCACAGCGAAGACTTCTCACGATGATACAGTCTTTGATCGACTAGATCGCACGGCCGAGACACTTGCCGAGCGTCCGGGGCTGCATATAGCTCTCGAGAAGGCGGCATGAGAACCGCTCTGGCCTGGGGGCGTAAAGAGAACACCAAACCGCCTCATACATATGACGATCGAACTCGATAAATTAAAGCGAAACTGACTCGAAGACTTAGGTATGTAATACTCTCGGGCAAGCCGGTCTAAAGGCTGCGCCGAACTTTCACCTCGACCAACGGCTCACCACGCCGCCACCCCTAAGGAACCGACATGACACCGACGATATTCCACTAGTCTTGGAAGAAGATTCACTTCGCATGAAAACTACGATGGATTATTCTTTTTCTCTCTCCGCCAGCCAGGTTGTAAGCTCGACCGTTTCACATCAAGTTCGCCATCTTGGCATAGAACACAATAGCACGGCTAGACTTCTACGCTAGAACGTCCGCGAACTACAACGCGGAAGCCATATATCACCGATCATCAGCGCTACCAGACTCAGCCACTTGCCAGTAGCCTGCTTCCGAAGCCGTGGTTCCTGGATCGGGTCGGGAATAACTAGTGCGTACCAGATTGCCACTAAATTCAAAACAGCTGTTGAATTCCACCAACTCATCATGGGATCTCACCTCATCTATCGGCCCTCAGTTCACTTTTGAAGTATCTTGTTTCCTTTGACTTTAGCTAGAATGCTCTTTTGTCCGCATGGGATTTGCAACAATGGACGTGATCGAGACGGCAAACGTCAAACGTCAAACGTCAAACGTCAAACGTCAAACGTCAAACGTCAAACGTCAAACGTCAATACAAGCCACAGCAGTTTGAAACGCCGCAGCAAAAGATCTATCTAATTAGAGTTCTACAAGGGTGGCCGTTCTTCCTGCCGCCTTGAATGAATCAACCAGAAAGAAGGTCAGCGGCATCTAGAGTTGAGACATTCCTAGAAACAGCCAAAACGCCAACTTCATGTTTCCAAAACATCTCCAAACCTCATGGTACAACAATCTAGACGGGTTGTGTATCCGACGGGGCCACTTCAGCATGCGACAGCAAATTGCAAGAAATGCAGCTAATTCCAAAGAAGGTTGTATTTGCTGACTGGATTCAGTCACGCTGTCCTATCATACCTGCATTCTAGGATATTGAAGCACTAGTCTGACGGTTGGCTTGGTGGAACAGTACTCACCGATGATGCTGAGGCCCTCTCGCCTCCTCACCTTTTCACGACTTTCACTGCTGTGAATATCGTGGGTGGGGAAGCCCTGGAAGATCAACGAATGACCTTCTCGCCGTCGAGGCCCTTCGCGATGCCTTCCATCTCGCCGTACGCCTTGTCGAGTTGATCCGACCTGCCAGATGCCGGGGGCATTTCGTTAGTACCTGAGCCATTTTGGACGACCGACAAGCTGCCCTGAAAGACCGGGAACCCACTCTTCGCGATCCAACCTTCACCTCCGGTAGAGCCGTACTGACCGCCGAGCTGCAATGCCTGCGGATCTATGTACTCGCCGGCTGCTACTGCTAGAGGAGAAGTCGGTGCCGATCTACCCGCGATATTTTCGCCAAGCCCCTCATTCACGCCGCGAGCCAGGATCTCTGCGAAGCCGGAATCTTCGAAGGAATCGTCTTGCAACTCCCGATAGAGTTGAGCGTATGGATCAGAGTCGTTCAGAACAACCCCCTCGTCGTGTCGGTGGTCAAGCCATGGCAAGGACTTATTCTCACCAACAACGGCCAGGTCCTCCATAGGACCTCCGATCAATGGGCGTAGATTGTTGTCAGCATTGGGCAAGCTCGCATCGTCCTCATCGACTACGTCGTCCTTACCGTCATCGGACAGACCCATAAGACTCATGCGGGCTTCATTGATAGCGTTGGGAATGATATGGTTGCCGGAGTAGAAGTCGTCGAAGCTTAGCGTGAATCCACTGGTATTCACCAGCGTAAAGTTGCGAGAGGCAACATGGCTACCGGGTCTGTACTCGTCACTATCCCTGAGGTACTTTGCCTGATCGCGATATCCATTCACCTCCCGGGGATCACGCGGTTGGCTGAACGAAACCTTGTGCCTAGCCCGGCTCTTGGGACCGTCCTTGCTCTTCAAGATTCCCTTGGTCGCAGCTTTGACAAATTGAACGCGCTTGTTTGGTCCAGCGGCCGCGTCTGGAGACTCTGATCTCGCACGCTTGCGTCGAATGGGAAGGCTCTGGATAGGTCTCGCTGCCCCGGCGACACCCTCAACTGCGGGACACTTGATTCCGGCACGCTCGACAGCGGCATGCTTGACTGCGGCGCGCTCGGACGCGGCAAGCTCTCCCGCCTTTTCCGCCGCTTCCAGAAGACCCAAGCGCTTGTTCGCGAGTGAAAGCCTCGCACGATCGCAGCGGCGACGTACTTTGTTGAAGTTGATCATTGTTTGCTTCTCGGCAGCACTCAGCGGAAACCCCAGGATCTTCTTCCAGTATCCGGGGAAGTTCTCGCAGCGCATCTTCTCAAACAGGGCCTTCATGCGTACGACCTCCTCCTTCAAGCATCTCTCCGAGGCTGCACAGCCATCGCAAAATTCTTTATTGTCTTTGAACAGCTCCACTTCATCCCCGAAGTCAGTCCTGATATATTGACGACAATCCGCACCCGCACAGCGAACGACCCGCGGGGTCACACCAAGCATCCGAGCTATGGTTGCCATGGTTGTGTGGGCCGTGGCAGGTGACGTTGTCTTCGAGGATCTTGCGCGATGATGTGGTGTGGGTGGTAGGGTGGTGGTGGAAGATTGTTGTTGTGGTGGGCGCCTGACTGCCTGGTGTTTACAGCAAGATCTTATATAGTTGCGCTGAATGCGAGGTTCGCCAAAGGGCCCCACTCCCTACATTCACCAGACGAGCCGCGCGGAAGCGAGGCCCTGCCTTGTCTATCGATAAGACCTTCACAGTCGCCTTCGGCAAGTCCAGAAGATCTCATTCCTTCACTGCGGTGCCTACCTCCTTCAACTCGTCCTGCCCCTTCATGACCCACCCCTGAAACGGATCCTCCGCCCCTCGAGATCCCTCCTCGGCTTCTCAATCTAATTCGCACAGCCGGCCTGCTCTCAATCCTCTCCATCCACTTCACCAGCCAGGGAAACCGCTCCAA